GTGGCCGTCCCCTGGGTGTGTGTGGCTGGCTGATGAGACGACCTTCCAAGTCAACTGCTGAGGGAAGGTGGAAATTGTGTGCAGGCTGCCCTGTGTGACGCAATTATAACCGGCTGGGTCACGGGACGGGTTCCGCAGGATTGGAAGGATGTCCCGATGATCACACTTTCATAGATCGAGTGCCCTGATTGTAGTAATCACCAGGCGCGTCTCTCTTCTCTCTCTCAATTTGTGTGCTGGGGAAGATCCTGGCAAGGATTATTCAACATCGCCTTCCCAGGCAGCACGCGGAGTAGATTAAATTATTTAACTGGTTTAAAAAAAAATATTTTACTAGGTAAAGCTCCACTGAGCTTTGTAGTTATTTTTTTTAAAGCGACCTCGCCACAAATTAATAGCTCAACGTAGATATTTAAAACAGCCAAATACTCCAAACGCGCGATGTTGATTCTAAACGTGGAGGGATGACGTTCATTGTCATTGTGATGTCGTCATGATGATGACGTTCATTATCATCGTGATGTCGCCATGATGATGTTCAATGTCATTGTGATGTCGTCATGATGATGACGTTCATTATCATCGTGATGTCATGATGACGTTCATTGTCATGGCGATGTCGTCATGATGACGTTCACTATCATGGTGATGTCGTCATGATGATGATAGCGTTCATTGTCATTGTGATGTCGTCATGATGATGACGTTCACTATCATGGTGATGTCGTCATGATGATGACGACGTTCACTATCATGGTCGTCATGATATTCAGTATGATGATGTTGTTCATTATATATCATCGTGATGATGTTGTTCATTATATATCATCGTGATGATGTCATGATGATGATGTCCATTATCATCGTGATGTTGTCGTCATGACCATGATGTTGTCGTCATGATGATGCAATCACATATAATGAAGATGTAGAAATCGACATCATAATTTCCTAAGGCCGAGTGAATCATTAAATCTTAATAACACAATTTAGTGGGTTGTGCAGTAACGCATGGACGAGTGTAGCATACAATGATATAGAGCAGTGATTGCTGTGACAGGTAAACTGAACATCTGTGAAAAAGAGCTTCATAGCTTATCGGATTCGTCCGGTACAAATAAACATTCCGATTCTGAAAAGGTAAAAACCCGACTCCCATCCCAGGCCACGGCTGACATCAGTGGCGCCTCTGGCATCGACCAACTGCTCCGTACTGACCAGCGTGGTGAAGTATGGGGCCGTCCATAAATGACGTCACGCGATTTTGGACGATTTTTGCCCCCCCCCCTCGTCACACGGCGTCACAAAAAGTCAGACCCCCCCCCTCAAATATGACGTCACAAAGCTCTGCCCACCCCCCATCCCAAAACATATTTCCATTTTGAAAATAAAACGCGATTCAAAGCGCTTTAAACTATTGTCATTGTAGTGCGTATTTAACGTGGCGCTGCACTCTGATGTTGTAGGAGAAAACATTTATTTAAAAAGTCTATTTAATTAAGTAGAACGTGTTGTCTATATTTATTTAAAGTTGCCGCATTTTGATGTGACGTCACATTTTCAACCCCCCCCCCTCCTAGGTGCGTGACGTCATTTATGGACGGCCCTTATGGCGAACAAAACGCACACCCATGATGATCTCACATGGGTCACGTGTGAGGGTGCTGCTGGGTGGGGTGGTGTGGTTGGCGGAATGCCCGAAATTAGTTTGCCTACGCGAAAAAATAACAAAACGCCCAATTATAATGAACGAGCATCCCACACCCGCGCATTGCAATGCCACTCAGTTCCCAGCCTCTTAGCCACGTGCGTCGCTCTTGTAACAGCACCCCCCCCCCCCCCCCCCCACTGCGAGACGGGGCCGTTCTGGATTCAGTCCCCGCTGTGCTATTGATCGCCGTTTGGCTCGGCGCGCATTAGCATGAATAAGTCATCACGGGCAGGGGCTGTTGCACCCTGTGCGTGCGTCTGTGTGTGTGTGCGTGCGTCTGTGTGCGTGCGTCTGTGTGCGTGCGTGTGTGTGCCTGTGTGTGTGCGTCTGTGTGTGCGCGTCTGTGTGTGTGCGCGTCTGTGTGTGCCTGTGTGCGCGTCTGTGTGTGCCTGTGTGTGTGCGTGCGTCTGTGTGCGTGCGTCTGTGCGTGCGTGCGTGTGTGTGCCTGTGTGTGTGCGTCTGTGTGTGCGTCTGTGTGTGCCTGTGTGTGTGCGTGCGTCTGTGTGTGCGTGCATCTGTGTGTGTGCCTGTGTGTGCGTCTGTGTGTGTGGTGCGGCGGTAATAGCACTTGCCCCGACAGTCTGTTACAGGCTACACGGGGGATCTTTGTCTTTGTGTGTGTGCTGTAGTGCTCGCTAACAGCACTTGACCCAACAGTGCTTCAGGCTATACGGGGGATCTTTGTCTCTGTGTGCTGTGGGGAGTGGTGGTGCAGCGGCTAGCGCGCTACGAACCCGGCGATCCGAGTTCGATTCCCACGCTCACGGTCACCAGCACCGGTGATGAATACAGTACGGGAGCCGATCCTGGGCCTCCCCTTGGTCGACTCAGCCTCAAATGAGTACCTGGTGCAGTGCGTAGTAAACATCGCTACGAGGGAGACAAAGGCGGCCGGGCGCGGTGCTGGTCACCCACCCCCTCGTGTGCCACAGTGCAGGCTATAATTATACTGGGAGGAACCTCCTGGTTACACCAGCCCACAGGGGATTATTGTGCCCGTCCGTCGTGCATCCAAAAATGGGAGGGGTGGGGCTGGGTGGGGAGGGGCTGGGTGGGGAGGGTGGGGAGAAGCTGGGTGGGGAGGGTGGGGGAGAGTGGGGGAGAGGCTGGGTGAGGAGGGGCTGGGTGGGGAGGGGCTGTTCACCCCGTGGTGCCCTTATAAAACTCAACGTTTCACCTACTCACGCCGTCTTGTGCCCGCCCTCAGTCGGTGTGTGCCTGTGTGTGTGCGGCAACTCATCGGACGATTCCTCGCGTTGCGATCGAAACGTTGTGATAACTTTATTTTTTTCTACCTACGTGACATTACCGAAAGAACCAAAGACTATAATGCATCACATTATCAGAGTGTTTTTTTTTAGTTTGCATTTTGACCACAAGTATCGTGGTCAATGCAGACATGATTCCTTGTAAAAGGTTTCAGTTTGGTGTTTAAACATCTCAACGCAGCTGTTTTGTTGCCAGAAAAAAAGGGGAAAACCTATTCCCACATTTTGGTGACTGGCAAAGGAGGTCCCATGATTAAACTAAATCAATTGAATTTTTCTTTCACCCGGACACACGGATACTGGATATGAAGGAGGCGACTTGGCTGATGTATTTTATTTTATCTTTTTAGCGACGACGTGAGTTATTGCAATATCTCAATCGGTTCTCGCACCCACCCCCCTCCACCCTCGCCACCCCCCCCCATCGACCTCCTCTGACCAAAGCGGTGAAGTATGGCCATACAACCTCCAGTGACTGTAACGGCGTGGAATCGATAACGGAGGGATATAAATTATATATTTATGACACCGCCTTCAACCAGGTATCCACATAGAATACCTTGCATGCTTTACTGCAACGTGACGATTCACATTCGCAACGAGACAGGCTGCGTCCAAGTTCCAACAGAGGGCAGGGCAAAGGCATCAACATTCGCGATGTGCGCGGTGTGTGATGTGGATGCTTAGAAATGCCGGCAAGCAAAAATTTGGGATCACCCCCGTTAAAATAATGGTACGTTCCACAGGCATGACAGTGCTCGAGAAACAACACGGGCCATATGGGCCATACCACGTTCTTATATGCGAAGAGGGGGGGCGGTTGGGAATGTGCGGGGTGAGGGGGGATAGGGGAGGGAAGGGCGGTTGTGAATTATTAATGAACTGGTTATCTACAGTTGGGAGAGCCCATTGAGAAATACTTCACGGGGCGGTCCACTCTCCGCACTAAGGACAAAGATCCCCCGTGTAGCCTTAACAAACTGTTGGGGCAAGTGCTGTTAGCGAGCAGCACCTATTGAGGCTGGCACGGCACACGTGGGGGTGGGGGCCAAAACCACGCCCGGCCGCCATTGTCTCCCCAGTGGCGATGTCTACACACCACACCGGGTACTCATTTGCGGCTGAGTCGACCTTGGGGAGACTCGGGACAGATTCAGTTAAATCGTCACCGGTGTTCGCGAGCGGGAATTGAACTCGGGCCTCTGCCGGGTCGGTGGCGCAGCGTGGCGTGGCGCTAACCGCTGCACCACCGCTCCCTACATAAACACTCGCGCAGGCAAGCACTTGGGCTTACTTCACAGGTGGCACATTTACTTGGTTCACCAATTCACGGGAGGGGTGCCGCGGGTGGTGGTGGTGGTGGCGGCGGCGGCGGCTACCCTGCACGTGGCAGTCTGTGATCCAGTGCTCTGGGGAGGCAGCAGCGAGCGTTGGTCGCACGGACGGGCTGCCAAACTCCCTGCGCGTCGGGGTGTCGAGGTGGGGCCGTGCCAGGTGGCGGTAAAGCAGACTGCGGACTAAATATCACCCGTCCCATCCGTGCGGGGATAGGAGCGTTGCCTCCCCCGTAGGCGAGCGTGGGTATTCCCCCGCTTCCCTCCCGCGCGTCCAGCACACTCGCCGCCAACGGGCCAAAAAACATCCGTTCATATTTATAGAGGCATGCAGAGCTCGGGCAACTGGGATTGTTTTTGCACACAGCGTTGGTGTAACGGCGCTATTTCAGGAATATTTTGATGTTTTTTTTTTTTCCTGGATTTTCTGTTTGCACAGTCACACACGTAGTCACTTGAAGATGTTTTTTTCTTGTTCATGTTTTTTTTGTTTGTTGCGGTTGCACCCGATTCAAGAGCCGAATGGCTCGCAGGGCTATACCAAAATAAATGAAACTATGGAACTATGGAACTAACTGAACTGTCGGTAGCGCCGGCTCCTCGCCACCTTTGCCCGCCCACGCCCGCGGCTCCCTCGGCGATTGCGAGCGATGCGATTCGCGTGAAAGACGACGGACGATGACGATGCCGCAGAACAAAACATATTTATCGTCGTCGTCGTCTGGAAACGTTCAGTGACAAGGGGGGGGGGGGGGTTCCATGAGCAACGTGGAGCTGTCAGCCGACCCTGTGTCGCCGGCCGCGAGTGAAATTAATCGGAACCTCCAGGGGCGTAACTTTGACAGGGACCCCCCCCCCCCCCCACCCACTCCCCCCTCAACGTCTCCCCGCGGCTTCTCTTCCGGTTGCAAGCAAAGACCTCGGACCGCACCTGCGCCACACTAAGCCGCCGTCGTCTCCACGAGCCCTCCCGTTCATCCGCCGTTGGGACGAGGGCCTCCCCCACCGAGTGAGCGGTTAAGCGTGGAACGTTGCGGGTGAACGCTGCCCGGTCTTTTACCGGGTGCGCCCCGTTCATACCTGCGGCCGCGTGGGTCAAGGGCCCGAGGGATGTAACCCTCCCTTCGTTCCGACGACGCGCGGCCACGCGACGTCTGCGTCGTCGGCATTTTCTTCAGATTCCGTTGCGGTGACGCGCGTGCAACTAAAACGCGGCAACCTTTTACCGGTCAACGTCTTCAGGTCGGAAGACGTTGGACCGAGCCTCCCCGCAAGGTCACGCGGGGGGGAGGGCGCCCCGTCGCAGTTTTGCCCGCCGGCTACCGCAGAGTTGCGGCGGGTCGCGTCGTTACGGTTCCCTGCGGCAAAAAGCGACGACGCTGACGTAACACAGCGGGGGCGGCTAGGCCTCCCCCGAGGAAAATTAACGCCGAGCCGCATCGCGCCCACCGAGTCAGCGGTGAACGGGTACCAACCCCTTGCAAACTTGCAAGACGGCGTCAGAAACGGCAGAGGGTTATTTGGCCAAAAAACATCTTCTTGCAATGGAGGACCGCAGAGCTTGGGAAATCGTTAAGCGCCGGCTCCTCACCGCCTGGGAAAGGGGGTTAAGAAACCTGGCCCACTGCCCGCGGCGCGGCACCAGGGCAAAAGAGGGAATAATTCGGTGCGTGGAGACGCGCGACGTCAAGACGCGATCACGAACTCGGTGCCCGTTTCCCGGGAGGATCGCGCGGAGCGTTTCCCGGTCGCCGCCGCCGCCGCCGCCGCCGGCGTCACCGGTCCATGGCCACCTCCTCGCCCGGCGCCTCCGTGAGCTGCAGCAGCGTCCGGCAAAATTCCAGAGCCTCCTGTGGCCGCGACGCACGTGCACACCGGCGCGTTACAAAGGGCATCACAAAGGGCGTCACACTGGCACGTCACAACACGCGTCACACCAGCGCGTCACACCGGCGCGTCACAAAGCGAGTCACAAAGGGCGTCACAAGGGGCGTCACACTGACGCGTCACACAGGCGCGTCACAAAGCGAGTCACAAAGGGCGTCACAAAGGGCGTCACACTGACGCGTCACACGGGCGCGTCACAAAGTGCGTCACAAAGGGCATCACACCGGCTCGTCACAACATCGGTGAGACTTTGCCGCGCAATCCAAAAGAGTTCTGCGGCGCGCGTCTGATTTGGCCGTTTAACAGTCCCCGAGGTTCCCGTGCGTGTGCGCAGTTTGGCTCAAGAGCATTCAACGGTAGCTGCCCCAAAGGATTGAAAACCACAAAAGTTCAAGTGCGAATGCAATACAACGGCTCTTAACGCCGAATGCGTTACCGCCGGAGGCGTGGAGAGGCTGCCACGCCACGGCAAAGGAGGAGGGGGAGGCGCCGTACCAGGTGCTGCTCGGAGCCTTCCAGGAGGCCGATCCTCTCCAGCAGCGTCTCCCGCAGGCGCAGCTCGGCCCCGCGGCTCTCGCGCAGCGCCGCTCCGTGCCCCGACACCAGGCTGCGGCGACAGGCGCCGGTGCACGCGCGCGGACGTTACTCTTCCGCTCCGGCGCACGGTGCTCTCTGTGTGCGTGTGTGTGCGGGGCTTCGCTTGAAGGTCGTCGATGCTGATGCAGTGTGCACGTTCAGGTGTGCGTGTGTCTACCCCTTACCTGCTCGCGGTGCCGGACGGGCAACTCTGTCGTGGACAGTGCTGTGGGGGGAGGAGCCAATTCCGATTGGCCTCTCCCCTCATGGCGTCTGTGACCACCACAGTGGCTAAACGGGGGCTCTGGACGGGTGCGAGGGGCTGGTAACCCCTCCACCTTCAATAAATTACCATGAAACCACGAATTAAATATGTAACTAATAAGCTTGTGCCGGAGGCCCCGGGGGACAGGCATCTATGACGTCTCCTGGCGAAACCCCAATTGGCGGAGCCAGGAGATTGAATCTCTACCCTCGGGGCTCCTCCAGAAACAACGAAAAGCCACTTCGTGTGGCCACGTGGAATGTTTGAACGCTCACTTCAGAGGAGAGGGCTGCCACTCCTCTGTCGGGAGCTGGACCGGTACCGCCTGGATCTCTGTGGCATTCAGGAGGTCCGGTGGACCGGTTCTGGCTCCTGCCACCATGAGAAGTGGACAGTCCTCTACTCGGGGCAGCAGACTGCCAAACAACAGGGTGTGGGAGCATGGCGGTGAGGTGTGGGAAGCTGTAAGCCCCAGGCTACTTTAGGCTCGCCTTCCCATCAACCGGAGGCGAGGAGTGGTGGTCGTGGTTACTTATGCCCCCACCGAAGATGAACATCCGTGGAGGGATGCAGGCAAAGCCGATGAGTCAGATGCCTTCTATGACCTCCTGTCACAGGTGCTGGCTAAAGTGGCCCCTCGGGATAGAGTCATCTTGTTGGGTGACTTCAATGCCCGAGTTGGTCATGATGCTGGCACCTGGTCTGGAGTGATTGGAGGGCATGAGCCAGATCAGCTCAATAACAACGGTAGGAGGCTGCTAGATTTTTGTGCAGCCCATGGGCTTGTAATTACCAACACGCTGTTCCGGCATCGGTGCATCCACACAACATCATGGATACATGCCGGGTCCAAGCAAGAACATCTGCTGGACTATATAGTGACGGACCAGCGGATGCGAGCCCATGTCCTTGACACCAGGACCTACCGTGGAGCTGATCTGCCATCTGACCATCGACTAGTCATCTGTTAGATGCGCCTGCCATTGTTCCACTCCGGTGGTGGGTGTACACCCAGGACCCCATTCCAACCTAAAGTGGCCTGGTCTCAGTTAGCTGATGAAAGTTGCAAGCGAAAATTTCATCATCGCTTGCGGCTGGGGTTGGCATCGTCATCCACTCCTCCTGATGTCGAGGGTAAATGGGCGAGGTTTAGGACTGTGACTCATGCAGCTGCAATGGCTGCTTTGGGTACGCGGTCCAGACCTCCCCAGAGACCCTGGCTGACAGAGGAGGTGTTCAGGATAGTTTAGAAAAAGCAACAGGCCCACTGTCATCGGCGACAGAATCCCACGTCAGAGAATTAGGAGGCTTACCACAGCCTTCGCCGGAGATTCGAAGTGCCGTGAGGCGCTACAAGGATGGGTGGTGGTCGCGGGTTGCTGAGGAGATGGAGTCTGCCTCAGTGGCCCGCGATCACAAATCTCTATTTAACTCCATCAAAAAAGTAACCTGCAGCGCCACACCTTTTACCATCATTAGGGGAAAAAATGGTGATCCAATCTCCGACCCCCAGGAACAGGTTTGCAGATTTGCTGAGCATTTCTGTGAGGTCCTGGGGGAGAGGAAATCCCTCAGCCGGGAAAACATCATGGCACAAAGTGGGGATGACCCTGCTGAGGCTGCGGTGCCTCAAATATTGGAAGAAGTCACCCCCCTGTGAGTGGCTGGCTGAGGTGCCATCTGTTGAGGAAGTACTGAAGGCGATCCGGAGTCTGAGACCAGGAAAGGCAGCGGGCAGAGATGATCTCCCAAGCAAAATGCTGAGGGAGGGTGGCGTTTGTGCACAGACTGCCCTATATGACATCATAACAACAGTCTGGACCACTGGTGGGGTTCTGCAGGATTGGAAGAATGCCCTGGTGGTCCCCCTCTTTAAGAAGGGGGACCGCACAGACTGTAACAACTACAGGGGCATCTCACTCCTCAGTGTGCCGGGAAAGGTCCTGGCAAGGATTATTCAACATCGCCTTGCCAGGCACGCTGAGGAGAGGCTTGCCGAGCCCCAATGCGGTTTCAGGAAAGGGCGGTCCTGCACAGATGCCATATTTTCTGTCCGTCTGCTACAGCAGAGGTGTAGGGAATTCCAACAAGACCTAAATCTCTGCTTTATTGACCTGGTCAAGGACTATGATACCATCAGTAGGCCTGGGCTCTGGGTTGTTCTTCGTGCTTTTGGAGTCCCTGACCCTCTGCTCACGATCATTAAGGACCTTCATGATGGTGAGCGGGCCCGGGTGAAACTACGTGGCCGGGAATCAGAGCCATTCCCTGTAGACCTTTGGGTGCGCGACAGGGATGTCCTCTGGCTCCCACATTATTTAACATTTATTTTGACCAGGTAGTTCTTGAAGCCTTCAATAGCTGTACCGGGGGAATCTCCATTTGGTACAGATATAATGGGAGGCTGATCGATGCCCGGGTGCGGTCAAGGGATGGCTCCCTATTGCTCAACCACATTATGTATGCCAATGATTTGGTAATAGCTAATCATTCAGAGGAGGAGTTGGAGACACTGCTGCTGAGACTGGAGCGTGCCACTAAGAGATGGGGCCTTACCATCAGCCCCACCAAAACTAAGCACCTGCCTGGGTATTTTGTACCATCGGACAGTCCACCCCCACAACTCCCAATCGGTGATGGGGCAGTTGTGGAGAGAGTGGAGAGTTTCCCATACCTGGGCAGTGTGCTTATGACCGGCTCCAGTTTAACAACAGAGTTCTCCCTCCGAATCAGTCGAGCGGCAATATCTTTCCATCGGTTGCGTAACGCTGTGTGGAAGCTACCTGGTCTGTCGCTCCGCACTAAGCTTCAGGTGTTCTCGGCCACGGTCATTCCCTCCCTTCTCTACGCTTGCGAAACGTGGACCCCCCTAATGGAACATCTTCGCCGGTTAGAAACATTTAGGCTAGCCTGCCTACGATCCATCCTGGGTTTAACCAGGCTGGATTGTGTGAGGAACAAATCCTTCAAAGATCTGGGCAAGGTCCCATTGCTGAGCTCCTCTGGCAGGCAAGGCTGCGTTGGCTGGGTCATGTAGCCCGCATGCTCAGCCACCGCATGCCGAAACAGCTTTTGTTTGGCCAGATCGAGGGGGCTAAACGGGCACGGCACGGGCTAGAGAAGAGATGGAGTGATGTGGTACAGGAGCACGTGGAGCTGAATGGACTTGCCGATGACTGGTACCAGCGGTGTCAAGATCGGCCTCTGTGGAGGAGGCTCATGAAGGACGCTACTGGGCAGTTGGAGGCAGTCGCCCTCCAACAACAATGGAGGGCGGAGGAGCGACGCTCACAACAACGAGCGGAGCGCCGGGTGGCTAAAGCACAGCAGGTTGGCACAGTAGGGGGCACAGGTGGTGCATCAGCCAGCCATCTCAGTCATCTCAGTCAGTCGACCCGTGGCACTTGGGTCTGCCCCGTGACCTCCTGCCAGCGGGCGTTCGACACTTCACGTGGCCTCAAGGTGCACATGGCCTGGCACAAGCGTCGTGGCGACGTCACCGCCACTTAGAGACGAATGGCGGTTGTTGTTTTTGTTGTAGGGAGCTCGCTTACAGCACTTGCCCCAACAGTCTGTTAAGGCTACACAGGGGATCTTTGTCTAGGTGTGTGCAGCGATAGTGTAGCGGTTAGCGTGCTGCGCAGTGAACCCGGCGACCAGAATTCGATTCCCGCTCACGGCCAACACCAGTGACGATTATCAGAACCGGTCCTGGGCCTCCCCTAGGTCGACTCGGCCTCAAATGAGGATCTAGTGCGGTGTGTAAACATCGCCAATGGGGAGACAAAGGCGGTCGGGCGTGGTGCTGGCCACCCACTCCTTCGTGTGCCGCGCTGGCCTTCACAGGTGCTCGCAAACAGCACTTGCCCCAACAGTCTGTTAAGACTACACGGGGGACCTTTGTGTAGGTGTGCATGCATGTTGTAGGTGTGTAGGTGTGCATCCATGTTGTAGGTGTGTATGAGTGCATGCATGTTGTAGGTGTGTAGGTGTGCATGCATGTTGTAGGTGTGTAGGTGTGCATGCAAGTTATAGGTGTATGTTGTGCATGCATGTTGTAGGTGTGTGTTGTGCATGCATGTCGTAGGTGTGTAGGTGTGCATGCATGTTGTAGGTGTGTAGGTGTGCATGTATGTCGTAGGTGTGTGTTGTGCATGCATGTTGTAGGTGTGTATGAGTGCATGCATGTTGTAGGTGTGTAGGTGTGCATGCATGTTGTAGGTGTGTGTTGTGCATGCATGTTGTAGGTGTGTAGGTGTGCAGGCACTTGCCTGCACAGTGCTCCGAGCACATGCTCGTGGAAGGGTTCATGGGGGGCGTGCAGCAGGGCGACCAACTGCTGCACCATGCCCATCGCGCACAGCTCTTCTGCACTCGCACACACACACACGGATGTCTACATTCACATATCCGCACACGGGTACACACACAAACATTCAGGCAGGCCTGCCTTACAATCCATGCGGAGTTTAACCAGACTGGATTACAGAGCCTCGAAACATCAGGGAGAGGCGAGGCCGAGTAGGCTGCGCCACGTAGCTCACATGTCTCCTGCACACCGCATGCCCAAGCAGCTTCTGTTTGGCTGGACGCAGGGGGCTAAGCAGGCACGATATGGGCTAGAGAAGAGATGGGCTGATATGTGTGAATGGCGCGTCGACCAGGCCTCCCCCCTAACTCGACTCGCCATTAAATGAGTACCTGGTGCAGCGTGTAAACATCACAACTCGGGGGACTAAGGTGGCCAGGCGTGGTGTTAGTCACCTACCCACCCACGTGCTGTGCCGGCCTCCATAGGTGCTCGCTAACAGCACTTGTCCCAACAGTCTGTGAAGGCTATCGGAGGAACCTTTGTCTTTGGTCCGTGCCCGTGTGTGTGTGTCCCCCCCCCCCCCGCTGATCTTCTGGGTGTCACACCTGCGTGTCTGTATGTGTGCGGCTAACACGCAGCGAGGTGGGAGCTTGCTCAGTGGGGACCACAGGTGGTGATGCCACCTGCCAGACGTCTCGGGTCGTGCGGCCAACCCACGCACGGCACAACCTGGGTCCGTCCCCCCATGACCTCCTGCTAGCAAGCAAGCAAGCCTTGGACACTTCGCGAGACGACCCGCAAGTGCACCAAGCCTGGCACGAATGCTGCGGCGACATCACCACCCTCACCGTGGCGAGTTGGCCGCCTGCCTGCCGCCATTGCTGCTAATGCTGACGCCATTGTGGTGGTGGGCAGGAGTGCCGCCTTAACCTTTTAACTTTTTATTTTTCCAGGCTAAGGGCCCACTGAGCTAAGTAGCTCTTTTCAGAAGCGACCTGGCTGTCACGAATGATAGCGCGACGAAGTGGGCCTTTGCCCACTTCAGCAATTTGTTTATTGCTGTGGTTGTTTCCACCTGATGAAGGCCACTTGTGTCGCGCCCGAAACGTCGTGATTTAATTTATTAGGTTTTCTACCTACTGCGTGACTTTGCCGAAAGAACCAAAGAGCACGGATCCCTGTAGTCACGAAAACTTCTAATCTTGATTGGGCTAATTATCATCACGTGGAAATTTATTAGCAGCCTAATACTCTAAACGCGTGGCTCTAAGTGTGGAGGGAAAAAGCGGAGGAGCCGGAGAAAAATCCAAGCGACCACGGAGAGAGAGAGAGAGAGAGACACACGCAAACTTCAAATACACAGCAGGGGTCGCGATCGAGCACCGACGACACTCCTGCGTACCAGGCGAGGGAGCAGACACCCCGCCACCGCGGAGCCAAACCCACCGTGGTGCTCCGTGCCGGCCATGAGCAGGCTGTGGAGGAGGAAGGCGGCCTTGACCCGCGGCCTCTCGCCGGGGTCCTGCATGGCTCGCAGCAGCACCGAGAAGCCGTCTCCCTGTGCCAGCGCGCGACGACCCAGCGGCAGCTCACGCACCAGGCCTGTGAAGAAGAACGTGGAATTAGGAAAAAAAGTCAAGCAAAGATGAAGTCAAAATGAGTGAAAATGGAAAGAAAAACGTATCACGTTAAAGAGATGAATTTTACAAAAGTTACAAAACAAAATTATTCATGGAAAAATTTCCGAAAAGTGAAACCAAGTAAACAAACAGATATATAAACCGCTGATTTAAAGCTTTCGTGACTGCAGGGACTGTCCTCCAGACAGTCTCGTCCCCTTCACCTGATGAAGGCCGCTTGTGTTGTGGCCGAAACGTCGTGAAAATATTATTGTGTTATTTTATTTTATCAATTTATTATTTTATTCTCATTGTACGTGACTTTACCGAAAGAACCAAAGAAGATCTTTCGGTAAAGTTACGTAGAAGGGAAACAAAATAATAAAACTATAAAATTCTCACGACGTTTCACCACTTTTTTCAAATTTTCTTGCTGTGGTTTTCACACCTGATGATGATTGCTTGTGTTGCAGTCGAAACGCCGTGAGAATTTTATTATTTTATATTTTTATTATTTTATTGTTTCCCTTCTACGTGACTATACCGAAAGAGCCAAGAATATATAAACCGCTGTCGCAGGCGAGCGGATAAGGGGGCGGCACCCAGGCGATTGCCCAACCTCTGCGGTCTTCTATATATAAAGATGTTTTATCCGCCGAGTGTTTATTACATGTGAGGAAATCCACGCGCGCGACGGGGCAACACTATCCCATCCGGAAGGGACAGATGATATTCAACGGCACTTTGCTCTATACTGCCCCCTCTGCTGGCGAACCAGGGGTAAGCGCTCCTCCTCCGCGCCCACGCGCAAGAATGGAGGTTCGCAACGTCTACGCGGCGGTCCACCAACCCTCGCTGCCACCTCCACACAGCACTGGACTACCGGCAGCCACGTGTAGCAGCGGCGGCGGCGGCGGCGGCGTAGCGACTGCGGCCGCAGCGACCGAGAAGATTATCATCTCTCTCTCTCTCAATCGATCAATCCAACTCAAGTCAACCAATCCGCGCCCGCCAGCTCTACGGAGAAGTGAAGGGCGCAACGGTCGGGCCGGGTCTGCGAGGTGGGCGGCTGCCGCGTGCGTGCGTGCGGGGTGGCGAGCCGGCACGGTGGAGGCCGCAGGCGGTGTGCATCTGCCAGACATCTCAGTCGGTCGGTCAACCCCAACACGGCACCGTCCGTCCCCCGACCTCCGACTCCTGCCAGCCAACCAGCCAGCCAGCGAGCCTACGACGCTTCGTGAGACGACCTGCAACATGTGCGTGTAGCCCGTCCGTCGTCGTCGTCGTCGTTGACAATGACGGACTAAAACGATAAAAACTATTTTTTTTTATTTGAGCAGGTAAGGCACACTGAGCTATGTAGCTCTTTTTCAGGAGCGACCTGGCCATCACAAACAACAAATGGCTCATCGTCACGTGGACATTTATAGCAGCCAAATACTCATAAACGCGTCGTGTTGATGCTATATGTGGAGGGAAAAAACCGGAGGACCTGGAGAAAAATCCACGCGACCACGCGGAGAGAGAGAGAGCGAGAGAGACACGCAAACTCAAAATATACAGCAGCAGCAGCAGGCATCGTCAGGGTCGGGATCGAACCCACGACCTCCTGTATACCAAGCGAGGTAGTTAACATCTCCTACCCACCCTGGTGATGATGATGATGATGATCGTGAGAGCACACGCAGACCCCCAAACACACAGCAGCGGGCGCCAGGGTGGTCGGGATCTGAACCCACGACCCCCCGCACACCCCCCCCCCCCCCCGGGGGGGGGGGGGGGGTTGGTGGTCAACACCCCCCCGGCCGCCGTGGACTCACACGAGACGGCGAGCAGGGCCTTGACGCGCACGCGAGCGTCGGCGTCGGCGTCGGCGCGCCGCAGCAGCCGCGGCAGCGCCCCGAGCTCCAGCGCCGCCTCCTGCACTCGCGGCGCGTTCTGGGCGCACGTCGCCACCAGCTCGGCGGCACGCCACCGCAGCTCGGCGCCGTCCGCGTCCAGGTAGCGCTGCACCACCAGCGCCATGCCGCCCAGCTTGCAGAAGTCTGGCCCGCGGCCGGGGGTAGGCGGGGGTAAGGAGGCGGAGGGAGCGGGGGAAGAGGCAGAGGGAGCGGGGGAGGGAGGAGGCGGAGGGGAAAGAGGTCGAGGGGACAGAGAGAGGTGCAGGGCATGAGAGTAAGGGGGTTATTGCGCAATGCAGGTTTCCCTCCTCGCTCTGTGCGGCAGCAGCAGTAGATGCGCTCTAAAAAAACAAGGGTGCACAAAGCGCAGCCACCAGAAGAGACAGCTGCCTGCCGAGTACAAAGATACAAAGATCCCCCATATAGCCTGTAACAGACTGTAGGGGCAAGTGCTGTTAGCGAGCACCTATGAAGGCCGGAACGGTACACGAGGAGGTGGGTGGCTAGCACCACGCCCGACCGCCTTTGTCTCCCCAGTGGCAATGTTTACACACCGCACCAGGTACTCATTTGAGGCTGAGTCGACCTAGGGGAGGCCTGGGACCGGTTCAGATAATCGTCACTGGGTGTTGGCCGTGAGCGGGAATCGAACCCGGGTCGCCAGGTTCATAGCGCAGCGCGCTAACCGCTACACTATCGCTCCCCACACACACACATGCACTGTTGTATTCAATATAGATCAGCGGTCACCAACCTTTTTGGCACCAGGGACCGGTTTCGTGGAAGACAATTTTTTCACGGACCGGGGGGGGGGGGGTCATCATTGGGTCTATCCCCCTTGTCAAAGAAGCTCACCAGCGACGTTTGTGTTTTTTTACTCACTTTGGCTACTCGGGGTCAGAGCTTGTGGGCTTACCAACACTGTGACCGAGGCAGCCGCGCAGTGCGGGAAATAAGGCGCGGATGGAAGTGGTAAATAATAAAATAATGGGGCGGGCTACGTGCGGATTCACCGCTCACCTCCTGCTGTGCGGCCCAGTTCCTAACAGGCCGCGGACCGGTACCGGTCCGAGGCCCGGGGGTTGGGGGACCCCTGATCGAGAGGACACATCCGGCATTCCTCTAGGCATAGCGCGAGCCGCGGCTGCTTGTCACGGGGGCCGCCTGACCGGGCCTTCACCGGCCGACCGCTGCAAACCGACCCGAGCGAGAGACCAGGGTGGGAGAGGGGCGGGGGGGGGAGTCGGGGCCTTAGCCGTGTGCACCCACCCTGAGCGTTGTCGATGCTGTCGGTGACGTCAAGCAGGGCGTCCAGCGCGTTAATCAGCCGCGTTGTCACCTCCGGCAGATCCTCCGGGGCCTCCGCGTCGGGTCCCGGCGGCGGCAGCGGCGGCGGCCCAGGGTGGGCCTCTGAATCGCCCCCCGGCCCGGCCCGCAGGATGTCGAGGGCCTGCTTCATGAGCTGAACGTCGTCCTGAGCGCTGCTCATGGACACCGACAGGGCCTCCTGCAGCCACTGCCTTCTCTGTCGGAGACGGAGAGAGAGAGGAGTGAGGTTGGAGAATGACGGCATGAATGGGGTGGGGGGGGAGAATGTTGGGGAGGAGGGAGGAGAGTGGGAGGGAGGAAAGGGGAGGGAGGAGAGGGGAGGAAGACAGAGGGGAGATGAGGATGGGGGGGGGAAGAGGAGCAAGAGAGGAGGAGGGAGCAGGAGAACATGTGAACGTTCCCATGACCCGTGTGTTCCTTTCTCTCTCCGTGTTCTCTGTGTTATTATTCCGAGCAAGCACGCTCCCACCCTCGCCAAGCTTCTCTGCGCACTTTTCAATTTTGTGTTTCCATAGCCTCCGTCAGCGCCCCGCACCTCCGATTAGCACGGTTGGCTTCGCGAGGCGCGTAAGAAGTTCACAGTAGATACACACGTTCTAAAAAAAGTCCCTGCTGTCAAAAACAAAGTCCTTTCTGACGACGCGCTGGGATGAAACACGTTGCATTCCAGCATTAATTTCAGATTTCCACAACAAAAAAAACCCATCTCACCTCCTCTCCCAGGAGGTAATTATGAGCAGGAGGTTATCGCACGGACTGCTGCGGTGTAGGTGTCACGATTATCACCCGGCAGTTGAATCCCCGACAGAGATTCTTAAACCCCTCCCCCAGTGCCAGATTAAGCTAGTGCGGGGCCTGTAGCGTATGTTATTAAAGGGGCCCCTGAAATAAAAAAAAAACACGTAAATATTAAAACACAAATTGTTTTACTTGCACAGTAAAGTAATTGTATTTTTTCATTTGCTATACAGCCAGACAATACGACAAATCGCTAACCTTAAACACCCGGTCGTTCATAAAAGTTGAAGGCGGTATAGTACTATAGTAATAGAGCAAGTGCAGAATCACCGAACCGGAATTGATATCTTGAAAGCATTTAGCGCGGGGCCCTTGAAAGTGCGGGGCCCGTAGCTACTACTTACATATGTAGCTACTACATATGTAGCTACTTTTGCTACTGGGATAATCCGGCACTGCCTGCCCCCACATCTCCCAACCTCGCTTCTATCCACACATCAGTTGAAGGAAATTAGTAGGGTACACACCACAGTCGACCGTGGCACGTCCCACGTGGTGGGGGCAAACTGTGGGTACTCCCACCCCTTTCAAAATCACAATGTTGTGTTTATACTGGAGGAATCCGATGAGCTATAAAGCTCTTTTTCACAGATGTCCAGTATTTCACGGGATGTCTGGACAGCGCTGTAGAGTTAGACCATAATTGAACTCTCTAGAACGGCTGTCTAAAGCTGCCTCTCATCTTATATTGATTCATAGTCCCTTATTATTCCAAGGCCCTTCTGTTAGCAGTGGCCTGAGCAAGCAGTTTAAGGGCTGCGCCTTTGCCATTACCTGCCCTTCACACGCGTCAATAACACTGTCGCCTTTAGAGAAAGAGAAAAAAAAATAAAAGGCGACGTTTCGTGCAATGGCCCTTCTTAACCTATCACACACGGGTTAGACCATTCAATTGGGTCCATCAGACGTCCCAATAGACATACAACAATAACCTTAACCAGATTCTCCGCGACTCCTGACGTGCAAGTTGTAGATAAGGGTGCCGTCACGAAACGTCTGGAAAGTTTGAGAAGCTTAATGAAACATTCTATAAGTGACTCATAGGGAGTCGGAGAAAGTCACGGGGAACCGCGGAGAGAAGACCCAGCGGGGAAGGCCCGGCTCCGAAACGTCAAGGGAAACGTATCATTCGTTTTTGGAGCTCACAATTGATGAACACCGGAGGCTCAAAACGCCAAGAGGCCAGGAGCAAACAGCACTGCTGAAGGTTTAATAGAGAGTTCACACGCGGTTATTATCGTACGAACTCGGAGTAACGAGGGGCAGCAGCTGCGATCTGCAGTGGGGGTGAGTGGGTGAGTCATTGGGTGGGGTGGGTGGGTGAGTTGGTGAGTGAATGAGTGAGTGTGTTGTTGTTGTTGTTGTGAGTGTTGTTGTTGTGACTTGCAGTTTGTCCATCAGTATGGTTGGGGAGACGCAACACAGTGTCTGTGAGACCGAGTTTTTAACATGTGGGGATAAATCGGCGCGTGAACTTTACTGGAAACGGCACCCACGGTACCCTACTAACTAGTAGTCGAGATAGAGGGGTGAGAGGATGTGTGAATAAGTGGGTGAGTGGATGGGTGGGTCGGTGAATGAGTGAATGGATGAATGGGTGGGTGAGTGGATGAATGGGTGGGTGAGTGGATGAATGGGTGGGTGAGTGGATGAATGGGTGAGTGGATGAATGGGTGGGTGGGTGAGTGGATGAATGAGTGGGTGAGTGAGTGAATGAGTGGTTGAGTGAGTGAATGAGTGGATGGGTGAGTGAATGAGTGGATGGGTGAGTGAATGAGTGGGTGGGTGAGTGGATGAGTGGGTGACTGAATGAGTGGGTGGATGAGTGGCTGGGTCAGTGGATGAGTGAGTGAACGAGTGGTTAAGTGGGTGGGTGAGTGAATGAGTGGGTGGGTGAGTGAATGAGTGGGTGAGTGAGTGGGTGGGTGAGTGAATGAGTGAGTGAATGAGTGAGTGAACGAGTGGTTAAGTATGTGAGTGAGGTGAATGAGTGGCTGGGTCAGTGGATGAGTGGTTGGGTGAGTGAATGAGTGGGTGAGTGAGTGGATGAATGAGTGGGTGGGTGAGTGGTTAAGTGGGTGGGTGAGTGCTGTGTGGGTGGTTGAACAGAGTGTGGTTGATGAGACGACACAGTCTGTATCCCAACACGGTTGGACAAATGTCAGTTCAGTCGCGTTGCATTATTAGTAAGGGCCTAGAAGGCCGGGGAACGCCACGGAATGCCAAAGAAGGCTGCAGAATTTAAGAGGACGTGGAAGCCCGTGGAATTATCAAGAAAAGTCTGCGACCTTCACAGAACGTTCTGAACGACAGAGGAATGATCGGCACGGGCGGGTGGCAGGAAGGCCTTGAAGGCGGGGGAGGGGGGGAGGAGGGCATTGGGGAACGTTCGAGAAAGCCGGAGAAGGCCGGCGAGTGACGGGAAATGACATCGGGGAAAGCCACGAGAGATGGGTATTGCAAGGAAGGCCGGCATAGAGAGACGGGCAGAACAGACCGGAGAATGCCAAAGAGTGCGTTGGAATGAGGAAAATCCAGGGGCGATAAGATCGTACAAGAGAAGGCCGTTATTAGAGACGGGCCGGATAGACCGGGGAAGGCCTAGAAATGACTGTGAACATCAGGGAAAAGCCAGGAGAGATCAGGACATTATGTGGAATGCCGTTATCGTCAAGGGAAGCCAGGGGGGAGGCCATGGAAGGGCCCTGGGAAGGCCCGGGGACGTCCCGGCTAAGTCCGTACCTCAATGGACATCGGCAGGGGACCCTGCGGGCCCGGCGCCGCATCCTCCTCGCTCCCCGCCTCCACCGCAAGTCTCAGCAGCCCCGGGAGGTCGCTAATGCGGCTGGGTCGGCCCGGGTCACCTCCTCCCTGGGCCATTGTGGTCACGGCCCGATGCCTCTCCAACCGCGACTGTTGGTCACGACAGCGAGCTGGCAGCACGAAGAGCGCCGGAACCACCGCGGCCGTGTCTGGCCTGACAGTCACTGCACTGGGTTAGAGAGGAGGCCACGTGGGTTGTGGGGGGAGATTACCGCCCCCGCCCCCGCCCCCCCTCCTACAAACCACGTGGTCTCGACACGAGTTCCCGCCGCCCGCAAATGACGTCACGCAATACGATGTACATGCTGCGATGCAATGAGGTCATGCTGCGATGTGATTGCGTCATGGTGTGAGGGAATGATGTCATGCTGCGATGTAATAACGTCATGCTGTGATGTAGTGCTGTAATGCAATGTTTCGCTGTAATGCAATTATGTCACGCTGTAATGCAATGTCAAGCAGTAATGTAATGACGTCGTAGTGTGATGCAATAATGTCATGCTATAATGCAATGTCAAGCTGTGATGCAGTGACGTCATGTTGTAATGCAATTGTCATGCCACTGTCATGCTGTAATGGAATGATGTCATGCTGTGATGCAATAACGTCAAGCTGTAATCCAATGATGTAATGCGATCTCCTTTAACAAATATCAAATATATTGACACTGCAGGCGGAAGCCGATGAGCTACAAAGCTCGTTTTTTTATAATAAAACGTTACAACAAACAATAACAAAACACGATAGGAGTGCAAAGTAAAGGAAAGGTAAAAAAATATATACAAATAAAACTAAACTATTCCTGGTAAATCCCACTACTGAGCAATTAGATTATTTTTCAGAGCGACATGGCGATCACAAACGATAGCTCAACGAGGTGGCTTGTCAGCATCGTGTACACGTCTCGCAGGGAGACTTGTGCAACGTGTTGAGTATCATTACTTGATGATGTTGAGGCTGGAGGATAAGGAGGAGTTCGTATAGAGCAGTAGACCAGCGGTTCTTCTTCTTCTTAACTTGGGGTGCACGCTGCACCTACGGCGTGAGTGGACTAGTGGCCACGGGAGGTAATGCCAGGGGAGTCAGCCTGCAGTGCGAATGGACTAGTGGCCACGGGAGGTAATGCCAGGGGAGTCAGCCTGTAGTGCGAATGGACTAGTGGCCACGGGAGGTAATGCCAGGGGAGTCAGCCTGCAGTGCGATTGGACTAGTGGCCACGGGAGGTAATGCCAGGGGAGTGCTAATGGACTAGTGGCCACGGGAGGTAATGCCAGTGGAGTCAGCCTGCAGTGCGAATGGACTAGTGGCCACGGGAATTAATGCCAGGGGAGTCAGTCTGCAGTACGAAAAGACTGGTGGCTATGGGAATGATCGAGAATAGGAGCGTGGCCAGGTGACGGAAGAGGACGGTGGAGTCTGCTGGTAGAGCGGGCAGTCTCGAACCAGCGAGAAGGTTTGGGAATGGGGCATAGCCTCAGACTGTATGTAAAGGGAGATGAGCAGGAGACTCGGGGCTGTTGCAGTGGGGTCTTCGCCGGTTCGGGGGTGAGCACGTGACTCCTTAAATAAAGAAACCATCTCAAGACAAGTACGTCGAAGTCGTCTTTACACAAACAAGACACACCTGTAATAAGTTGATTTATTGTAAATACGTCCACAAGAAAAGCAACGGACCAAAAAAACATCGACTTTGATCGGCAGCTCGCGAAAGCAACAGTGTCTCTGAGTCCACTTTCAAAAACGTCTAAATCTGAACGCCGTACAACTTGCACTTAAGGCCACGTGGCTATGACGTCTGCAGACCGGGCGTCAAACTTCCCTTTCAAGAATTTTCTTGACTCCGCTTCAAGGCACATTGCAGAAGAACTGCGTAAACTTCAAAGTCACTAGCAGATCAGTTGCAAAACGTCACGGGCTTCAATTCGTACCGTGCCAATTTCAAACGCATTCGAAATCATCATCACCATCTTCAGCATTTGGAGTCCCGACCGGTACTTTTTTTGCACCACTAGTTTAGCTAAAGGCACAGCGCTATAGCTAGGTACGGCCCCTCGCTAGTTAACGGAGAGCCCCTCTAGAGCTTATCTTGGCCGACGCTTTCACGTTGACCAGACTGCCTTGGAAGAGGTGGGGATTACCCACACTTTAACCCACCGCACGCGACTTGCCGATCGACCAATTGCAGAACCGGGCGAACCAGGAATGTAGAATTCCCACCGCTGGCTCTGCAGGGCTGTAAACGCTACACGTCGAAGTCGTCTTTACACAAACAAGACACACCTTGTTTGTGTAAACTAAACTATTTTTATATTACCAGGTAAGGCCCACTGAGCGACGTAGCTCATTCAGAAGCAACCTTGCCACAAGTGATAGTTCAACGACACGTGGAAATGTATAGCAGTCGGCAAAAATCCAAAATATGGAAGCAAAAACCAGAGGAGAAAAGTACACGCGACCACGGGAAGAGAGACACCGCAAACTCCAAATATGCAGCAGGTGTCAGAGTCGGGATCGAAGCCACCACCTCCTCCATACCAGGCGAGGCAGTTAACATCTCATAGCTACTGCGGTGCCAATGACGCAGCGTGCGATGAGCACCACAGCGACCGAAGCCGCGCGGCACCGTTTCGTCACCTCCCTCGGCAGCGGCCCGCCGTTGGCAATCCGGCAACGAGACCCAACCTCCCGCGGAGCGCCGTGAAAATTCACAATGTGCAAAAACGAACGAGGGGGCGAAAATAAACTGCGCAGTGCACAACCTCAACACACGCCGCTCGTTAAATAACAGCTCAAGGCAACAAGGGCCAAGTAATAAATAACAAAGCGAGGGAACGGCATAAAACTCGAGCAAACAAACGACACTAAATGCAACGCAACGCTCCTTTCAGATGATTGTCATTGCAATCGCCAGCACCTGTTTGGCAAAACGTCGCGCGCGTCGCCCTTAAAAAAACACAATAAAAAAATGAGGCTCAACGCTACAAAACGATTGGTGGCGTGAAGATTTTCGTGCTTCACAATGCCCATCGCATTTGTGTTCTGCCAGACCTCCAGTGAGGATGGTCACCTAACTGAAGCTGAACACAAGCCTGCCACACCAATCTTCTAAATCGCTGCAACTTTACAATTTCGTAACCTTCATGACAAAGTAAATTTGAGCGACGAGACTTACCTACCGGGGAGAGTCTCACTCGAGGCTATTTCTTGCAATAGGGGTGGCGATGTCTCTACGTGGTTCACCCCCCCCACCCCCACCCGAGTAATTTGCGGTGCCAACTTTCCAGATGCGTGCCGCGTCGCCGGACGCACATACGGCCATATCTTTTTGCGAACAACGCCAAGGGACCTTTTAAGCGCCTACCGCGAATTGGACGGCGCGTATTTTGACGGCTGTTGCAGCAGCGGCACCCCGCCAGTTTTAACCAGGGCGGCCGCCGGGGTCGAAACCCGCCCAGCGGCATACGGTCAGCGCCACGTCGACGATAATCGCGATTCGAGTTTATTTTTGGAAAATGCGAGACCAGGACATGATTATAAATCGCAACTGTTCAACACCGCGGGCAACCCTACACTGATGTCAGCTGTTGATTAGCCTCTCACCTAAAACCACCCCCCCCGCGGAATTCACATTTGTCGGGAGAGAGTTCCACAAATTACATTTAAAAAAAAACACAAAATCAAAATGCAAACTTCGCTTCAAAAGGTCTGGCGGCGTTATTAACGCACCGGGCCTTCTCACGAGTTTGGCAATAACAACCAGGCGTACGCATGGATTCTGCGACCATTTCCAACGCGAGCTTGTCCTCGGATGTATCGAGTCCACACCCCCCCCCCCCCCCCCCCCCCCCGGAACAGCAACGCAAACGTTACAAAAAATATTTGTAATTGATATAAATCAACGTTACGGGAATTATCATAACCCTACCCCCCACCTCAGCCGCTACAGACAGAGGCATTAACACTTTCAACCCTGGGTTAAAAAAGCATAAAACACCCCACAGCACCAGTCCTTGCCGAATGAAGGCACCCCGGGAATTGATTCTCGCATATACAGGAAGGCACAACTCTTTCCAGAATGTGAAAACAAATTTCTCTCTCACTGTGCATTTGTTTGCTCAATGTTTCAGGAGGTCAAAAGGAGACCTATTTACACACCTCCTCCGTCAGGCGAGCAGACTCACATTACGTCGGGAAAACGGGCTGTCACGGTGACAGCCAGTACCGCGGTAAAACAAACTCGAGGCCAGACTTTCAGGCTAAGCCAGAGTAAATAAATTAAATTAAAATCAAAACATCAACTAAAATTATCTCCCGACCGGAACACTACACACGCATGCCGATTGATCTGCGTGTGAACGGAGACTGCGCGCGTGCGCACTAACGATTCTAAAGGCTGTTGTGCGGCCTACTTATCTGTTGTGTGGAATTCGACGTCTGCTAGGTACTCTCAATCTGTTGAAAACGAACACATTATATGTACATATTTAGCAAGGAATATTACACCGAATGCCTGACCGTCGGCACGCTCGCGACACTTTGAGAACGCGGGCCGAAAAAAAACCGCCTCTGAACCCAGGATCTCCGCGGTGCCAGAATCCGTGTCTCTGTCGCTCTCCTCTGCTGGAACACGTGGACGAGTGTCAGGGAGTCAGGCTGCTCGAACGGCGAAATCTGCCCGCGACGCTCTTCCGGTCGCTGGGGCAACGTTCCTTGGACATCAGCAACTGCAGCTCTCTGAGAATGAAAGAAATAAAGAGAGAGAGGTGGTGGGAGAGACGGTTACTAAATGGAGACATCGTTCACAGACCAATGTTGGGGGCCCACTCAGTGGCCGGCAGAGCAAGCACCTCGCAATCGCAAGGATTTAGAGTTCAAATCCTGGTTAGGGTTTGACTGGGCCCATCATCATCAGCAACATCCCATCCTATGGGGTACATAAAATGAGTACCAATCTGCATGGAAATCAACAGCGGTTGGCCTATGGCGAGACTCGCCCCCACCACCCCCATCCTGCCGTCAACGGAACGTTTCCACCAATGGAGATGAGCTCTGCCTCAACGCTCATCTGAGCGGCAAATCGCTTTTGATGGCGAAGAGAGAAAAAGAGAGAGAGAGCACAGGCAGCCAGGGGTGCGCTGGGCAGTGCGCCAAGTACCGCGCCACGAACCCGGCGACCCGAGTTCCATTCCCGCTCACGGTGGCAGCAGCAAAAAAAATTTAAAACCTGCGAGCCGGCACCGGGGTCGGATCGGCCTTAAATCAGCACCTGCTGGTGTGACGTGCAAACAAACACGTGGACAGCGGGGAGACAAAGGCTGCCGGCGGCGCGCGGCGATGTCCACGCCTTCCCCTCGTGCGCCCCCTGGCGTCCTTCGCAGTCGTAGGGTGCTCGCTAAACAGCACTTGCCCCCGGCGGCGACAACGGGAGGGCTGGGGAATCTTTGTCTGTGCTTGGATACAGGCGCCGAACCGCCGGGGAGTTCACGGACAAGCCAGGGGACTGCAGTGAGCAGGGGCCGGTGGCCAAAATAACAAGAGACCATTTTTTTCTTCAAATTCGGTAAAAATTATATACAGCAAAACCTTGGATTGCGAGCATAATTCGTTCCGGAATCGTGTTTGTAATCCAAAACGCTCGTATATCAAAGCGCTCATAAATCAGTTGTGATCACGTGACGCTCGGCAGACAAAGCGTACACGTACTACTCGTATTGCAAGACCCTCGCTCGTTTATCAAATTTGCTCGTCTTGCAAAACACGCGCAGACCAAGTTACTCGCAATTCAAGGTTTTACTGCATGTATAATGATAATAGGGTTTTCCCCCTTTCTGGCAATAAAACAGGTGTTAAGATGTTAAAACACGAAACTTAAACCTTTGCAAGGAATCATGTCGGCATTAACCACACATACTTGCGGTGAACATGCAAAGAAAAAAACGCATGCTCTGACAGTATGTGCACTGTCTTTGAAACGGATTGGTCCACACCATATTTCAAGAGGCGCGATGCACGTCGATACGAGACGGGGGTCCTTAATAAACAAGGGTCACGCGAACCGCAGGTTGCCGACCTCTGTACTCGAGAGAGAGAGAGAGAGTGAGGAAGGGAGAGCGTGAGGAGAGAGCCAGTGGAGAGGGTACGAAGGCCGGGGGAAGAAGCGTGGGCGTTCAAATCCTTTGTCCCCCCCCTCACCTGCGCAGGTGAGCGTTCTTGAGGCGTTCGCACGACAGTGCGCGGCGCAGCGACCGCACGCTGCACACCGCGGTGCCGCACAGCGTCGGGTGGCAGCACAGCTCCCCCGTGGAGGGGCGCTCCCCCGCCTGGGGTCTCACCATGGCCTGCATGGGTGGGGGAGTACACGGGGGGGGGTTACACGGCCTTAAAATCTACACCCGGTGCGCGCGCGCGTGCGCGGCACCTGCTCAACCGCCCCCAACTCGCGCGGGCCTCTCCGGGCCCTCCGCAGGTGTTGCTCGCCGACCACACCGCGCTCACCCCAACGGTCCGCTGAAGGCCACGCGGAGGGATCTTTGCCTCCGCGCCTGCGCGTCGCTTCTCCCTCGCTCGCTCGCTCGCTCTCTCTCTCTCACCGTGAGGAGGGTGCGCAGCTCCAGCGACAGGGACGCCACGGCCGCCCCCTCCGGCAGCCAGCCCTGCCGGATCCGGATCCAGTCGGCTTCGTTCCGCGGCAGGGGACCTCCGCCGGCGGCGACCACCGCGCTGAGCGCCAGCGCGAACACGTCCGCCTGCGGCGACGCCAAGTAGTCCTGCTCGGGGTAAGGGGGAGGGGATGGCGGATCGTGAGAGGATGGGCGAGATGTACGTACGTACGTCAAAATTTTTTCGCGCCGCACGTAGCCAACCGTGCTCATCGGAGTTGCGGATGTACGGCAGGCGACAAGTCCGTTGAATCGAATGAGGGTAAGATCGGCTTTTTGGTTTGTGGATCGCACGAGGCCACAATCAAACTCGGGTTTCCTTTCGTAACGATGTATATTCTAAGGAATCACTAGCGTGGAATCGATTTTTATTGAGCACCCCATACTAACTGTCCAGAAACTACCCCTACCTATAACCAGACACTATATTAGCCAGCCAGAAAACTATTCCTACCCCTAGCCACAACTACCCAGCCAGACACTTATCCCTACACCCCTAGCCGAAACCACACAGGCCAGCCGCCGACACCTAGCCGCCAGCCCGACTCTCGACGCTAGCGGCCCAAGCGGCGCTCGCCCGCCCGCCGAGTCGTCCGTGCGCTCACCTGCTGCAGCACCTCCAGCGCGAGGAACCGCGAGTCGCCCTCCTCCACGTGGCGGCTGTTCACCTGCGTCACGTGACCCAGGTCACCTGATCGGGGGGTGGTGGCGGAGGAAGGAGGGGGACACGGCGACGACGGACGCTCGGTGATGACAGCAGCGGCGGCGACGTGGACCCTCCCCGGTGGTGACGTCACTCAGGCCGGGTGTCGTGTCGCTTATGCACCCACCCCCCGTGACCAGAGTTTGATTTCCGCTCACGAACAACGTCGGCTGAGGAATATTGAAACTGCTCACGGACCTCCCTCTAGGTCGACTCCGCCTCAAATGAGTACCTGGTGGGGAGTGTAAACATCGCCACTGGGGAGACAAAGGCGGCCGGGAATGGCTGCGGGCCCACCCAACCCCCCTCAGTGTGCAGTTCCGGCCTTCGTAGGTGCTCGTTAACGTCACTTGCCCCGAGAGTCTCCATTGAGGCGACACGGGGGGGGAGGGGGGGTCTTTGTCTTTGTCTGTGTGTCCACGTGTGCGTGTCCCCACCGATCTTGTAGATGTCTCGAGACTCTCCCACCCTCCCCGCGTCGCTCTGTGGCTCCCCCTCCTCCAGCTCGGACGACAGCGTCCTCTGGGCGATGAAGATGTTACCTGGCGCCGCACGGAGTGGAGGGGGGGGGGTGTGGGGGTACAGAGAAACGCTCCCGTCAAACTCATCTCGAGCTAGGCTCCCCCATTGTTGAGTAATCACAGCATCACGCTGCAGATTCGGCATTCTACCGTCCCACGGTGCGACTGAGACTACCAAGTCTGTGTGGGTGGTTGGCTGGGTGGCTGCCTGGTTGGGCGGATGAGTGGTGGATGGATGGGTGGATCGGTCGGTGGTGGGTGTGTGGGTGGTGGGTGGATGGCTGGCTGGGTGGATGGGTCAGTGGGTGGGTGGTGGGTGGATGGCTGGCTGGGTGGATGGGTCGGTGGGTGGGTGGGTGGTGGGTGGATGGATGGCTGGCTGGGCGAGTGGGTGGATGGGTAAGTGGCGAGCTGACGAGGCGGCAGGGCGTGGAGGCGCCACTCGGGGTGGGGGGTCGGCTGTGCTCACTGGGCTTGATGTCCATGTGCACGAGGCCCAGGCTGTGGATGTAGCGCAGACCCCGCGCCACGTGCAGCAGCATCCGCCGCACTCGCCACTCGGGGAACGCGTGGCCCGGGGAGCGCAGCAGAGCGTCCGTCACGCTCCCACCTACATGCGGAACACGCACACGTGTAAGTAAAGACAAAGATCCCACCCCGTATAGCCTCAACATACTGTTGGGGCAAGTGCTGTCAGCGAGTAGCAGCACCTATGAAGGACGGCACGCCACTCCCGGCCGCCTTTGCCTCCCCAGCGGCGATGTTTACACGCCGCACCAGGTACTCATTTGGGGCCGAGTCGACTTAGGGGAGGCCCAGGACCGGTTCAGATAATCGTCACTGGCGTTGGTGCAGAAAAACATCGCTGTGGTGCTCATTCTGGATGTTCATGTGGTGTGTGTACGTGTGTGTACGTGCGTGCGCGTGCGTGTGGGTACGTGTGTGTGCGTGTGTGTACGTGTGTACGTGTGTGTACGTGTGGTACGCGTGTGTGCGTGTACGTGCGTGTACGTGCGGTACGTGTGGTACGTGCATACCGCTGCAGTACTTTCTCCGTATGTACACGTGGTGTGTGTGTGCACATGCGTATGCTTGTAGAACGTCTATCGCACCATACATAGCCAACCGTGCTAATCGGAGTGGGCCGCACGTGGTGTACGGGTGGTACATGCGGTACGTGTGGTGTGTGTGGTATGCGTGCGTACCGCTGCAGTACTCGTTCTGGATGTACATGTGGTTGTCCTCGGCCCAGGCCGAGTAGTACTGGACCACGTGGGGGTGCTGCCCCAGCACCGCGTGGGCGCACACCTCACGTAGCGCGATCTGCCTGCACCACCACCACCACCACAACCACCGTTCCACAGTCAGCACCACTCCAACATCATCACTGCCACCAAAATCACCACCACGATCAACACCACCGCCACCCGCAATCACCTTCACCGAGTGGGTGAGCGGCGGATGAGAGAACGGGTGAGCGAGCATGTGGGCATCTGAGCGACTGGGTGGACGGGCGAGCGAGCGAATGAGCGTCTGGGCGAGCGAGCGAATGGGCGAGCTAGCGAATGAGCGTGTGAACGAGCGTGTGGGCGAGCGAGTGAGCGCGTGGGCGAGCGAGCGAATGGGCGAGCGAGCGAATGAGCGTGTGGGCGAGCATGTGGGCGAGCGAGTGAGCGCGTGGGCGATCGAGCGAATGGTCGTGTGGGAGAGCGTGTAGGCGAGCGAGTGAGCGCGTGGGCGATCGAGCGAATGGTCGTGTGGGCGAGCGTGTGGGCGAGCGAGTGAGCGCGTGGGTGATCGAGCGAATGGTCGTGTGGGAGAGCGTGTGGGCGAGCGAGTGAGCGCGTGGGCGATCGAGCGAATGGTCGTGTGGGCGAGCGTGTGGGCGAGCGTGTGGGCGAGCGAGTGAGCGCGTGGGTGATCGAGCGAATGGTCGTGTGGGAGAGCGTGTGGGCTAGCGTGTGGGCGAGCAAGCGAGCGAGCGCGTGCGGGCGGCGCGTGCGGAGGGCTCTCACTCGTCGGCGGAGTGTGCGACGGGCCGGCGCGATCGCTTGACCGCGTAGACGCAGCCGTCGAGGCGCTTGACGCAGCGCGACACGGAGCCAAAGTGGCCGTGTCCCAGCGCGCCCAGCTCGTGGAACTCGGTGGAGAAACGCGACATCATCTCCGCCTCCCGCATGCTCATCATGCGCTGCACAAGCGCGACAGCGACAGCGGGGGAAGGACAACAAACAGACAAAAAGCAGTTGTACAGGAATTAGCTTTCACTCTAGATGGTTTAAAGGCGCAGTGGATTCCTAATATGAGAAGGAGGGGTGACAGCGGGCCGCAGAAGCGCATCTGTAGTATGGGCGGGTCAAAAAATAAAAAAAAAACACGACGAGTGCAAAATAAAGAGAAGTCAAGCAAATCACTAAAAAATAATTAAGTAAAATAGAAAATGGAACAAAACCTACATCGCGTCGAAGTGCGGTGGTGGAGACGCACGAGCGGAATTTAAAACGCGTGCGTCAGAAAAACCAAACGCAGGCTTAGAAACATCACGTTGCTCTTCATCCGGCAGTAGCTAGACCACGATGATGATGACAAAGGCATCAAGAGAGATACATGCTCAGTTACAAGGCAAAACCAGGTCAAAATCGGTTTACGAATCAACTTCCTGTTCCGCCGCAGACAATAATGCAATCTAGTTTAACGGTAGGCTTTCGCTACCAATATCCATAATACAGGATTTTTGTGTTAGATCGCGTAAATATATAAATGTGTCGTTAAACCCGCCACCACCCGACACGGGTTGACTTCTCCACAAATCTGGCTGTCCGCCTGATGATGCTGGTTATAATTACTGGCGAAACGTCGTACTCCGATTGTAAATGTTGTGGCTTGGCTCCCCAACACACCGGTGTAGTGCTGTACTGGTAACGAATTGGCACGTTCTGTTTACGTGACAAACCTCACTAATTGGCTGTGTCGGGTGGTGGCGGGTTTCACGACACATTCACATATGTCCGTGATCTAACCAACCACAAAAAAAAACCTGCATTATGAATGCAACCTAGGTTCGGGATGTCGGCCCGCAAGAGTTCCATAACATCGGTTACCTTGGGCGGATTCGGGCACCCGTCTTGTGACGTTCTGTCCATCGGGTCGTCATCGCTCCTGCGGACGGTACAGCGGGAGAGGGACCGTGACGAGGGGTGCAAACGAGGTGGGGTAGAGGGGGTGCAGGCGGTACGGGGGGGGGGGGGCGCAACGGTCTCCACGGAACGTGCGCAGGTCCGCGACGGAGGCCCCCCCCCCCCCCCCCCCCCCACCCCCCCTCCGGGCGCGCCAGCTGCAGGAGGTCCGCGGTTCGAACCCTCGGCAGGCCGCCCTGGTAAACGCCGGCCGGGCGCGTTAAACCGCAAAAAGGAGACGCGACGCCGAGAGCTCAACCGCGATGGGATTTGGGAGAGAGGAAAAAATAAATAAATCGAATAGCGTTTTAAGCTCGACTTTTTTCGTGTCCTATTTCTCATCCGTGTGGGAAGGCTCCGACGCTTCACTTCTTACGCACAACGGAACCTGCGGGGAAAGACGGCCCAACCTTGACCCGCCCCCCCCCCCCCCCCCCCACTCATTGGGGGGGCGAGGAATTGAACCGGTGACCCGCAAACCACGAGTCGGGTCCCCTCCACGTCACGGCGACGCGCCCGCCCCATCGCTCAAGTCCGGTTCAGAGGCCGTGAGCGAGGATCAGAGTCGTCAGTCTGCGTTAGCGGGATCAATAAACGGTCGCGGGCAAACAAAGCGAATGTGCTGCCCTTGCATGCCCGGGAGCTCATTTGAAGGCCCGTGCCCTGCCCTGCAGGAAGGGGTCGGAGGCCACGTGTTAGCGATTAGTCAGGACGTGCGACATGCAGTGTAGGGGTGCGACATGTGACAGCTGCCAGCGCCTGGCAGTAGCCACCCACCCCCATGCCAACACACACCCGCCCACTGACCCACCCACCCACCCACTCACTCAAACCCACCGCGTACACCAGTCACGTCCTTCACATGCAGAACCGGAGTCAAATATAAGTACGGTTGGAGCAAATTTTTTGCTCAAATTACAAACAACATTGTCATTGCACATCATGAAGAATCAAACGCGAAATTACGATCATAATTGACCCAAGGTCTCCCACTCCGTCAACTCACCCACACACTCGCCCGCCAGGCCATATATTTCCTATACCCACCCACTCACCAATTCACAACCACAATCTATCCCACCCACCCACTAATCAATCTACATCCATTCTTATACACCCACACACTCACCCAACCACTTACCACAACCCACTCACCTACCAAAACCCATCGACACCCACCCCACATACTCATCAAGCTACAACCATCCCACCGACCAACCCACCCACCAACCCACTCACCCACTCGCCAAACCAACCATTACCCACCAACCCAAACCCATCCCCACGCACTGGCCAATCTAAAACCATCCCACCCACCCACCACACACTCACCAACCCAAACCCATCCAAACTGACCCCACACTCACCAAACCACCCACCCACTCACCAAACCCATCCTCACCAACCACACACACTCATCAACACAACCACCCACTCACTCACCAAACCCATCCTCACCCCGACCACCCAACCAACCACCCACCCGCCGCCCGCAGTGGCACGAGTGTGAGGAAGGGGGTGACCAGGTGTTGGAATCTGCACGAAGCAGCTGCATGGCCTCATCAATTAAAGCCGACTCGACAACAAAACTAAATTAGCCGAATCGACTTTCTGCAGTCGGGTGCGACTCGCAAAGGGTGGGAGGGGGGGGCTCTGTGTACGGGGGGCTCTGTGGTGTCTGTATCTCAAGGTATTGCGCTGGTGCCCACCCTGATGCACCCAGCACTGTGGAGGCCAGCAGCAGCGACGATTGGTGGATCACCGCACAGATGGGCTGTGTGACTCCCTTCCCAGCCGTGGGTGAGCGTCAAGGAGGTGCCCGTACCCCTACTCGCCAGGAGAAGGCGGTTACAATAAAGTGGACAAACAACCCCACACACAGACAGACGATATGGACAGATAGACCGTTGGACAGACAAACCCACAAACAGACAAGACGAACCCGCAAAGACAAAGATCCCCCGCGTAGCCTTAACAGACCGTTGGGGCAAGCGCTGTTAGCGAACACCTCTGAAGGCTGGCACGGCACACGAGGGGGTGGGTGGCCAGCACCACGCCCGGCTTCCTTTGTCTCCCGATTGGCGATATTTTACACAACCGCGCCAGGTACTCATTTTAGTCGACCTAGGGCAGGCCCAGGACCAGTTCAGTTAATCGTCACTGGTGTTGGCCGGGAGCGGGAATCAAACCCGGATTGCCGGGTTCGAAGCGCAGTGCGCTAACCACAACACTACAGCTCCCCACAGCCCACGACAACAAACCGCTATTTGCCACGATGTGGCAAGGCTATGTGCACGTGAAGTGAACAACGCCCACTACTCATACTTTATGAACAACGCCCGCTAGAAAAACCCAGCAGTCATGGATTGACTGAGATGACCGGCCGATGCACCACCCGTGCCCCCTACTGTGCCACCTCGCTGCGTTTAGCCGCACGGCGCTGCGCTCACTAATGTGAGCGTCACTCCTCCGCCCTCCGTTGATGCTGGAGGGCGACTGCCTCCAACTTCCCAGTAGCAGCAGCATCCTTCACGAGACTCCACCTCCACAGAGGCCGATCTCGACACCACTGGTACCGGTCATTGGTATCAGCAGTGTCAATCCACAAACACAGACAGACAGACAATCGAACAGACAGAGGAGCTGGGGCCTGGGGGGGTGGATGTGAAGAGCTGTGCGTTGCGAGCCACTCACTCCCTCTTGCGGTTCCTGTGCAGGCAGGACTGCAGCACGTCCACCGAGTCCGGCGTGAAGGGGTTAAAGTTGATGCGGGGGCCCGCCTTGGGGGTGGACCGCGCAGGGCCGGCGCCCAAGCGGAACCCGGCGCCCGCACGCGCCAGCTGCCTCAGGCTCTGCGACATGGACACAGAGACACAGAGACAAACCGACTGTTGGGGCGGGAGCCATTGGCGAGTAGCACCTGTGAAGGCCGGCACGGCGCACGTGGGGGTGACGTAGACATACAAGGCACAGTGGTGCGATTGTGGCCATGCATCTCAAACTATGGACCTCATAGTAAACCCATAGAGATACATAGAGATGCATAGAGGCCAACAGGAATACATAGAGACCCATAGAAATACTTAAGAGTCCATAGACATACACTCACAGCCGCTGCAAAATAATAGTGATTACCTTGCCTGGAGTACAGGAGGTCGTGTGTTTGATCCATACCCTGACGCCTATATATTTGAAGTTTGAATGTTCTCTCCGTGTGGTCGCGTGGATTTTTCTCCAGGTCCTCCGGTTTTCCCCTCCACGTTTAGAATCAACGCGCGCTTAGAGAATATGGCTGCTATAAATGTCCACGCAATAAGCCACTTCGCTGAGCTACTGTATCATACGTGGCCAGGTCGCTTCTGAAAAAGAGCTATATAGCTCACTGCAGGGGCGGAGCCAGGATTTCAGGCCGGGGTGACATTCAACATATGTTAATTTCAAGAATGATTAGAGAGTCAAGCTGTTGAACTAGACGCCATCGGTTGGCGACACACTCTGACAATGCAGTTGCACAGAGTCCGCCAGACCGAGTGTCGTACACTTACACGCAGAATGTCACCCCTGTCACCCCCCCCCCCCCTGGCTCCGCCCCTGGCTCACTGGGCCTTGCCTGGTAAAAAAAAATATTCTAATACGTAGTTTAGTTTATATTCTTAATTAATCCCACCCCGAGAGAGCGACAGACGCGAGCTCGCAGGTGTGAACAGCGTCCTGGGGGGGGCGGCGCACAAGACGGTGGCGAGATCGGTCCCCCGGCTTCCTGCCTGCCGCGTCTCAGCCAGGCCCTACTGGCGTCTGCCACCCAGGTGCGACCACAAACCACCACCAACGGCCACGTAAGCACCACACCAGCCAGCAGCGCCGCCAGTGCACGTGCGCACGTGGAATCAACCACGCGGCCACCATTCTGACACCACGGCTCGCAAAATATATTTGGGGGACGCCACGTATCGATCTGGCCCCATTTGACCACGCGCTATGAAGAAGGGCCATTGCCCCGAAACGCCACGGCCCACTCGCATGATCTTATTTTCAAGGCAGTGTGTGTGGCTACGCCGAGCTTCGTCAGGACGAGACCCAGGAGGAGGCCGAGGTAACAATTCCATTACGGTCCACAACCTGGTCACACGTTTTTTTAAATCACTCCCCCCCCCCCCCCCCAGATTTCAGCTCTTGGCTCAAAACCCGACGATGGCTGGGTGCGCAATCGCCAGCGAAACGTCGTTTAGAAAATGTTTCAAAGGTTTCCGCTCGCCTTCCCAACGCTACCGGTTTTCGCTCAATAAACCGAAATCAGTGGGGCTCGTTTTGTCCACCACGTGACGACTTGAATCGCCGGGTGGTGGAGGGCACGTCGCCCCAATTGATATTTTACACACAAGCTCTAACCCTGGACAAATCGACGACGAATTGACCCCGCAGTACGGCCTGTGTGAATGCAAGTGTTACGAGCCCAAAATCGTTAGCAATCGTTGGTGACTGCATGGAAATACTGTTTTTTTTATTTCTAAATGCATGGACGAATGCGCCGATACTAAAATCTGTTCGTACAAATTACTCGACTGGGATTCCAAAGATCCCCCGTGTAGCCTGAACTGACGTATGGGGGGGGCAAGTGCTGTTAGCGAGCGGCTAACTTGGATTTACACACGCACACAGCATACAGCAATGAGGTCACACTTGCACATGAGACTCATCCTGGACTCTTGAGTTATCACCCTGTTATAAATAACAAAATGACAAAACTTTCCGTAGGCGAGTCTGCGGGTGGGGCTGTAAGTTTTACGGTAGAAGGGTGAGTCAGTGGTTCAATGCGTAACTGTTACGGAGGTGTACAGACAGGTGAGTGTATGTCTGGTTAAAGTCTGCCAGCAGATGTCAGTGGGTGAGTGTTGTGGGCGAGTGGGTGAGTCAGCCGGTGAGTGTATGGGTGGGTCGGTGCATTGGTGGTTGAATGGACACGCACGGCCCGTGTTGCCAATCCACTGCTGGATGCGTGCTTTCCCATGCCGTGCGGCTTATTTGGCCATACTTCACCACGCTAGTGAAAACGCAGAGCGCACAAATCATACACGGTAGCACGTTATGGGCAGCAGGGGTGGGGCGGATGCATGGCAGTCTTGTGCAGGTGAGTTTGTGTATGGGTGGGCGTATGGGGTGTCTTCGTCAGTGAGTGAGTGCACAGGTTAATTAGTGTATAAGTGGCTAAGTCGGGCAGTGGGTGTACAGGTGGGCTGGTGTATGGGTGGCTAAGTCAGTCAATATGTGTACAGGTGACTTAGTGTACGAGTGAGTGGCTGGTTATAGAGTCAGTCAATGTGTGTACAGGTGTGCTGGTGTCTGAGTGTGTGGTGGGTTGCTAAGTCAGTCAATGAGTGTACAGGTGTGCTGGTGTCTGAGTGTATGGTGGCTGGCTAAGTCAGTCAATATGTGTACAGGTGTGCTTGTGTCTGAGTGTATGGTGGCTGGCTAAGTCAGTCAATGAGTGTACAGGTGTGCTGGTGTCGGAGTGTGTGGTGGCTGGCTAAGTCAGTCAATGAGTGTACAGGTGTGCCGGTGTCCGAGTGTGTGGTGGGTTGCTAAGTCAGTCAATGAGTGTACAGGTGTGCTGGCGTCTGAGTGTATGGTGGCTGGCTAAGTCAGTCAATGAGTGTACAGGTGTGCTGGTGTCTGAGTGTGTGGTGGGTTGCTAAGTCAGTCAATGAGTGTACAGGTGTGCTGGCGTCTGAGTGTATGGTGGCTGGCTAAGTCAGTCAATGAGTGTACAGGTGTGCTGGTGTCTGAGTGTATGGTGGGTTGCTAAGTCAGTCAATGAGTGTACAGGTGTGCTGGTGTCTGAGTGTATGATGGGTTGCTAAGTCAGTCAATGTGTGTACAGGTGTGCTGGTGTCTGAGTGTGTGGTGGCTGGCTAAGTCAGTCAATGAGTGTACAGGTGTGCTGGTGTCCGAGTGTGTTGTGGCTGGCTAAGTCAGTCAATGAGTGTACAGGTGTGCTGGTGTCTGAGTGTGTGGTGGCTGGCTAAGTCAGTCAATGAGTGTACAGGTGTGCTGGTGTCTGAGTGTATGGTGGCTGGCTAAGTCAGTCAATGAGTGTACAGGTGTGCTGGTGTCTGAGTGTGTGGTGGGTGGCTGGGGCAGGTGGGTGCATCTGAGGCTGCAGGGTGGGTGGGGTGTCAGCGTGCCGCCTCTACCCGCGTCGGCTGCAGCCAACGGCGGGAGATGAGAGCTCTCCATTCAAACAGCAAACGAACACACAAACACACACACACCTGTAACACACTGTAAACAAACATCAACGTGTGCACAACACCAGTCTGTACATACACACCAGTCCGTACAATCATAAGCAAGCCGTGAGCATACTACTTTCTCTATGCACATCAACAAATAAAAGCATTTTTAACAGATCCCATCAGCAACGCACCCTTATGGGAGTGCATAATTTCGGCAGCATTGCATTCAATACAAGCAAAAGCTCTGGACCAGTTTCAACATTCAGCGTCTTCATCAGCAGTCATGCTCACTTGAAGCAATGCCGGTGAACTGCCCAGTTGTTCAAACGCAAAACACCGGTGTCTGACGTTCAGGGTCTTCATCAGCAGTCAGCCTCGCTTAAACCAACGATGCCGGTGAACTGCCCAGATGTTCAAACGCAAAACACCGGCGTCTGACGTTCAGAGTCGCCGCTTACCTTGGGAGAGTGGGGCGAGTCCATGAGTCGCAGCTTGTGCATCGTCTTGTGTGGAGGAGACTCCGGACGCAATGACCTCCCGACCTCACCCGGGGTGCAACTGGGACTTCCCACACCTTGAAACCCCCATCGGGGCCGGGGCCGACGCGGGGTGCGATTCTCCTTGTCCTCATCATCAGCAGTGCCGCCACCGGCATCATCATCATCGTCGTCGTCGATAGCAGTAGCGGTGGCGGCGGCGGCAGCAGCACCACCACCATCTTCGCCAGCGCCACAGTTGTCAAGTCGACGAGCTGCGGCAAGTGCGTCGTCCCCGTAATCTGTACCACCACGACCACCACCACGACCACCACCACCACCACCGTCGTCGTCGTCATCGTCGTCGGTCCCACCGTGGGAGAAGGCTGGAGGAGAGCCTCCGCTCAGCAGCGAATCTTCGGGAGACGACGGCACTGCCGGCATTGCGTCGAACGGACGCCACTGGTGGTGTGGGTGTTGGACGACGCCGTGGCTTGCCGACCGTGGTGCTGCTGCTGCTGGTGGAGGTGGTCGTGGTCGTCGTGAAGAAGGAGCTGGCGGAGACGAAGGTGGTGGTGGTGGAGGTGGTAGTGGTGGGATAGCTGCAGGAGAGGAGTAGAAACTGTCCTCGTTGAAGGCGGAATCGTCGGTGGAGGAGCCGCTGTCATCGTCCTGACTCCAGTCCAACCTCCGAGCCACCACAACGCTGCTGCTGCTGCCGCCGCCAGATCTGAGCTTGCTGCTGATGTTGATTCTGTCGGATCTGGTGATGTTGTTGCTGATACTGCTGCTGATGCTGCTCGTGGCGTTAGGGCTGCCTTTGCTGCTAGAAGAAATGTTCTCGTTCAAGTTGCTGCTGGGAGCTCCCTTGGTGTTGTTGCTGTTGCTACTGTTGCTGTTGTTGATGACGTGCCGCAAAATTTGACGCCTGGCCCCGTAACTCATGATTTACTTCTTGTTACGTATCAACTGTACTTAAACTTAACCAAAAAATGCTGCTGCTACTAAATTTAGGTTTAACTTCTTTCGCACCGTACGTAGGCTGTCAATCGTGCTAACCGGTTGGCTAGTGTAAAAAAAAACAAATATCAAGACGAGATACCCCCGTAACGGCCTTAAAACACTACTAACCACTCTATAAATTGTCCTAATACTTAAAAAAAAGCTTTCACAAATCTTCCCGGAGCAATTCAGCCCTCCCCCCCCCCCCAAAAATAATATTAACTGTGTTAAATAGTAGCAAGATATTATTATTTACTCTGCCACCTTTTCTCTCTGCCAAGTTGGGGTTGTGGCAGTTGACGAACCGTTACGGAATTGCAGAACTCACCACCACCACCACCGGGTTCTACTTCTACAAGCAAAGTCGTTCAAAGTTGCACGCAACTCATTAGTCGACACCGTAATGGTTACAAAGTTACGTACTGTACGTACCTACACTTTCTTTCGACTGCATGCGCAGAATCTTAAGAACGCACTCGAGTACATAGATTACGCTACGTGCATTTGCACAATCCGAAGTGGCGTGCACGCACTAGCTGCAACGCACACACACACACCTCTTGCAGATATTGTACATGCACAATTTATGTTGCAACATGCACACAAATGTTATCCGACTCACCCGTACTCGTTACAGCACACGTAAACAAACCGCTAAGCGTTGTAACCAGCTCTCCACCCCACCCCAATGCTTGCCCACCACACCCCAATGCTGCCCACCACTCCTGCTACCAGAGAGAATGAGAACGTTCCACTGTGTCTGTAACCGGATAACACCTAGAACGCGAAAACCAAAACTCTTAAACTTTTCGCGACGTTCAGCGGTAAACACGTGTGGCGCCACCGCCTTATATAGGCCGCATTCAAGCGCGCGCGTCCGTTAAAAGGCGTGGCTCGCTAAGTTGCGAGTGGCCAATGAGCGTGTTCGCTTGCAAATTAAGCTCCGCCCGCGCCCACTTAAACCCCGCCTACCTCGCTTCAAACCCCACTCAAGCCTCGCCCCTAGTTGTTTAAGCTCCGCCCAGGCAAAACTTAAGCCCCGCCCACAAGGTGTTTACTTTTTTTTATTCGACTGTATCGCGCGTTCCTCAACTTTAAACACAAAACAACATTAAAACGCTTTTTTTCTGGTGATGCTGCTACTCAATGCTGTGTTGACAGTGGTGAGCAAGAACAAATAATAATATTATTTAAAAAAAAATAACACTTTGGCCTGAAAAGGAACAGCATATAATAGGTGACGTTCCGGGCAACGGCCCTTCTTCACAGCACATAGAGATGATGTGGTGGATACGCGTTAGAGACAGTACTCTATGTATATTAAGCAGTGGATTGACCACGGCTGATGACAAACGTGTACAATGCAATGTACAAGGGTCTCGCGCCTGCAATTTAGCATCTTTGAAGACGGGGTTGATGGATCACGCAAAGATCACCGTCGGATTTCGGCTCCCCGCCTTCAGGGCTATGACGCAATCCAGGGAGTGGGTGGCGTTGTGGAATGCCACAGCTATTGCCCCTCCTATCCGTCTGTGGGTTTATCCCAGAGTATTCTCGGGGATTGTCCCACCACATTCCTTTTGGCAATGGTCAGTCAAAGTGTAGCCTCATTAAAATAATATACAGAACCCCCCAGTTTATTTTTACTGCTTGAGCAAAACACAGCTTACTTGCACCTGTACCTAAATATTTACGGCGAATCTTACTCTCGTATAATAGTTGCATTTTTTTTATTTGTTTGTGTTTCAATTGAGGAATAAAACTTCTGATTTATACTCGAGGAATCCGATGAGCTTTAAAGCTCTTTTTCACAGATCTCCACTACTTTTACTTCATTTTGTTAGTTGTGCACTATTCAATAAGGACCCTGCTGTACCCATTCGTTCTCTGCAATATCGATGCTTTATTATTTGCTGCTGCTGCGCTAATGCACCACGGATCTTCCGTGTAAAGTAACCGTGCGAGTGGCGCTCAACGGGATCACCCGTCCGTCCGTGCAATAAAACAAAATCGACTCTCAAACTCTAAACGCCGAAACAACGTGGTAGCCTTGCTCTGGCCCCGCGAGCCTCCCGAATTAACATCGAGCCCTTGTGGAACACAGCCTTCGTCTGGCACAACGAGAGTGAATTGGAGCTGGCCTCTCATTAACTGCTCGCCACGAGCGGCAAATGCTCCGATATTTTTTATAGCATTGCCTTTGTTGCTGCTCTTCGGCCTCGTTCTCTGACCTAACACCGGTGACGAGACACGGCCTTGGGGGAGCATTGTCTCTCCGGTGTGGGTCAATCAGTTTCAAACACAACACATCCAAGCACGCCTGTTCGCATGTTTTACCACATGGGTGTGCGGTTAATGCACACTGGAAGAAGCCTCGGTGTATATTTGGCGTTTTTGAATGTCTGAACACGTCCTCTGCATCCTTGCCAGAAAAGGGTAAAGTCTATTATGCTGGAGTTGTTTTCGTATGGTGTTTGTTCATTTGGACCGCTGCGAACGCAGCATCACCAACGCACTTCTTTCGTACGGTGCGAAAGAAGTTCAATGGGTAAGACCCCCATGTTGTGAATGAATGGAGGGGACACGCGTTTAGGGCCTGAATGCGGATTCCAAGAGGTGATCAGGCCCGTGTAGACAGCAGAGCACGTGGTGTCGCTAAAGAGACAGAAGTCATATTATGATAATTGGCACGATCTGTTTACGTGACAAACCTTACTAAGTGGCTGTGTCGGGTGGTGGCGGGTTTAACGACACATTTATATATTTACGCGATCTAACCCAAAAAAAAAACATCTTATGGATATTTGAAAAGTGTCGACCACTTTTTTTTTCTCTCAACGTGAGCAAAAATCTCAACCTGCGGCGTGTTTTAAAATGCAACGAAATCTGGAATGGATTTTTTGCTGCTGTTGTTGTTAAAGTACATGCAGTGCAACATCGCATATCCGACCGTCCACATATGCGCCCTGACCTTTTGACCTCTCAAAGCCAGGGTAGGATTTTGTGTACGACGTTGCATCCGTCATTTTCGGTAGGTGTTCACAAATATGATATATATTTTTTTCAACATTAACATCAAAAAAGCAACATCCTTCGTCTATAAATTTTGGCCTTAAAAATAAAAAACGAGGCGACGTTTCGGGCCAATGCCCCTTCATAGCACACAACACAAACATCGCCCGTTATATATGTTTCTTTTTAAGGCCACTGTGTTATTGTCAAATGTGTTTAGGCTTTTTGTTGTTGTTGCTGTTGTTAATATTGAAAAAGATCCTGTTTGTGAACACCTCTAGCAAAACAATTTCCAAATCCTGCCCTGGCTTCAGGAGGTTACTTGGTTAGGGCGAATAAGTGACGGTCGGATATGCGACGATTTCCTGCATTTACATTTAATATAATATCCATTCCCAAATTCGTTAAATTTCAAAAAATGCCGCAGGTTATTTTTTTTGTTCACATTTTTTAAAGATCATAATATTACTGCGTTTCCATGGCAACCAGGTGGGTTTTACCTGGTGGGTGACGTCATGTCTACACGGGCCTAATCTCAGAATCCAGCTTCAAGGGTCAAACACCTCCCTCTCCGTGCATTCTAAAAAAAAAAAGTAACTCTTTTATTTTACATTTAACAAAGTCGGTGGCCAGCAGCACGCCCGACCGCCTTTGTCTCCTCACTTGCAATGTTTACACACCCCCACCAGGTACTCATTTGAGGCCGAGTCGACTTAAGGTGCCTTGAGACGTTAGTGGAAGGCGCCTTACGAATACATGTTAATTATTGTTATTATTAGGGGAGACCCAAGGACCGGTTCAGATAATCGTGACCGGTGCCTACGAGAGGGAATCGACCTCGGGTTGCCGGGTTACTGGCGCAGTGCGCTCACCGCTGCGCCACCGCTCTCCACTATTCATCTATCGAGCCCCAACTCACACTGACACGCACAGTTTTCAGTTTCATTTATTTTGGTATAGCCCTGTGAGCCATTCGGCTCTTGAATCGGGTGCAACCGAAACAAACAAAAAAAACAATAACATGAACAAGAAAACATCTTAAAGTGACTACGTGTGACTGCGCAAAACAGAAAAATCCAGGAAAAAAACAGCAAAATATTCCTGAAAAAGCACCGTACACCACCAACGCTGCGTGCAAAAATCCCAGCGAGATGCAAGTCAAACAACAACAACAACCACTACACATATAGAACGTCTATCTCGTTACAAACGTTTTATTATTTGATTTTTTTACCCAGGAAAGGCTTACCCGAGCCTCGCGACTCATTTTTTTTTCACGAGGGATTCCTGGCCACGTTTTCAGAGCAAGGATGCCCATCATTGATGCGCGTTCTCCGATTTTGCAGTGTTAATCCCAGCTTGAGCTGAGTGCCAATGTCCGGGTCCTGCTGCTGGTCACGACGAGACGAGACAGATGCCTTCGGGAGAGAGAGAGACGGAGGGGAGGGGGAGAGTTCGTTGCGTAGTAATGACGATAATCTTCTTCCTTTGAAAGAGCGCAGATGATTAAGCAACCACCGCAATTGCGTCACTCTACACAACAAAGGCCTTAAACTAATTAGTCGCTCATTCTCTTTGTAGCCCTTGGATTCTCCTTGGCCAGGGCTCTTCATCATCCCCCTTGTATGCACACTGCCACTACGCGTGTTTTCACAACGCGAATCGGGTGTAATCCGTGACAAGCGGTCGTACGGCTGCCTCAGCATAGCGTCACGCAAGGCATTGGGATACTGATGGATGTTTCTAGATTCTACCCACGCGCCTCGATCTTGTGTCAGCCTGCGTACGCCTCTCACCCGTTATCGTAGACTGTGCTTTACCCCATATTATATATGTTATAACGCGATGTATTTCGGGAATGCAACTAGAGCGTTATAGAACACATTGCACGCATGTATATTGAACTTTTTGCGCACCGTACGTAGCCAACAGTGCTAATCGGAGGTGCGGGGGAAGGACAACAAACTATGGGTCTCTGTGTGAGTCTATGGGTCTCTGTGTGAGTCTATGGGTCTCTGTGCGAGTCTATGGGTCTCTGTATGAGTCTATGGGTCTCTGCGAGTCTATGGGTCTCTGTGTGAGTCTATGGGTCTCTGTGTGAGTCTATGGGTCTCTGTGCGAGTCTATGGGTCTCTGTATGAGTCTATGGGTCTGTGCGAGTCTATGGGTCTCTGTGTGAGTCTATGGGTCTCTGTGTGAGTCTATGGGTCTCTGTGTGAGTCTATGGGTCTCTGTATGAGTCTATGGGTCTCTGTGCGAGTCTATGGGTCTCTGTGTGAGTCTATGGGTCTCTGTGTGAGTCTATGGGTCTCTGTGTGAGTCTACGGGTCTCTGTGTGAGTCTACGGGTCTCTGTGTGAGTCTGTGGGTCACTGTGTGCATCTATGGGTCTGGTCTCTGTGTGAGTCTATGGGTCTCTGTGCGAGTCTATGGATCTCTGTGTGAGTCTGTGGATATCTGTGTGAGTCTATGGGTCTCTGTATGAGTCTATGGGTCTCTGTGTGAGTCTATGGGTCTCTGTGCGAGTCTGTGGGTCTCTGTGCGAGTATATGGGTCTCTGTGTGAGTCTATGGGTCTCTGTGTGAGTCTATGGGTCTCTGTGTGAGTCTATGAGTCTCTGTGTGAGTCTATGAGTCTCTGTGGGAGCCTTTGGGTCTCTGTGTGAGTCTGTGGGTCTCTATACGAGTCTGTGGGTCCTCTGTGCGAGTCTGTGGGTCCTCTGTGCGAGCCTGTGGGTCTCTGTGTGAGTCTATGAGTCTCTGTGTGAGTCTATGGGTCTCTGTGTGAGTCTATGGGTCTCTGTGCGAGTCTGTTGGTCTCGGTGCGAGTATATGGGTCTCTGTGTGAGTCTATGGGTCTCTGTGTGAGTCTATGGGTCTATGTGTGAGTCTATGAGTCTCTGTGGGAGCCTTTGGGTCTCTGTGTGAGTCTGTGGGTCTCTATACGAGTCTGTGGGTCCTCTGTGCGAGTCTGTGGGTCCTCTGTGCGAGCCTGTGGGTCTCTGTGTGAGTCTATGAGTCTCTGTATGAGTAAATGGTGTCTCTGTGTGAGTCTATGAGTCTCTGTGCGAGTCTATGGGTCTCTGTGTGAGTCTGTGGGTCTCTGTGTGAGTCTATGGGTCTCTGTGCGAGTCTATGGGTCTTTGTGTGAGTCTATGGGTCTATGTGTGAGTCTATGAGTCTCTCTGTGAGTCTATGGGTCTCTGTGTGAGTCTATGAGTCTCTGTGTGAGTCTATGAGCCTCTGTGTGAGTCTATGGGTATCTGTGTGAGTCTATGAGTCTGTGTGAGTCTATGGGTCTCTGTGTGAGTCTATGGGTATCTGTGTGAGTCTGTGAGACTCTGTGTGAGTCTATGTATGTCGTACTTATTTCGCACCGTACGTAGCCAACGGTGCTAGTTGGAGGTGCCGGTGGACACCGATGATGTAACGGTCTCGCCCATTCACCTCCGAGTCATTTGCATGCAGCTGCGTGGGTGTTTATTGGTGCGTGGGTGTTTTTTTACTCTCCTACTTGTGTTCACGCAAATTCAATGGCACGTACACAAATGTTGAGTGCATCGGCTTCAATATTTACCTTGCCGGGGAAATATTTTCCAGCAGCATTTGTTGAACTTAACATCAGTGCCGGATTATCCTCGGAGCACAAGTAACTACATATGCTACGGTTCCCCGCACTTTCAGGGGCCCCGCGCTAAATGCTTTCAAGCTATCAATTCCGATTCAGTGATTCTGCACTTGCTCTATTACTATAGTACTATACCGCCTTCAACTTTCATGAAAGACCGGGTGTTTAAGGTTAGCGATTGGTCGTATTATCTGGCTGTATAGCAAATGAAAAAATACAATTACTTTACTATTCAAGTAAAAAAAAAGTTTTTGTTTTCATATTTGTGGGTTATTTTTAAATTTAGGGCACTTTTATAACATCACATGCTACAGGCCCCACGCTAGCTTCATCCGGCACTGCTTATTATGCGCGTAATGTCTCCTTCGCATAAAATAAACCCGAATCTTTAAACTATTTCTTACACAACCGTGTGTCAGACCCACAGCTCTCTGCGAGCACGTGACATACTTTCAGCAGGACTGGCTCAAGACAAGCAGCGTACTCTGGACCTGTTTCGACCCACGGGTGTCTCGTTGGCAGAGTCGATCTTGCTAAAGTAAGAACACTCTGAAACAGGCTTCGGTGTTGGGTATCTCTCGGCAGTCAGGTTTGCTAAAAAAAAATAAAGTTGGCTCTCATTTGCTACGTGGAAATGTACTTACCAACAACATCTAGTGACCCAGTCGCATTTACCAAGCGGGTTTTTTTTTACATTGAACGGGGTCAAATATATTTGTTTTGTGGAGTGCTCTTCCCAGTAGCATCTCGTAACATAGCTGCACATATATTTTTATTTTTCCACAGCTTGTTTTTGTTTGCATGTTCAACACAAATATGCGTGGTTAATACAGACACGATTCAATCTTGATTTGAAGCTTTCGTGACTGCAGGAATCCATACTCTCTGGTTCTTTCGGTAAAGTCACGTAAGGTAGCAATAAAATAAATCACAAATCACGACTCTACGGCTTGTGTTGCGATCGAAACGTCGTGATTTGTTTTATTTAATTTCTACCCACGTGACTTTACCGAAAGAACCACAGAGTATAGGCACAATTCCTTGCAAAAGGTGTCTTTCTGTTTGGTGTTTGAACATCTTAATACTTGCAAAGGAGGTCTCATAATGTAAATGCTCACCCCGAGCCCTCAATACTCTGATAGTGCGCTGTTTTTTGAGTTGTACACCTTTTGGCGTCTTCTGGTCCAACAGCAGTGGAGACTAGGTTCTAAGAAAAGCCGTCTCGGGTGTGGACCAATCAAATTCAAGGACAGTGCATATTATTATCAGAGTTGTCTCTTTTGTTTGCGTTTTGACTTCTAGTGTTGTGGTTATTGCAAACACGATGCCTTGAATAAAGGTGTCAATTTTTGTGCCAGTTACAAGGGTAAAACCTATTAATATATCTTAATACTTGTTTTATTGCCAGAAAGGGTAACACCTATTCTGATATCTTTGTGTTTATTCATCTGTAGAGAGAGAGACAGTGTTTTAACAAACCAGTGAGATCCAGACAATCGAAACCAACGTTATTGAGTATTGGCCGGGAATTGCAATAGGCTGGTGAGACCCTCAAACCTACTTGAGTTGATGCGTCGAGACACACTTCATGGCGTTCCGATAAACCTTTCTCTTTCCAACGTGACTCGTGCATTGACTGCCACCTTTGAGTTTCAGTGGCCACGTGCGATGACCCTTATTTGTGTGCATAGTGCGCGTGTGGTGGCGATGCGGTGGTGTCACCAGTTTGGTGTTGTAAGGTCGTTTGCACGGCTGGCAATGCGTGTGGCTCTTATTTATTCAGTTGCCCTCGCCTTCCAACTCCTGCTGATAAGAACAATAGGTAATAGGTGACGTTTCAGGCAATGGGCCTTCTGCACAAGACGTAAATAGTGATGCCAGAGAGGCCGGGTGGATGATGATGATGATGATTCCAGTTAGGATACTGAATTTTACTACATGGGAGGCCCTGATGAAAGTCGAATGTTTTCTGATGACAAGTTTTTTAACATCGGCTTATGTGCCTGGTACACATATCCAACGTTGGAGCAACGTTGCATGTTTACTTGGTGATGTTACCTATAGGAGTTAGTAACAAAGCCTTTAGTAAGTACACTCCTGATAAGAAAACGCTGCCTGGTGGATTGATTTGTTACTGATGAGTAAGCATAGAATACAAATACAGGGCTCTGTAAATACACTACAAAGTGTTTAGGGGCATTCCATTTCGTACGAACGCACAAAAAACTCTCAAAACTTGAGTCCCTCCCCCCTCCCTGTAGGCACGCGTCCTTTTTACAGCCCCCACCTCCCCCCCCCCGAATCCTATAGAACGGCCGATAAACACGCAGAAACGATAAAGGATTAATACTATCATAATATTAACGTTCTTTAAGAAAACAGATTGTCCACCGCCGGACTATCTAACTAATTTGAAAGCCAATGTAGACAAATTATTATCGAGGCTTCACCCCTCCCCCCCCCCGTTTCCTATGCGTAAGTACATTGTCAGTAGACCCCCCCCCCCCCCATACGCAAGTTACGCATTTCGGTTAACCATCCCTCCATTCGTACCCACTAAATGGATAGCCCCTTACAAGCAGTGTGGTTTGAACTTCTGTTGATACAAAGACACCACAATGGCTCTCTCGTAAGTCGGCACTGTGGATTAAACAAATGACGTTCAACTCCCTTCCCGTGTGAGTCGAGCAGAGAGGGACACGTGAGCCCCGGGCTCGTGGTTTTCACACCTGATGATGATTGTTTGTGTTGCAATCGAAACGTCGTGAGAATGTTATTGTTTGTTATTTTTATAATGTTATTGTTTCCCTTCTACGTGACTTTACCGAAATAACCAAGAATATGAATCCCTGCAGTCACGAAAGCTTTAAATAACAATTTAAACGTACTATGTTCACTCCATCTGTTCGTTGGTGAAGTGTTACGTATGTGTTTTATAAAGTTTAATTTGTAATCTTATACCTAGTAAGGCCACACTGGGCTCTTGTGCAGCTCTTTGTTCAGAGGCAACCTGGCGATTCACAAAGGATCGTACGACCAAGTCGCTTTTCATCATCATCATGCGGCAATTCATAACAGCGAACAAATTCTCGAAACGCGTGGACTTCGGGGGGAGAACCCGAAAAAAATCCACGGGGAGAGAGAGACACGCAAACTCCATATATCCATATTCTTGGTTCTTTCGGTAAAGTCACGTAGAAGGGAAACAATAAAATAATACAAATATAAAACAAGAATATGAAGCCCTGCAGTCACGAAAGCTTTAAATCCATATATCTATCCAATAGTTTTTTTTGGAGGGGGGGGGGGGTTAGATCGCGTAAATGTGTGTCGTTAAACCCTCCACCACCCAACACAGCCAATTCGTAATGTTTGGTCACGTAAAGAGAACGTGCCAATGCGTTACTAGTACAGCACACCGGTGTGTTGGCTGTGTCGGGTGGTGGTGGGTTTAACGACACGTTTATATTTACACGATCTAACCCCAAATAATTATATATTATCGATATTGGTCGTGAAAGTCCATATATACATACCAAGGCCGTAATTTTAATATATATTGGGGGGGACACATCCCCCCCAAAATTCAAATATGTTCAAAATGTACCCCCCCCCCCCCCCTAATATATTGCTATAAAAATATTTTTTTAAAAATAATAATTGCGATGCTATGTTAATAAAAACAATTTGCTAAACCTTGGCCACAATATCTGGGACCTGTCTTCATATAACAATGCATAGATTTATGTTTATATGATTGTGGTTGTGGTTTATGAATCCCTAATCTCTGCCATTACATACAATGAAACAAGAAAAGGTAAAAAAGTAAAAACAGAGCAATGTTGTAATACAATACACTATTAGACATTATTGTTAAAAAAAGAAATCAAAAGTCCATCCCATGTGTTTGTGAATTTTTTAAATATTTTAGGTATGAAATGGCAGGAAATTAGTTTTCAGGGGGTCTGGGGGGGGGGGACCCCAAACCCCCCCAGACCCCCTGGAAGATTTGTTCTCCCCCAATGTATACTCCATGGCTACGGCCTTGATACATACAGCAGGCGTCAGGGTCGAGATCGAACCTACGCCCTCTTGTATGCCATGCGAAGGCGGTATTAGCCCATAGCCACCGCTGCGCCCCCCATGGTACAGTACACAATCGGTGCCACCCACAAATACAAAGACCCCCCGTGTAGCCTTCAAAAGATTGCCGGGGGCAAGTGCTGTTAGCGACCACTTATTGAGGCCGGCACGGCACACAAGATTGGGCGTAGTTGCCCAACACCGCGCACCGGCCGCCTTTGTCTCCCCCGGCGCCACGTCGCTACGTGTGCAGGTACAGTGGCGCACCAACCGCTGGCACGTGGCGCACTTGCGGGTACAGTGGCGCACGTGGCCACATGCGGGTACAGTGGCGCACGTGTGATCCGAGTACGTGCAGTCACGCGCGCCCGCTCTGTAAACACACGCGCAGTTTGCGAGCGCCTATTGGCGCCGCTACCGCCGCATGGTGAGGGTTTCACGTGTGCCGACCACCGCTGTTGTGTCGAGGGCTGCGTTTCCGCGACTGTCGGCCTTAGTGGGTGTCTACTGCGCGAGCGCGTTAGGGCGGAGCGGTTAGCTCAGTGCCACGTGAGTTTTGTTTTTTAAACAGTGGCGATCAACACTGGGGAGGGGGGGTCGGGGAGAGACAAAGGCGGCCCGGACGTGATCTCTCTCCATGTGTAAAACTCGTCTGCTGATGGACGCTGCTGGACAAGTGACAATAATGCAGCACGCCCGTCGATAGCACTGTGGCCTTAAGAGAGAATACATATATAATAGGAGACGTTTCGGACAATGACACTTCGCCAATAGGCACATACAGAGATGCGAAATGGATACTGAACTTTACACCAATGGGACCCTGAATTATATATTTTTTAATGTTTCCTGCTAATCAGTTTTATTTTTAAATGCATATGCATAAAGTAGTCACTCTTAGGTGTTGAGTAACAGACCCTTCGATAATGTTGGGGCCTTTGGTAATTGTGGTCGTGCAACATTGCCAGCAGTGTCAGATAATTTGTGTATTGCAAGTACCAAACATCATTTGACTTGACCACCGGATATGTTCCCGACTATTAGACGCCCCAAGAAAGTAAGACGGACCCTAATAACCTGTGCCGCGTGTCAGTAGCATTGTTACAAATCTGGTCACAATACATATTCTACCGGATTCAGAATCAGAATGTTTAAAAAGAGCTTTAAAGCTCAACAACAATTGTACAAAAACACGAGATAGTGCAAAGTGTAAGCAAGGTAAACAAATCACCCAGACACATACAATTACAACACTCAACCATCCCCATCCTATCAGCCAAAGCCCCACCTGGTTATTCACTTATTTTTCAGAAGCGACCTGGCCATCACAAGCGATGACAGCTCAAATAAACGTGGCCCCATCATTTGGCCATTTATAGTACCACAATCTAAATTATCTCCATGCCATGTTTCTAAATGTGGAGGGAAACACCGTGGGACCCATACAAAAACAATCCATGCGACCATGGGGAGAGTGAGACACGCCAACTCAAAACATACAGCAGCAGCAGGCGTCAGGGTCGGGATCGAACCCACGAATCTTTGCATAGCAGGCGAGGAAGACAACATCTCAACACCACCGTGGCGCTCCTTTAGTTAAATAAAAAGTATATACGTTCAAATTGCATCATATATATTGAATAATTACATTTGATACAATACAACATTTGCTTACAAATACACAGCTATAGTCCTGAGAATACGGTTTGGCACAAACGCTCCCTCGCTAGAGGTCCCTTCCCAGTGAATATGCAACGTTGGGACAACGTTGGCCCTTCACAAGCATTGCCCCAACCTATGGGGCAACGTTGGCCCAACGCTTGTGAAGGCGCCAACGTTGAAGGAACGTTGAAACGTTGTCCAACGTCAATGAACCGTTGGTCCAGAGTTTGGAATGCTGACTGGATTGTCCCAATCTTGATTTGAAGTTTTCGTTATTGCACGAATCCATGGTCCTTTCGGTGTACCTACGTGGCTTTACCGAAATAATCAGAGAGTATGGATTGTCCCACTTTACCCTGTTCAGATGGGGTCTTCCTCGTCATTTGCAGATTTCAACACAGTAGTAATCACCAAAGCCCGATTTGCTCATCCAGTGCTTAATTATTCACCTGTCACTGATTGGTCAATGGAGCGTGGGCAATTACCCATTTGTTTGCACGCAACCTCGATAATCTTGCCTTAATGTTGTCCTTTCCGATCATGGTTTTAATTTAAATCTGCCCTATCACCCGATCCATTCATTATCAAAACTCTTTTCCACCCTATTTTTTCCGACCATTGTATGTGCTGTGAATAAGGGCAATTGCCCGGAACGTCTCCCATTCTATATATTTTACTTTTAAGGCCATACTAGGTTTTGTTTTATTAAACCATTTGTGTTTTTGTTGTTAATGTGTGCTTGCACACCACGGCCAACGCCGCAGCAGTAGAAGTATCAATAGTAAATGTGTTTAACATTGACTACAGTATAAGTATGTACGTTTTTCAAATGTACGCTTTCGCGACCAATATTCATAATTTTTTTTAGTTAGATCGCGTAAATATAAACATGTCTTTAAACCTGACACCACCCGGTACAGCCAATTCGTTACGAGTACAGCACACCGGTGTTTTGGAGAGCAAATCCACAACATTTACTATCCGTATGTACAATAACATTTACAATAAGTATGTACGTTGAACTTCCTTCGCACCGTACGTAGCTAATAAAATATCCTAAATTCTAGTAGCCGTTTGTCAATCCACTGCTGGCTGGATGCCTCCCCCAGGCCATGCCAGTCATGGCGGATGTTTGACCGTACTTGACCACGCTGGTCAAAACAGGCCAGTGAAGGGGTGGGTGGGGTGCAGTCAACCTGGGCCGGTTTAGCTGTGACCACTTATGTTAGCCGCAGCCCGAAATGAAATGCACACAACAACATTTATGCCAGGCTCGATGCACTTGAGGCCAGGTGAAGTATTGAAGGATTGCTGGCAGGAAGTCATGGTACAGACCCAAGTGCCACGGGTTGATTGACTGAGATGACTGGCACATGCACCACCTGTGCCCCCTACTGTGCCAACTTGCTGTGTTTTAGCCGCCCGGCGCTCCGTTCGTTGTTGTGAGCGTCACTCCTCTACCCTCCGTTGTTGTTGAAGGGCGACTGCCTCCAACTCCTCAGGGGCATCCTTCACGAGCCTCCTCCACAGAGGCCGAGCTTGACACCGCTGGTTCCCGTCTTCGGCAAGTCCACTCAGCTCCACATCCTCCTGTACCGCATCAGTCCGTCTCTTCTTCAGGCCATGCCGTGCCTATTTAGCCCCCTCTATCCGGCCAAACAGAAGCTGCTTGGGCATGCGTTGGCTGGGCATGCTGGCTTCGTGACCTATACAGCATACACAAAGACAAAGATTCCTCGGATAGCCTTAACAGACTGTTGGGATAAATGCTATTAGCTTTGACCTATGAAGGTCGGCACGCCACACGAGGAGGTGGGTGACCAGCTACAGGCCCGGCCGCCTTTACCTCCCTAGTGGCGATGTTTACACACTGCACCAGATACTCGGACACCCGTGTTCACACGTGCGTTTTCCGCACGCAGGCATTTCTCCCTGGGCCATGCTGCCATCCCTGGGGCCCCGTTTGCTGGCGACACGTGGACTGAGTGGCCTGCGGCTGGGACCCCGTTGGTCACCGGTGGCCCAGGGCCTTCGCAGGCCCAGCGGGACGCACGGCGGCACGGGGAGGCCGCAGGGAGAGGCGGCCGTGCGGGACTTCATCGAGGCCAACACAGAGGCGAGCCGCGAGCACCTGACCCCCGAGCTGATGCTGCGGCTGCTCACGCCGCGCTGCCCGCTCTGGACCGCGCGGCCCGAGATGTGGCCCTTTCCCGCCGACCCCTACTGGGCCATCTACTGGCCCGGCGGCCAGGTGCTGGCCAGGTGCGCTACTGAACTAAACATTTTTTTTGTTATTTTACCAGGTAAGGCCCAATGAGGTATGTTTCTCTTTTTCAGAAGCGACCTGTCTGTCACAAATGAATGCTCAATGAAGTGGCTTATCACTTGGACATATAGCATCCAAGTAATCTAAACGCACGTGGAGAGAAACACCGGAGCACCCGGAGTAAAATGCACGCGACCGCGTGGTGAACATGCAAACTCGAAATATACAGCAGGTGTCAGGGTAGGGATTTAACCCACGACCTCCTGCATACCAGGCGAGGGAGTTAACATCTCCTAGCCACTACGGTGCCCACAGCGGTGATTGCCGTGCGTCCAGTTGACGACTCATTATTGCCGGCTCGGATCAAAGAATTACAAGTGTAAACGTTGAACGATATTTCACGTCGGGGTTTTCCACGGTTGTGCTGCGTGACGTACAGGTGTGGTTTTTCAGGTTGTGCCACCCCGCGTGTTGTTTTCCGCGCGATGTCCGACGTTTCGTTGCACGTGCCTCGGAGCTTTTCTTCAGGCTCAAATTTTTACTTCCCTTCCTGGATTCAATTTAAAATAATAAGGAATAATAAATGAACAATAATCGCCCAGCACGTGGCAGCGAAACGTCGGACATCGCGCCGAACGACACGCTGTACAACGCCGCAAAAAACTTCGCGGCGGCCGTTGGCTTTTACCGTTCATAAATATATTCACGTTTACGCTTCGGCTTGAAATGACTCGGTGGAGAAAGAGCTCTGTTCGCCGGGTTGTCGTCGCCGCCAAGATCGCCATCGTCGTTTGCGTCGGGTCTCCAGGTTCCTCCTGGACCAGCCGGGCGTGGTGGCTGGCCGGGCTGTGCTGGACCTGGGCAGCGGCTGCGGGGCTGCGGCGATCGCGGCCGCCAAGGCGGGTGCCTCGCTCGTGGTGGCAAATGACATCGACCCCGGTTCGTTGGCTCCGCTACACAACCCGCTGTCTGCCCCCTGGCACATGTAGAAACACCCACTTAGAGTTCTCTTCTTTTGGTTCTTTCGGTAAAGTCACGTAGAATGAGAATAAAATAACAAATTGATAAAATAAAATGACGCAATAATATTCTCACGACGTTTCGGCCGAAACGTCGTGAGAATTTTTTGTGTTATTTTAGGCAGGAGGTGTGGGGGTCTGGAGGGAAACCCTCTGCTCAGCCAAAGCAGGGGGGGTCTGGGGGGAAACCCTCTTCTTTGGCAGGGCAGGGGGGGTCTGGAGGGAAAACTTCTCCAGCGCTGTCCTCCAGACAGTCTCGTCCCTTCACCTGATGAAGGCCGCTTGTGTTGTGGCTGAAACGTCGTGAGAATTTTATTGTGTTATTTTATTTTATCAATTTATTATTGTATTCTCATTCTACGTGACTTTACCGAAAGAACCAAAGAAGATGGATCCTTGCAGTCACGAAAGCTTTAAATCGAAACCATTTAGATTTGTTTGGATGCTTTTGCTGCCACTTTTGTTGAGCTACCATTTGTGGCCGGGTCGCTTCTGAAAAAAGAAGTTAAGAGCTCAATGGGCTTTACCTGGTAAGAACAAAAAATGGTGTAGTTTTATTTGTATATATTTTTTGAAAGTGATTTGTTTACTTTTCCTATATTTTGCACTCCTGTCGTGTTTTTTTTTTAACCTGTTGCTGTAACGTTCTGACCCTGTGGCCCCCACTGGACATCTGTGAAAAAGAGCTTTATAGCTCATCGGATTCCTCCAGTATAAATACGTGTACTGATTGTGATCCCGACTCGACGCTTCCTCCCTGCCAGGGGCTCGCAACTCCTTCACACAGAAGTGTGGCAGCATCCCCCATGTATGTAGTTATTATTATTACTACTACCAGTACTCTTGTTGCCGGCCTGCACGCACTCTTCCGTCTTACGATGAGTTTCTCACAATCTCCAGAGAGAGTGAGCATCAGTTCCTTTCTCAATCTGCCACCACGGCAAGAATTCACGGCTCGCGCTCTGCTGCTAGAGATCGTGGGTAGATTTTATTGCACGTGGCGAAGTAATGCACCGTGTGATGTGCAAACAGCTTAGTCCGTGAGCCCTGACCAGAAATCTCACTTTACGGTCCCACCTGATGTCGCATGGAGCTTTTGCGGTCCCAATTTCTGTCTGTGGCCGATAGCAGTGTATTTTGTGAGAACAATGTTAAATGAGTGGGGCTATCAAGCAGTTCACTCTTCTTCGACGTTATAAACAAAGCGGAACGCGGAACGTTTTGCTGACTTAACGGTAATTTGCTCTCTCGTCCGTGGACGAAACAAAGTGCCGAGTTTGCTGTCAATGCGTGTCACGTGATTGTACGATGTCGTTCGCTCTCTAGTGGACAATGTGGCAACTGCAGCTCTTGCGGAGATGAGGATGGGAAGTGCTGAACCACTCACTCACTGCTGCCAGTCCGGATTCACCGCCTTGTGATTTCCATCGGTTCGGACCACTTAAGCAGAATGTGTGTAGTGCGTATGTAGGGGGCACAGGTGGTGCATCGGCCAGCCATCTCAGTCAACCCATGGCACCTAGGTCCGTCCCGTGACCTCCTGCCAGCGGGTGGTCGACACTTCGCGTTGCTTTAACGTGCACGTAGCCTGGCACAAGCGCCGCGGTGACGTCACCGCAAACTTAGTGGAGAATGGCGGTTGTTGTGCCGTATGTGCACGTTTGTGTACACACGTGCGTAGTGGATAGCGCGCTGCACGACAAACCGGGCGACCCGGGTTCGATTCCCGCTCGCGGCCAACTCCAGTGACGATTATCTGAACCGGTCCTGGGCGTCCTCTCAATCGACTCAGTCTCAAATGAGTACCCGGTGCGATGTGTAAACATCGCCACTGGGGAGGCAAAGGCGGCCGGGCGTGGTGCTGGCCACCCTGCTCCTCATGTGCTATGCCCCGGCCTTTATAGGTGCTGCTCGCTAACAGCACTTGCCCCAACAGCCCGTTGAGGCTACACGGGGGATCTTTGTGTACGCGCGCGACCCACAGTGGCAGCCGTCGCCATCTCGCTGAACGCGGAGCTGAACGGCGTGCGCGCGGACTCCCTGCGCGTGGTCGTGCGCGACCTCCTCTCCCCGCACCGCGCACCGTCTCCCCCGTGGGACGTCCTCCTCCTGGGCGACATGTTCTATGACGGCACCACCGTCAGCTCGCTCCTGCGCTGGCTCGAGACCTCGCTGGCGCGGCGGGGGCAGGAGATGGAGCCCTCGGCTCCGACGGTGCTCGTGGGAGACCCCGGGCGGCCGGTGTTTTTGGAGCGATGCGAGGCGTGGCTCGGAGCGCGGGCGACGGCGGGGACGGCGCCGGCTCTCCGCGAGCTGGCGCGCTACGAGCTGCCCGAGAGCGCCCGCAGAGACAACAGCGGGCTCAGCGACGGCGCCGTGTGGACGCTGCGCCTCTGACAGTTGGCACCATGGCCGGTCTTTTTCGAGTCGGCTTTTTTTCCCGCGAGGCTCAACGGGGACTACGTGCTGGGCTGGCCGGCTCCTCCACGCAAGATCGCCCTCGCGTGATCAACGGCTGCCGAGAAAAACGCGAATCTGCAGGGCCGATATGCAAGCGGACGACACGTTATTCCCTCCATGTCACTGAACACCGTCAAGGAGAAGTGATTAATTTTAAAGAAGCATTCACTGCACGGCGTGCCAGCATCGTGGCTGCCCACCGTGCTATTGATAAGGAGAACGCGATATATGTTTCGTCAAGAGCGCCCCTCTTAGCTCTTGAGACAACCCAGTGGCAGTGTTCATGCTTGCCTGTGCTGTAAGGAAGAAAAATAATCGATTTGTCGATTCCGTGTTTTTTTTCGATGTTTTTATTGATAAACTATTTACAGGAAAAAGCGACGTCAACAATTCCAAAAGTGATGTTTCGTATTCATATTCTTAGCTCTTTCGGTAAATTCACGTTGAAGGGAAACAATAAAATAATAAAATATATATAAAACAATACAAATTCTCACGACGTTTCGACCATAACACAAACGGTCATCATCAGGTGTTTCTTATCGCACAAAATAACGAAGAATCAATAACAAAATCACAAGAAATGTAATAATCATGGGGCAGAAGGGCTGCTGTTGCAGGGTCCGCTGTCAACACAAACTTGCATTACTCTGCAGGATATATTTGTGAAAGAGAACGCTTAAACAACATTTAAGGCTCTTGTTCCAGGTTCAACACTCCTCCCACAGCTCTATACTCCAACTATTTTCCAGAATGTGAACTTTAAACAACGTATATTCACCTATCAACGGCGTCTCAAGAGGGATCTGGTATACATGTACGTATATGCTTTGTCATTAAAGATTTTAAAATATTTTCGCCTGAAGCTAGTTGTAATTACTTGCGAAACGTCGTACTCAGATTGTAAATGGTGTGGATTTGCTCTCCAACACACCGGTGTAGTGCTGTACTAGTGACGAATTGGCCACGTTCTCTTTACGTGACAACCCTTACTAGTTGGCTGTGTCGGGTGGTGGCGGGTTTAACGACACATTTATATATTTACGCGATCTAAGGGGCCGTCAATAAATGACGTCACGCACCTAGGGGGTGGGGGGGGGTCAGACATTTGTGACGATGTGTAATGAGGGGGGGGGGGGGGGTTGAGAAATGTGACGTCACGTAAAAATGCAGCAACTTTAAATAAATATAGACAACACGTTCTACTTAATTAAATTGACGTTTTAATAAATGTTTTCTCCTACAACATCAGAGTGCAGCGCGACATTAAATACGCACTACAATGACAATAGTTTAAAGCGATTTGAAGCATGTTTTATATTTTTTTTTGGGGGGGGGGTGGGGGGCAGAACTTTGTGACGTCATATTTGAGGGGTGGGGGGGTCTGACTTTTTGTGACGCCGTGTGACGAGGGGGGGGGGTTAAAAAATTGTCCAAAATCGCGTGACGTCATTTATGGACGGCCCCTAACCCAACAAAACCTATATCATGGATATTGGTCAACTGCGTTTGTCCAGCCAAGACTGCACAGTAAGGGACTTGCCATTTCGTAAGAGCCGCGTGGGGCGGTTTTGACCATACTTCATCACACTGGTCAATGTGGGTTGGCAAAGTTGTGGCGGGGGGGGGAGAGCATAGACATGAGCGTAGCCATAGAAGTATGGTACAACCATGGATATCGCTGCACTAACCTGCTGCCGAGAATCGACTCCTACAGCCTAGAACACCTGGTGTTTGCACTATTCAAGAATATTTAAGAACTGTCCAGGCTCTTAGCTGGTGCATTCTAAATGTGGTTTTGGTCACAGGCGTATTTTTGTTTAAGGCAAATTAAAATTACGCAACATTACAAATCGATCATTTATTGGGATTCGTCCACTTAAACTATGAGTACGACAACTATTGTAATTAAATACATTTATGATTCATCGTAGATTTTTGGGTTAGGCAACGTAATATTTGGGCCCCATGTCGTATTGCGGCTTTCACAAGCGTTTAACGAGCCAATTGTGTCACGATTGTTTGCGATGCCCGGGCAGTTTCGCGAGAGACTACGATCAGCACCGGGACCTTAAATGTAACTTAAATATAAAAAGTGAAATCAAATTGTTTAACAAAAAAATATTGTTTTGGAGGATGCGGGCATCGATCCCACAACCTCTCGCATGCTAAGCGAGCGCTCTACCACTTGCGCTAATCCCCCACTCCGACTGCCACCTCACCGAGTACTCCTTATATAGCCGTTGCAAGACGTGGCGATGTCATTAAAAGTAAATATAAATCTACAGTATTGTCTACTTTAAAATGATCAATTAACGTGTGAATTCAATTAATTGCACATGTTGTTGTTTTAACAAAAAAAAACCGTCGCTGAGGTAAAGGAAATAAATTACATAAAATGAGTCCAGATATTTCGTGACGATGTTACTTATTTGACACGTTTCGGTAAGCGGCGACTTTAAATTGTTTAATAAATATTCAGTATAAGTACGTATGCAGTGTTTAAAATGTTAAGAGTTCAACGCTGCACAACCCCGCCGATTCTAGAGTACTGATGATCGAAAACATCCCGAATCGATTCCCAATGATTTCCCCGTAAATAACGTCAGTTTTATCCCACCTGCCCCTTTCGTTTATTCTGTCCAGTCCGTTCAACCATATTAAACTTAAAAAGGTTTACATAATTGTAGTTCAGGACGTGGGTGTGGGGGGGGATATACATTTTATAGTTTCGCGCGCGAGGAATCTATAAAGGAATCGTATGTAGACAAGCTTTCGCAATGGATGATCGATCGGGGGGGGGTCTGGGTTCAAAGGTCTGCGCATGCGCGTTGAGGGTCTCTTCGGACCGGGCCCCGCTCAGGCTGCGAGGTGAGGGGATTTCGGCGGTCGTGCAATCTCGCGAAAATCCGCGCCATCCGCGCCCCCATCGCTTCAATCCTCGCAACGTTTAATGCCGCGGACTCTTGTTGACCGGCGGGAACCTAAATGTCGCGTCGATGGCAACGTTTTAGGGCTTGTTAATCGACATCGGTGTGACGGTATCCCTTGGCTACCGGAGTAGGCCCACGGGCCTGGTTGTCGCCTATGGCTCTTGAATTAAGACCGGCGCGATTTCTACTCCCACGGAACTGAATTCGGTCTCAGTGTTTTATTGTTCGTGTTTAAACGATCCCGTTGCGTATTGTTTTAAGGGTACCGTCTACACATTCGGCTCTGCTTCGGGGGTAAAATAGGCTACTTAAGGGTACAAAGGAAGGGATTCATCCAGCAGTGGATACACGAGATCTATCAGTGGATAGACAATACCATCCAGCAGTGGTGAGGCCAAACTATGCATAAGTGAATCGACAATACCATCCAGCCGTGGGTAGGCGATAGTTCATAGCGATGAGTTTGGCGGAAATTAAGCATTAGTTTTATGGGTGGCCTCTATCCTGGCATGAGAATGTGGCATTTACAGCGATGTTTACAGAGGCTTTTAAAGCTATTAGTCTCGGGCGTGATGAGAACTTAAGTGTTTTGGCCTACTCTTCCACGTCTTGGAAGAGGTGTGATTACCCACACTTTACCCCACCGCACGCGGCTTTTGCCGATCACCACAGTTGGGTGTGTAGTAAGTAGTGTACCCGTTTATACTGCCGAGTGGGACAGAGGCGAGGTGAATGTTAAGAGACGTGCACAGTTGTTTCAACTGCCGCGCCGAGAGATCGAAGGTTGAAGTCTAGATTTGCAAGCCAAGTGCGTGACCCACATTGGGTCCATAATCTCAGTCACATGGCCACAACCGCAACGACTCTGGCTTGTCCTTTCGTTTTACATTCGTGAAGGAGATCGGCCCGGTGATATGCGGGGTTGATGGCTCCAGTGTGTCTTCAAGTAATATCATAGCCAGGATTAGGAGGCGGCGGTATATATGGAGAGGTGTGCGCACGATAGCAACACTGGCTGTGGTAGTTGCAGATTGCTGTGGCGCCCGCTCGCCCTCACGATGATGACTAGCACTGGGCTATGAGCTTCCCCCTGATTCGAAACGTGCCCCGCTCAGGCCTGACATCCTGGCGGTACTGAGTGAGTAGCGGCGAGCGTGGTTGCCATTCTTTTTTTTTGTCGCTGATCCAATATACAGTATATAAAACGGAGACTTGCGACAGACGCTTTGTCAATCCACTGCTGGATGAAAGGCTTAACCCCTCGTGCCGTGTTAGGGCGTAGGAGGGTTGTTTAGCCATACTTCATCCCATGCTGGTTACTGTGGGTTGCCCAGGACTGGTTAAGCTATCGATCACTAATGTTTGCTAAGCTAGGTTTATGCGCTAACTACAGCGCCACTGCTCCACCTATGGAAACGTAATCGTAATATTTACTGGAATGTCAGTCGGTGCTGTAAAAGCTGTTCCTGTGCATTTAGACCTTTGGAAGAATGATTAAAAGTAATAGCCGTAGCGCACCACATTTAATGATCGATATTAATCATTTAATCACTCCTTCAGCTTTTGTACCTCTTGAGGCGTATAACACGACTCGTACACGACATACTAAAAGAATACACTAATACTACAAAGCTGCCGAAATTATGCACTGCCAGAAGGCCACGCGGCTGATGGGTTTTGTCTACGAAATTTGTTTATACGTAACACCACGCCACGAACATTGGACACTTAAACTAATGCTACACAATGCACTGATAGCAGTGTTGGTACCTCCTTTGTAAGCGTATAATGATTGGTTAGTGGTCACTTACGCGATGAGCAGGTTAGATTCGACCACATTTGCAAAATGTCGACTCATTTAAGCGCGGCCCATCGTCGGTACCCCGGGGCGGTGACGCTGATTGACTTGTGTCGTCTGCCACCCCATCCACGTGGTTCCCCAGAATGTTGATGCCCAAGAAGGACCGTGTGGCCATCTACGAGCTCCTCTTCAAGGAGGGAGTGATGGTGGCCAAGAAGGACGTGCACCTCGCCAAGCACCCCGAGCTGGCCGAGAAGAACGTGCCCAACCTGCACGTCATGAAGGCCATGCAGGTGAGGCAAAGGCTGCCCCCCCCTTGCGGCTATCCGCCCGTCGCGTTTCCCGCCCAGAACAATTAACCGCCCAAGTACGTTATTTGCGCGTGGCGTTATTGTCATGACGTACAGACGTCTACAATATGTGACCTTCCACTTGTGTTCTTCATACCAGGTTGGGCTCGTTTTTCCTTGGTCATATTGCTGGTTGGCACGGGTGCTGTTAGCGAGCAACTGTGAAGGACCACACAGCACTTTGAGGTGGAGCTTTCGTGGCTGCCACCAATAACAACAGTTGCCATCCACTGCTAAGTGGTGACGATCCCCACCAGACCAGGCCCAGACCAGCATCACGCAACGTGTCCACCCATGCACACACGAAACCACCTCCTGGGATAGCCAGCCCTTGCCTTCACCGTGATGTCTCAGCACTGGGCTATGAATGCCATGTGATTACAATGTGCGCCCACCGTCACTTGACATGCGGTGGCACTGAGTGAAGGCAACACGGCCACAATACCGCCACAACACCGCTCACCCCGCGCTCATCACAGTGTGCAGCATCCCATGTCGTTAATCATCAGCCATGGTCATTCCACTGTTGGTTGAAGGCTTCCCCCAAGCCGCCACCGTCCCGTGATACAGCAATCCGTCTAGAACCTGCACACGCTGACTTCACTCCATCTTTGAGCGAGACGGTACCGTCGGATGCGTTCCACCCAATGGCTCCCACACTGTTAGTTTTTACGAGTTCTAGAATCAAAAAACAAACCGTTCACTTCCACCTTTCTCCCATCTCCCCGTGTCTCTTCACCTCTTCTCCCCTTGCATAAAACCTTCCTTTTGTCTCCTGGCACCATCTCTCGTCTCATCTTCTTGTGCATGAACTTTAACCTCCTGTTCTCTCTCTTGCCCCTCCTTCTGTCTCCCCTTGCCTCAACGTGCCACCGCCGTTTACTTCTCATCTCTTCTGACCTCCGCTCGTCCCTCCACCCTTCTCTTTTTCACCTCCTCGCCCTCACCCCCCAGTCCCTGAAGTCGCGCGGCTTCGTGAAGGAGCAGTTTGCATGGCGCCACTTCTACTGGTACCTGACCAACGAGGGCATCCAGTACCTGCGCGACTTCCTGCACCTGCCGCCCGAGATCGTCCCCGCCACGCTGCGCCGCCAGATCCGGCCGGAGACGGCGCGACCACGGCCCAAGGGTGAGTGGGGGAGGAGCGCCGCGCGAGTCCGCCGCAGTTCGGCACAGTTGAGCACGCGTCGCTTGGCGGCGCGAGCTCAACCACGCCGCACGAGCGGCGACCAAACGTCTCGTCTCAACCACAGCACTCGGCCCGCCGCGCATGCCAAACCGCGTCTTCATCACACGTGCTTAACCGCACTGCACGTACGTAACCGCATGGTACGGCGTATAATTTACGCACCGCTTACTGGTCCCATGGCGAGTACCAAGCCACAGGTCGGCTTGGTTTTGTGATGTGAGGTTGTCGTGTGGTTGTGGTAACCTATGTGGGGTGAAGTGGTGTGGTATGCTGGTGTCATGTTAATGTTTAGTTGTATCACCAGACATGACGTGCGGTTGTAGGCATGGGAGAGGATTGTGTGCTATGGCGGTGGGGTGTGTGGTTGTGTGGAAGTTGTGCGGTTGTGTCACGCGTCGCGTGGCTTGTGATTGTGTAGGCCTGGGAGAGGACCGTCCCGCCCGTCTGGGCCGTGGGGAGGGCGACCGCGATACCTACAGACGCGCTGGGCCCCGTGAGTATAACAAAGATGCACAGCTTACGGCTCTCTGCACACTCCACTGTAACAGTTAGCACTCGCTTAACTTTCACTCAACCACACTTGCCACTCGATCTCTAAACACGCTCAATATCTAAACACGCTCAATATCATCCTCAACTCACCACACTCAACACTAATCTTTGGCCGCCCATCATCATTACCTTCTCCACACGCGTAATTCACTCACGGCACCACTGAGGCTACTGAAGTGCGTAAGGCTTTCTGACAGGAGACACGGGGCAGGAAAGCTCAGACCAGCATCACAAACTCGCCCACCAGCTGTCACCCTCTGGGGCAGCCAGCCAGCCATTGCCTTCACCGTGATGTCTTCAGCACTGGGCTATGATTGCCATGTGATTACAATGTGCGCCCACCGTCACTTGACATGCGGTGGCACTGAGTGAAGGCAACACGGCCACGATACAGCCACCACTAACATGCTCCGTCACCCACAGCACTCAACGCTCCCTCATCACAGTGTGCAGGATCCTATTTATGTCTGATAATTAAGGAACGTGTGCATGTGGGAGTGGGGTGGAACGCCGGCGGAGTGGTTAAATACATTCTGCTCTGAAACCCCGGGCATCCTCGGTTGTATTTCTGGCCACGGCTGTGTATTATTTCCCCCTTACACTGGACCAAACTCCCTCTCCCCTCGCTTTCCTCTTTTTGCACTGCCCTCAGGTCGTCCTATCTCTTTTCTAAACTCCCTTTTCTCTTCCACTACCCCTACCAGCACCATCTAACACCTTTAATGCCTCCACCTCGCTCCCTCCACCCTAGTCACTACCGGATCCCCAACCCTTATCTTGCCTTTTTGTACTGTAGTCAGAGCAAGCATTGTTAAGCGCCTTGGTATAAGGCACTTTATAAATGCAAAATAGAATAGAATCTATGGTATGTTGGACTTCTTTCGCACCGTACATAGCCAACCATGTTGAATGGGTCTGAAATAATTGTCTGGTGGGGAAACAAAGGTGACATGGACATTGCCCCACTGTCCTAACAAACAGGGGCTTCCCGTGTAAATACAGGACCCCTTTTTACCAATGGGGGGTGTTTGCTATATCTACACAATAAAGTTGCACTCAACAGATAGATAATAACCCTCTGGCACATCAAATGAAACAGAGCAAACCAGGACAGAGGCAACCTGATTGCCCAACACTGCTGCCAGGAGCCCATCTATTTTGTTAGCGCTTTGGAGCGATATCCAAATTTGTGATGTTGGCAAGCGACTGGGTGGGGTTGGTGGCATTTGCTTAGCGGCTGCGTAGTGTGGCGATAGCTGGGTTAGAACTCTGTATTTGTTCAATCGCACATGTTAACCGTGCATCCACCTGCATTCCCCCCTCCCTCCTCTCTCGTGTGTACACAGCTGGCGCTGACAAGAAGGCTGAAGCTGGGGCTGGCGCCAATTCGGACTTCCAGTTCGTGAGTACCGCTTCTGTTCTCTTCGTAATATACGCCTGGCCTCCACAGAGCTATCATTACAGATTAGAGCTGCCCTCTCATTTAGGGTTTTTTTACAATAAGGGGCTCATGCGTATAATCATCGGGAAGTTTTATAACATTGATTCAAACAAGCCTGACTGCTGACAATACGTTGAATGTTGAAAATCGGCCCCAGAGTTTTCTTGTATTGAATCAATGCTGCTGATGAGATGCACTTCCAGAAGGCTGTTTGACTGAAGGATTGTGGACGGATGCATTATTTTGTGATTATTTCGTAAATAGATTACACTCCAAATCGGATGAGAAAATTGTTCCCCCGAGGGGGGAAAAGCCTGTTCTCATGTACACCATTGGACGAGTGGTGACAAGCGACAGGGCTCTGTGGTGTTAATTGGTAGCAGCAGCCATGTCATGCAAGGCATGGCTTGTAAGGGTCTCCAGTTATCGGTGCCAAAACGAATGCCCAATCGCAATTTTAAGTCGAGTTGCGGAGAAAATGTATTGCCAGGACCGATTTGCGTATCACTCGCCACTGATGTTAGCCATGGCTGGGAATCAAACTTGGGTCACTGGATTAATAGTGCATAGTCCAATGCTGGTGAAACTGGTGAACGTTTATACTAATCAACCCTTTGTATATGAAAAGTCTGTCCCCATTTTATCTTGATTAGAGCTTTCAACTGGTACTGGAGTAGCGTGGGTCGCACAAGCTGGTTGTGTGTTAAGAGATGTTTGGATTGCGTCTAACTGCTCGGACATCCCACGCAAGACCCCCCCTAGCCTTGGATAAGTCTTGAGCTTGCCTACATTAAGGACCGTAAAAACAAATATCAGCAGACCTTCGATTTGTCTCCCAATATTACATTTAAAAAAATATTTTTTCCCACTGGCCTATTGGTTTTTCCAAAAGCAATGCGATTCTAGCAGCGTCTGTTTAAGTAAAAAAAAAGCACTATGGACTGGTTTCGACCACCTGGGTCTGGTCAGCAGGTTATGTTTTGTTACAGACACTAATGCCCTGTGGTGTCTTGTCTGTTTTGCTTCGCAGAGAGGAGGCTTCGGCAGGGGGAGAGGAGGACAGCAGCAGTGATTGGTCCGGCGCACGCTCTTCACAGCACGTCGCGTTAATAAATGATTCCCTTGTGAAGCCCTGCGTCTCTTTGCCGTTCTGTTGCCTATTTGAAACGCTAATCACTTCTTGACTTTAAGCTTTCTTTACTGCAGGAATTCATATTCTTTGGGTCTTTCGGTAAAGTCACGTAGATGGAAAATAAGAACAATAAAATAATGAAAATAAAGTGAAAATAAATGTATTATTTTTCATTAACTTTGTATTATTTTTTCTATCTACGTGACTTTACCAAAAGACCCAAAGAATATGCTAATCGCTTCGTTTTAATATATTTAAACATTGTAACTTTACACTGGGTGTGTAATTTGACCGCATAGGTTTTTATTTTTACCAAGGTTTTTCGACGTGACCTTGCTTTCCCCTACCACCATAATGTGGAATTTTCCACAGCAAGCTCAGAGATGGCGCACGGCACAAACGTTCGCCCGACGCTGCAAATCTCCAAATTGGGAGTATTCTGAGCAAACCTCCAACTGAAGTCGGGACCTCCAAGGCACACACAGCCGGACACTCACACCGCCACAACCCCCCCCCCTCTCCCTTTGAGAGTTGATCGCAGAATGCGGGGCCACTTAGTGGCGACCGTTTGCTCACGGCAAGCCGCCACCACCACCACAACACTGTCGTGGCAGCACAGTCATCAGCCAACCTCCTCTGGACTGTGCGGTGCTTGTGCAGCCTGGAGTTGTGTACTTTTGAGTTGCCACCTTTTACATGGCAGACTTACAAGCCCTGATTTCTCATTCGGCCATGGTTCTTTGTCTGAACAGCAGTAACGACACCATGCCTACCAGATCTCCAGACAACAAAATTCCTGGTCCATCTATGTATGTTGAACGTCTTTCGCATTGTACCGAGCCAACCACGCTAGTCAAGAGGTAAGGACAAAATCAAGCAGCTAATACACTGGTCAGTCTTATTGCATTTTACACTAATAACATCCTGAGAACAGAAAAAATGAAAACGTTGCACGCGATTGTTAAAGACGGGGTTAAATAATTTTACGTGGGGAAACTTGAGCTTATGTGAAGGCTCTTGTGCAAAAGATTGACTACAAGGGCTGTCCACCAAATCTCTTCAAAATGACCACACGCTTGTCATCTTCTTGTACAGTCATAAACCCTGGCGACTGGGTGATTTAAATAATTGATGACTACCCATTATGGGATACACGACTCGAATGGAGCATGGGGAAAAAAACTAGGGTGATAATTTCTTCCCCCACTTGTGCCGCTGGATGAGAGATTTGCGGTTACATTGTCACATCAGCCACCGGTGGCAGAATGTGGCATTTGGCCATTTTAAATGATACTGTACTGGACCACATACAACGTAGGCGATTACATATTTTAGCTCTCGATACGCATGGAGGCGAAGGAACAAAATTCCTGCGGAAGCTGCCAACACGTGCAGCGAAACGTCATGCGTCGTGCCAAACAGGCGTGGCACGATCCACAAAATGGCGGAGAACACGGCAACAATGGCAAACACAGCCGCGGCAGTGCCAGATTATCCCAGCAGCACAGTTAGCTACATATGTAGTAGCTAAGGGCCCTGTGCTAAATGCTTTGAAGCTATCAATTCCGGCTCTGTGATTCTGCACTTGTTCTATTACTATAGTACTATACCGCCTTCAACTTTTATGAACGACCAGGCGTTTAAGGTTAGCGATTTGTCGTATTATTTGGCTGTATAGCAAATGAAAATATACAATTACTATAATGTGCAAGTAAAAAAAATGTGTGTTTTTTTTTATTTAGGGCCCCTTTATAGCATATGCTACAGGCCCCGCACGAGCTTCATCCGGCACTGCTTCGTGGTATGATCATTTTCAATCTGACCCGATGGCTTGTCCCGGCTCTCGCCAATGGGTGAGGCTTGGCGCTCCACAGTGACATCCGATGGATAAATGGGAGTTGAGGGAGAATACGGTTTACATTCTTGATAAACGATCAGGCGGGTACTGATTAGGTCTTTCTTTTTTAACTCGTGGGGCTGTCCCACCAGCTCCGTTCCCGAACTTGGAGCCACCACTGCATCCACGTTTGCGCGAGGGTGTCCTCACTTCCACGTGGTCGGCAGAGGCCTCCCCGAGTCTCGCGGCCGTGCGGGGGCCTTGGCCAAGACGTGCGACCCCGTGCGGCCCCTGGGGTCACGTTCCAACACCGCCGCCGCCTCGCTCTGCGCGGCCAACTCCTCGTCGTAGCTGCCGGGAGGACGAGGAGGAGATGTGAGTGCAGGTGAAGTTAGCAAAGGCTTCCGATAGTGGAGGCGAATTATCGCTAACTACAAACGGTTCCTGTGGACGTCAGTCATCGATTCCTCTCATCCACAATGTTCAACCACCACACGGCAGGTCACAACAATACAAAGACCTCCCCCGTGTAGCCTTAACAGACTGTTGGGGCAAGTTCTGTTAGCGACCATGGCACACGACGGGGTGGGTGGCCAGCCAGCACCACGCCCGGCCGCCTTTGTCTCCCTAGTGGTGATGTTTAAACACCACACCAGGTACTCATCTAAGGCTGAGTCGACCTAGGGGAGGCCCAGAACTGGTTGAAATAATCGTCACTGGGATTGGCTGTGAGCAGAAATCAAACTTGGGTCGCCGGGTTGGAAGCGCAGTGCGTTAACCGCGACACTCCTGCTACCCACAACATACCCAGTCAATCACCCACCCTCAATACACACTCATCCACTCACTCAGCCACTCACCAACCCACTGACCCACTCGCACACTGTAAGTCACGACACTTCTCTTTCTGCTTCTTTCCTCGCCATGGTAATGTTTCTCTCAAGTTCGTATACAATTGCTCAATTCAAGAAACGTGAGTTTTTTTTTGGTTTTACCATCGGCGGTGCTGTTTGTTGCTGGTCGCTTGCCGTTTTTGGCTTGTGCACAGCAAGCGTGAGTTTTAAAACAATGGCACGATTCGTAAACCGCACGCACACCATGACGCTTCACAAAACTATTAGCACATCACTTCAGCAACTAAAAGATAATCAATGATGATAATATTTTTTTTGGATAGAGCGCTTTACACCACGTGACATATCTCAACGCATTCCAAAGGGCACCCACGGTGGCAGCTGTCCCTGTGCGGCTTAATGTCTTCCAGAAACTGGCCCGTGAAGGGGCATCGGTCTTGCAGTGGGGGGCGAAGATCACTGTGCGTAATCCCACATTTCAATCGATCGAGTTTCACAAACGCCGGCCACCGGGACGTTTCACGGAGGGGGCCCCCGCCTTCCCCCCCCCCCCCCACCGCCCACCTCGGCACGCGAGCCGTTTCCCCAAACTCACAGGAGGTCGTAGTTTCCGAGGGCCTCTCGAGCCGGCACCTTGTTCCAGCGCGGGTCGGGCATGTCTGCGCCCGGCATGACGATGTTGAGCGTGTCGTTGATGAGGTTGTACTTCATGATACGGTCGTTGGCCGTGGTGGAGGAGAGCGAGGGAGACGCATTCACCTGGGGCGCAGGAACGCGCGCGAGCGATGTGGGGTGTTCGCCGACAAACAAATAGGAAAACACGATAGGGGTGCCAAGTGTAGGAAAGGTAAGGGAATCGCTAAAACAAAAAACATGCACAAAAAAGACAACCATTTTATTTGACCAGGTAAGGCACACCGAGCTATTTAGTTTCTTTTTCAGAAGTGACCCTGGCCACGAATGATAGTTCAACGAAGCGGCTTATCGTGTGGAAATGTAATTGTATGTATGTTGATCTTCTTTCACACCGTACATAGCCAACCGTGCTAATCGGAGATGCGGGAAATACTCTAAATAATCTAAACGCGTGTTTCTCATTGCCTGCCCGCACCTTCATCTCACGCGATTGAAATAAAGACCTCCATTCTACGTAGCTAAACAACACATTGTTTCAATAGCCCAAACTTGTGCACTCCGTCATTTATCGGGACCAATCTCGCACGTTAAACCGTACAACCGACAGTATTAGTAACTTCGCTTATTTTACCCAGCAAGGCCTCACCGAGTCTCATGGCTCTCTTTCACGAGGGTCCTGCCAAGTGTTTTCGTGGCTACGCGAGAAAACGCACGCACATCACGGGGAGAAATGCACAAACTTCACGCAGCAGAGCGCCCTTTTGTGGCTCATGGGCGCGAGCTGTACCGTACCTCGATGAGCCAGGGCTTGAGTTTGTCATCGATGATGATGTCGTAGCCGTAGCACTCGAAGCAGTGCTTGTCATTTGCCATAACTCCCTGCAGACGGTGAGAATTGAGACCGTTTTACAGGCCCAACTGAACTGAACTTTGAACTTCTTTCGCGCCGTACGTAGGCAACCGTGCCCATCGGAGGTGCAAAGTAATCTCACGTGAGTGTTCTTCAAATGGTGGCCCACAGAACGGAGGTTTGCATGTAGACGATAGGAGTTAAAAGTATAGGAAAGGAAAGCAAACCACTAAAAATAAATACGTACAATTGATTAAGCATATCAGTTCAAATTGCATAAGTACACAAATTCCCAAGCATGGGCCACAGGAGCAAAACATAACAGCAAAACAACAGGGGGAGGATAGATGGCATGGCAGAGAGACAGAGATGTGTGTATGTATGTAGAACTTATTTTGCACTGTACATTGCGAAGCGTGCTTATCAGAGGTGTGGGGGAAGGACAACATACCAAACGCAAGAAGCAGTTCTCAAGAAATGAGTTTTAAATCAAGATGATTTAAAAGTGCATAGCTTCAGTTCCTAATATCGGAAGTGAGAGCGTTCCAGACGGCCGCAGAAGCGCATGTTAAAGCGCGTGATGCGTTGACCGTCTTTGTTCGGTGGCCAGTCAAAAGCCGCTGCCGCGAGGATGACCAGAGTTCGTGTGATGGTGTATGTTCCTTGACGAGATCAGCGAGGCATTTGTGGTTCATTTGCGGCGAGCGCTTTGTCCCCCATAATTGGTGTAAGTCCTTAACCCAGATGGAGAGATGGAGACAGAGAGAGAAAAATAGAAAGAGATGGAGAGAGAGGTGGACGGGAGTTTGAGATGGACGTAGGATTTCACGTGAAGCGAGGATGATGGCGTGTGAGAGACAGAGAGATGGGGAGAGATGGAGGGATGGAGAGAGAGATGGATAGGAGTTCGCGTGATGGGAGGACGATGGCGTGTGAGAGACGGAGGGGATGGAGGGCCGGCAGGGGTGCAGGCGGTCGGTCGCTCACCGCGACGGCGCGGAGCGAGTGCAGCACGATCCAGTGCATGTCGTCAAAGAGCTTGTTGGTGACCTCGCGACCCCGCGTGCTCTCCAGGAACAGCCGCAGGTTGCTCACGGTCCACTTGCCCCCGTGGATCACGTTGTAGTCGTCCTGTGATTGGAGGGAGAAAGCGTCGGCCTTGTACGTACGTACGTTGAACTTATTTCGCACCAGTACGTAGCCAACCGTGCTAATCGGAGGTGCAGGGGGAAGGGCAAGGAGAGGTCTGTATTTCACGTCTCAACCTCACTGGACCTGCGTGCCAATAGCCAGCGGCTGGGTTGATGAAATAATGGATAGAATCTATAAAGTGATGCAGTGGGCAGTAAACAAAGAATATGATGATAGAGAGTTGGAGAGACAGGTGGAAAGACGGAGACAGAGATGGAGAGATGGATCGTGAGATGGAGAAGAGAGCCCCAGGTAGATGGAGACAGATGGAGAGATGGAAAGAGAGAGATAGAAAGATGGATAGAAGGAACGAAGGAGAGAGAGGCGGGTAGAAAGACGGTGAGAGATTAAAGTGGCCACCTCCTCCGATTAGCACGGTTGGCTACGTACGGTGCAAAAAAGGTTCAACCTACATACACCACTAGTGGCCCATGGAACACAGGTAGGGAATCACTCAGTATATATATTCGTGGCTGCTATGCATGGTATTCACTTGCTTACATCTAAACCTCTGGTCTGTGGGCCACCAATTGAAGAGCACCGACATGGGATTACTACGCACCTCCGACTAGCACGGTTGGCTACGTACGGCGTGAAAGAAGTTCAACATACAGACACACGTAATGAACCACAATCCCCCACCACCACCAGGACCACAACGGCAAGCACGGTGAGACTTGTACGGCAGCGGCAGTCGGTGGCATGACTCGGCGGAGCGGCTCACCCACCCTCACCCACCCCGTGCTTCTGGATGGACACGTTGGTGAGGTGGACGAACATGTTGTCCAGCTCGTTGGTGCTGGGGGAGTACTTGACCGTGCAGAAGCGGCAGAAGCCGAGCCGGTACCTGCGGAACGGGCGCACGGAGCCACCAAAGAGGAAGGTCTGCCTATGTAGCCTTTGTATGCATCGGAATCAGAATATTGTATTCATACTGCAGGCAGGAATCCGATGAGCTATAAAGCTCTTTTTTCACAGACGCCCAGTAGGGGCACGAGGTCAGAATGTTACAACAACAAGCAATACGAAAGCACGAAAGGAGTGCAAAGTATCGGAAAGGTAAGCAAATCACTTTGAAAAATATATGAGATTAAACTGTTTTATTTGACCAGGTAAAGCCTCCTGAGCTGTTAGCTTCTTTTTCAGAAGCGAGCTGGCCACAAATGACCGCTCAACAAAGTGGCTTACCAAGTGGAAATTTATAGCATGCAAATAATCTAAACGCATGTACGTTGAACGTCTTTCACACCGTACGTAGCCAACCGTGCTAATCGGAGGTGTGGGAGAAGGACAACAAACTAAACACACAGAGTAGTTCTAAAGAAATCAGCTTTTGACTTAGATTTAAAAGTGAATAGCTTAGTGGCTTCCTAATATCAGAAGGAAGAGCGTTCCAGACGGCCAAACAAGCCCATCTCAAAGCGAGCGATGCGGTGAACGTCTTTGGAGCTATGCACTTTTAAATAACCTCGATTGAAAACTATTTTTTTGTGTTTCGTTGTTGTCCTTCCCCCACACCTGCGATTAGCACGGTTGGCTACGTAAAGTGCGAGAAAGATTCAACAACATGCATACACCCCGTGCGAATTGCGCTATAGAAAACCGAGTTGATTACAGTAAAACCTTGGATTGCGAGCATAATTCGTTCCAGAAACGTGTTTGTAATCCAAAGGACTCGTATATCAAAGCACTCGTATATCAGTTGTGATCACATGATGCTCGGCAGACAAAGCGTCTACACGTACTACTACTCGTATTGCGAGGCCCTCGCTCGTTTATCAAATTAATATTTATTACAAAAAAATTGCTCTTCTTGCAAAACACTCGCAGACCAAGTTACTCGCAATCCACAAGGTTTTACCGTAGTATTATCACCGTATAATTATTATTATTATGATGTTTAAGAGCCGCAGCGTTGGACGTACATGTAGCACTTGAGCGGGCGGTAGGAGGTGACGAGCACATAGAGCCTCAGGTCAAACTTCTTCTCCCCGATGAGGAGGGGGTTGTCGATGTACAGGGAGATGACGTACGCCTCCTTCGCCGACGGAGCCACGAACCTGGCGACCGCGCACGCAGAGCACGGCGCGTGGAGCGAAACGTCGGACATCGCGCCGAAAACAACACGCGGGGCGGCCGCAACCCTGGAAAACCACAGCGGGGCGCCACGCAGCACGACCGCGGGAAAAAAAAAAAACCTACGCCCGGTATCATTTAACGTTTACAATTTAATTTCTTTGATCCGAGCCGGCAATATTGAGGCGTCGGCTGGACGCACGGCAATCACCGCTGTGGGCACCGTGGTGGCGAGATGTTAACTCCCTCGCCTGGTATGCAGGAGGTCGTGGGTTCGATCCAGACCCTGACGGCGCCTGCTGCTGTATATTTGGAGTTTGCGTCTCTCACTCATCATCATCATCACGGTGGCTAGGAGATGTTAACTACCTCGCCTGTAAACAGGAGATCGTGGGTTCGATCCCGACCCTGACGCCTGCTGCTGTATATGTGCAGTTTGGCTGTCTCTCGCTCTCCACCGTGGTCGTGGTTTTTCCCTCTGGATTTAGAAACAACGTGCGTTTATAGTATTTGGCTACTGCTATGAATTTACACGTGATAAGCCGTGTCGTTGAACTATCACTTGTGGCAAGGTTGCTTCTGAAAAAGAGCTACGTAGCTCAGTGGCCCTTACCTGGTAATATAAAAAATAGTTTTGTTTAACGAGTAAAAGTAATTTCCTACCCAAATGAGCGTGAAGGCATTGGTGCTCGTGTAGCGTTTACAGCCCTGCAGAGTCTCTCTATACAGCACAACCGCTGTTGAATTCCCAACAACGTGGTAGCAATTGTATCGACCCCGTAGGGATGATGGGCTGAGTTAACCCCCACCCATCCAGGATTTTTAACTCGCGACCTGGCGACTGCGAGCCGCTCGCCCTAGCGCCAAGGCACCTGGCCGGTTAATACCCCAGTAGCATCCCAACAGCGTGTGTCCGTGACTCTGTGTATGGCTACTGAACGTAGTCAGGACGACACTGTCTCTACTCAGGCAGGGGTGGGGAACCTTTTTTCTGCCAAAGGCCATTTAAAACATCATTCGCGGGCCATCCACAATGATCAACTTAAAGATTAGCTTACTCTTTGGTTCTATTCGGTAAAGTCACATAGGTAAAAAAATAAAACAACATGTGACTTTACCGAATAGAACCAAAGAGTATGGATCCTTGCAGTCACGAAAGCTTCAAATCTAGAAAAGATTAGCTTGTTATATTTGGTCAAACATTTAATTAACTCACCCCTAATGTGATGGCTGGAACTGCCAAATTATTTCGCGGGCCTCATACACCCCTGCTCTACTGAGACACCCAGAGGGGAGAGTGTCTCTACTGAGACACGCAGAGGGGAGAGTGTCTCTACTGAGACACACAAAGGGGAGAGTGTCTCTACTGAGACACACAAAGGGGAGAGTGTCTCTACTGAGACACACAAAGGGGAGAGTGTCTCTACTGAGACACACAGAGGGGAGTGTCTCCACTGAGACACCCAGAGGGGAGAGTGTCTCACTGAGACACACAGAGGGGAGAGTGTCTCTACTGAGACACACAAAGGGGAGAGTGTCTCTACTGAGACACACAGAGGGGAGAGCGTCTCTACTGAGACACACAGAGGGGAGAGTGTCTCTACTGAGACACACAGAGGGGAGAGTGTCTCTACTGAGACACACAGAGGGGAGAGTGTCTCTACTGAGACACACAGAGGGGAGAGTGTCTCTACTGAGACACACACAGGGGAGAGTGTCTCTACTGAGACACCCAGAGGGGAGAGTGTCTCTACTGAGACACCCAGAAGGGAGAGTGTCTCTACTGAGACACACAGAGGGGAGAGTGTCTCTACTGAGACACACAGAGGGGAGAGTGTCTCTACTGAGACACACAGAGGGGAGAGTGTCTCTACTGAGACACACACAGGGGAGAGTGTCTCTACTGAGACACACAAAGGGGAGAGTGTCTCTACTGAGACACACAGAGGGGAGTGTCTCCACTGAGACACCCAGAGGGGAGAGTGTCTCACTGAGACACACAGAGGGGAGAGTGTCTCTACTAAGACACACAGAGGGGAGAGTGTCTCTACTGAGACACACAGAGGGGAGAGTGTCTCTACTGAGACACAAAGAGGGGACAGCGTCTCAACTGAGACACCCAGAGGGGAGAGTGTCTCTACTGAGAGACACAGAGGGGAGAGCGTCTCTACTGAGACACACAGAGGGGAGAGTGTCTCTACTAAGACACCCAGAAGGGAGAGTGTCTCAACTAAGACACACAGAGGGGAGAGTGTCTCTACTGAGACACACAGAGGAGAGAGTGTCTCTACTGAGACACACAGAGGGGAGAGTGTCTCTACTGAGACACACAGAGGGGAGAGTGTCTCACTGAGACACCCAGAGGGGAGAGTGTCTCTACTGAGACACACAGAGGGGAGAGTGTCTCTACTGAGAGACACAGAGGGGAGAGTGTCTCTACTAAGACACACAGAGGGGACAGTGTCTCTACTGAGACACCCAGAGGAGAGAGTGTCTCTACTGAGACACCCAGAGGGGAGAGTGTCTCTATTGAGACACCCAGAGGGGAGAGTGTCTCTACTGAGACACACAGAGGAGAGAGTGTCTCACTGAGACACCCAGAAGGGAGAGTGTCTCTACTGAGACCCCCAGAGGGGAGAGTGTCTCTACTGAGACACACAGAGGAGAGAGTGTCTCTACTGAGACACCCAGAGGGGAGAGTGTCTCTACTGAGACACCCAGAGGGGAGAGTGTCTCTATCTACCGATCCCCACGTGTCACATCTCTTGTGCTGAAGTACGTGACAGAGTTCGGCGCTCACGAGTTGGTCTTGCAGTCGCGCGACCACTTCTTGATCTGCGACAGCTTGTTGATGAGGAAGATGCCCTTGCCCTGCGCCTTGCCGCACGGCTTCATGATCCACGTGCTCAACGGGTTCTTGCGGAACTCCTCCACAAACAGGTTGTAGTCGGCCGGCAGCAGGAACGTCACCGGAACAAAATCTGCCACGCACTCCACAACGTTACATTCCACAACGACGCTACGGGGATGAGTTTGGGGGGGTTGGGGGTGAGGGGTGGATGAGGGGGGGGGGCGGTGGTGTTGGGGCGGCAGGGGGGTACGGTAACTCTTGTATGTACGTACACATGTTGAAGTTTTTTCGCACGGTATGCAGCCAACCGTGCTAATCGGAGGTGCGTGGGGAGGACAACAAACTAAACACAACAACATGCAGTTCTAAAGAAATTAAGTTTTCAATCTAGATTGAAAAGTGCATTAGCTCCCAGTGGCTTCCTAATATCCGAAGAGCGTTCCAGACGGCCGCAGAAGCGCCATCTGAAAGCGCGCGATGCAGTGACCGTCTGTGTTCAATGGCTGAGCCAAAAGCCGCCGCTGCGAGGCTGACCGGAGTTTACGTGATGGTTTATGCTCCTTTACGAGATCAGCGAGGTATTGTGGTTCATTCGTGGCAAGCACTTTGTGCGTGTAATGAGTGCAAGCTTATAAAGTGGAAGAGATTTGAGATTTTAAGTGCTATAAAGAAGTGCCACTGACCGAAAGGTCAGCTGTTAAATATTATTTAGGTTAAGGTCACAGTGTTGATGATGAATGTGTGGAGTTTTACTTTGTTATATGCCCTTGTGCACGACTGCCAATTGATCTCATTACGAAATATATAAAAAATCATGCACGTACATGGATTAGGCAAAGCTTTCCAATGTGGGTTCATCTTCAGAAGAATTAAATTGGCGGTGTGGAATCCGACGGGTAGCTGCTGGTCAGGGCACGCGCCGTTTGGCACATTTGCAAACGGTCCTTTTGGCTCCGATTTACGTCTCCAAATTTTGATAAATTTGTCCGGTTTTCTGCCGATTCAAGTCCCTGAGAAGCAACACACGGCTCTACGACACGGGTTTATTCGTACCGCTACACTACCGCTCCCCACTTACATAAAGACAAAGATCTCCCGTATAGTTTAACACGTAGGCTTTCGCGACCAATATCATTCATAATAAAGGTTTTTGGGTTAGATCGCGTTATTTATAAATGTGTCGTAACCCTCCACCACCCGACACGGCCAATCAGTAAAATTATGACGTCACCCTGCTGCTCTATTTAAGACCGAGAGCAAGTGAGGGCTTTACCAATCTGGCGAATTGCCCGATGATGCTGGATGTAATTACAAGCGAAACGTCGCATTCAAACTGTAAATGTTGTGGATTCACTCTTCAACACACCGGTGGGCTAAAGTAGTGAATTATTTGTCTTTTGTCAACGTGATACTTTATTTTGCTGATTTGGTCGTGTCGGGTGGTGGAGGGTTACGACACATTTATAAATAACGCGATCTAACCCAAAAACCTTTATTATGGATCTCCCGTATAGTCTACACTGACTGTAGGGGCAAGTGCTGTTAGCGAGCACCTATGAAGGCCGTAACGGTACACGAGGGGGTGGGTGGCCAGCACCACGCCCGACCACCTTTGTCTCCCCAGTGGCGATGTTTACACACTGCACCAGGTACTCATTTGAGGCTGAGTCGACCTAGGGGAGGCCCGGGACCGGTTCAGATAATCGTCACTGGTGTTGGCCGTGAGCGGGAATCGAACCTGGGTCGCCAGGTTCATAGCGCAGCGTAGCGCTAACCACTACACTACCGCTCCCCACACACATACACACACACATACACACATACATACACACACATACACACACATACACACATACATACACACACATACACACACACACATACACACACACATACATACACACATACATACACACACATACACACACATACATACACACACACATACACACACATACACACATACACACACACACACATACACACACACATACACACACATACACACACACACACCGGCCCGTACCGAGGTGCAGGTATCGGCCGGTGTCATCACGCTCGGCGACAACGCTGCCGTCGCGCTCCAGGTCCCGGCGGTAGCGCTTGATGTTCTTCACCATGAGGTCCTTGCGCGTGAGCTCGTAGTGGTTGGGGTAGTGGTTGACCAGCTGGTCGTCGGCCAGGCGGAATCCCGTCTCCAGGCTGAAGATGCCGCGGGTGCTCTGCACGCTCGCCCTGCCGCACATAACGGAGAGAGAGAGAGAGGTGTGCATAATGAAGCAAGGCGCATCATCATTATGATCCTACATAATGGAGATGTTGTGGATTTACTCTCCAACACAACGGTGGGCTGAAGTAGTACACTACACACTACCCTATACACTACACACTACCCTATACACTACACTACATACTACCCTATACACTACACTACACACTACCCTATACACTACACTATACACTGCACTACACTACACACTACCCTATACACTACACACTACCCTATACACTGCACTACACACTACCCTATACACTGCACGATACACTGCACTATACACTACACTATACACTACACCATACACTACACTACATACTACCCTATACACTGCACTACACACTACCCTATACACTGCACGATACACTGCACTATACACTACACCATACACTACACTATACACTATACTACACTAGTAACTAATTGGCGCGTTGTTTACGTGACAAACCTTACTGGCTGTGTCGCGTGGTGGACGGTCACGACACATTTATACTTACACGATCTTACCCAAAAACCTTTTTATATGAATGTACTATTATAGCATAAACAATAATGCTACAATTGGATAATATGGTGTTAGCAGTGAAGATGCAATTTTATGCGGTAAAATGTATTGGAATACTGCTGTTACACAACATAGGACTGAGCGTGCTGCTGCAAATACAGTATTGTGATAATGATATTGAATAATGCAGTATTGATACTCGTACTAAAATTGATCGTGAGAGTATAAATCGGTGTGTATATTACAACATAACATGTGGTTTTACCCGTGGCACATCACGGGGAAGGGAATGACGTAGATGTTGGGAATACGAGCGGGTGATGATGAGAGGGGAGGGGGGGAGTTGGGAAGGAACAAGCAGCACCCAGCTGTAGAGTTAATACCTCAGTGGGCTTTGCCTGGTAGCCTGGGGATAGTTTCATGTTGCTGTATTTGTTTGTGTCTCCGTGATTTAAATTTTGATTTAAAGCTTTCGTGACTGCAGGCATTCATATTCTTGGTTCTTTCGGTAAAGTCACCACCACGTAGAATAAAAACGTTTCGCCACTTTTTTCAAATTTTCTTGCTGTGATTTTCACACCTGATGATGATTGCGTGTGTTGCAGTCGAAACGTCGTGAGGATTTTATTGTTTCATATTTTTATTATTTTATTGTTTCCCTTCTACGCGACTTCTCCGTGATTTGTTGATCTTGTACTTTGCACTTCGATCGTGTTTTTTTAATTGTTTGTAACGTTCTGACCCCGTGACCCTACTGGACATTTGTGAAAAAGGGTTTTACAGCTCATCGGATTCCTCCTGTAGTAAAAAATTAAGATCCTGATTCTGAGTGTAACAGCGTCTGTTTTAACAGGGAGCGGTGAAAGGGAGAGGGGTTCAGAGTGGGGGTGGCCACTGAGGCAACGAGGTTTATGGGAGGCTTGAGATGATTTACTGTATGCTGAACTTCTTTCGCACCGTCCGTAGCCAACCGTGGCTAATCGGAGGTGGGGGGGGGGAAGGACAACAAACGATGGGTCTCTGTATGAGTCTATGGGTCTCTGTTTGGGTCTATGGGTCTCTGTATGAGTCTATGGGTCTCTGTGTGGGTCTACAGGTCTCTGTGTGAGTCTATGGGTCTCTGTTTGGGTCTATGGGTCTCTGTATGCGTCTATGGGTCTCTGTGTGGGTCTACGGGTCTCTGTGTGAGTCTATGGGTCTCCGTGTGAGTCTATGGGTCTCTGTTTGGGTCTATGGGTCTCTGTATGAGTCTATGGGTCTCTGTGTGGGTCTACAGGTCTCTGTGTGAGTCTATGGGTCTCTGTTTGGGTCTATGGGTCTCTGTATGCGTCTATGGGTCTCTGTGTGGGTCTACGGGTCTCTGTGTGAGTCTATGGGTCTCCGTGTGAGTCTATGGGTCTCTGTGTGAGTCTATGGGCATCTGTGTGAGTCTACTGGGCATCTGTGTGGGTCTATGGGTCTCTGTGTGGGTCTACAGGTCTCTATGTGAGTCTATGGGTCTCTGCATGAATCTATGGGTCTCCGTGTGAGTCTATGGGTCTCTGTTTGGGTCTATGGGTCTCTGTATGAGTCTATGGGTCTCTGTGTGGGTCTACAGGTCTCTGTGTGATCTATGGGTCTCTGTGTGAGTCTATGTATGTGAACTCTTTCGCACCGTACGTAGCAAACGGCGCTAATCGGAGGCGAATCGTGACACGGTACATTATATAGATACCATTCATAGTAATTATGTAGTGTTCTATATCGCATACTCATGGATTCCAATCCGTCTTTTGGCGTCTTCTGGTCCAACACCAATGGAGACTAGGCTCTAAGAAAAGCTGTCTCGGGTGTGGACCAATCAAATTCAAGGACAGTGCATATTATTATCAGAGTTGTCTTTTTTGTTTGCATGTTGACTGCTTGTGTTGTGGTTATTGCAAACATGATGCCTTGAATAAAGGTGTCAGTTTTTGTGCCAGTTAAAAGGGTAAAACCTATTCCTATGGATTCCAATCTGGTTAAACAATTATCTGCACCGATATTAATGTTATTCAATATAACAATAAAATATCATGGAATATATAATTCAATTAATCGAAATGCTATAATTTTATGTTAACTAAAAATCTTAACTCTTAAGATTGAATGTCATACAGTACAGTATTAATAAAAACATTCTCGCGGAGGGAGCTGGTAGGAACGTTGGGTTGCTCGGTCAATGGCCAGGGTCAACGGCGGCACCACGTGGTGTATTCCGCACAATATGCCCGACTGTGAGGGCGGGCACAAGCCGGCGTGAGTGGGTTACACGTTGAGTTTTATAAGGGCACCACGGGGTGACCAGCCCCTCCCCACCCAGCCCCACCCCTCCCATTTTTGGATGCACGACGGACGGACGGACACAATAATCCCCTGTTGGCTGGTGTAATAACCAGGAGGTTCCTACACAGTATAACGCTGGTATTGAATATTCTCGTCGCCTGTAATACAGTAAACACATTCTAGTATACTGATAGTCATGTTGTTATTTGATATAATAAAAATGTAGAATTATCGACGTAATTAAAACAATGAGCAATAATAAACACAGCTATTTAAATCGTGTAACTGTAGATATTAACGCAATGCAGTAGTTGACAGTACTGCATTGATGCGGCAATTTAATATCATACTATAGATAGTAATGCAGTCATTGAATATCAATTGATCGTAGTTATAATGGAAACTAGTGATGCACTAATTTCACATTTAATTGATAGCGATGCTGTAAAACTTGTAGTACTGCTAGTAATTCCATTAACTGTACAGGAAAGCAGCGCTGATGTTGTTTAAATATCCATATTATAGTGATGTAAGGTTTGATATCGTACTATAGATAGTGCTATATCGATTTGATATTGTACTATAGATAGTGATGTAGCGATTTGATATCGCGGTGCGGATAAGCATAGGCGGGGTCGCACCAATAAATATTCCACGCCTCGTCAGGAGCCACCTGGACCCAGCCGCGCTTCTCGAAGTTGTTCACCAGCACCGACTTCTCCACGTCCGTGGCCCACTTCACTCTCCCCGCCATTGCTAAGTTTTGTTATCGTCCCTTAACAACAGCGGCGGCAACGTGAAGCTGCCATTGCAACCATCATAGCAACGGCGCAACGCGCCCGCTGATTGGCCGATGACGCGTGACGTGGCAAAGTCGAACCAATCGGACGGGAACGAGCGGGACTCCTACAGCAACGGTTGCCGGTTTAGGAAGATTCTACCGGAATCGGTGGTGGCGTTTTATTTCGTAAATATATTTTGCAGGAGATTCTACCGGTTTAAGAAGAATCTACCGGATTCGGTGGTGGTGTTTTATTGTTCTGAGATTGAAAAATAAGTTTCAGTTTTTCAGTTTCATTTATTTTGGTATAGCCCTGTGAGCCATTCGGCTCTTGAATCGGGTGCAACCGCAACAAACCAAAAACGTGAACAAGAAAACATCTTAAAGTGATTATGTGTGACTGTGCAAACAGAAAAATCCAGGAAAAACCAGCAAAAATATTCCTGAAATAGCACCGTACACCAACGCTGTGTGCAAAAATCCCAGTGGGATGCAAGTCAAACAACAACAACCACAAGACAACTTTGTTATTTTATTTTTTACCTACGTGACTTTACCGAATAGAACCAAAGAGTATATGGATCCTTGCAGTCACGAAAGCTTCAAATCTAGAAAAGACAACTTAGATTAAGGCCATCAGTCTAACTCCGTACAACAAACAAACATGGCCAAACCAAAAAAAAGTTTTCGACATCACCAAAATAAAGCCACAAAAGCAATGTAACAGTGATCATAGGAACTGTGACCGAATTTTCACAATAAACGACATAAACAACATGTAACACCAAACCCTGCAGCCATAGCTGGCTGCATGAGTCACTCCACAACAGCAGGAGCATCACTTCGACTATGAAACATTTTCAATGCATCTTCAAAGATTAGCACACTAAATTAAAACACAAGATCGTACTTTACCACCTCAGCGGGCTTTGCCTGGTGGGATGGGAATGGTTTAGTTTTATTTGTATGTGTTTGGGCGATCTCTTTCTTGTACTTTGCACTCCGATCGTGTTATTTTTGTTGTATTGTTTGTAACGACACATTAATATACTTACGCGATCTGGATGTTGAAATGTTCTATCGTGTTCGGAGGAGTCTTCTATGTTGGGAAGATTATACTGTATTAAGAAGATTCTACCGTGTTCAGAAGATTCTACCGTATTCAGAAGATTCTACCGTATTCAGAAGAATCTACCGTGTTGGGAAGATTCTACCGTGTTCAGAAGATTCTACCGTGTTGGGAATATTCTACCGTGTTGGGAAAATTCTACCGTGTTAAGAAGATTCTACTGTGTTGGGAATATTCTACCGTATTCAGAAGATTCTACCATGTTCAGAAGATTCTACCGTATTCAGAAGATTCTACTGTGTTGGGAATTTTCTACTGTGTTCGGAAGAGTCTACTATGTTGGGAAGATTCTACTGTGTTGGGAATATTCTACCGTATTCAGAAGAATCTACTGTGTTGGGAATATTCTACCGTGTTGGGAAGATTCTACCGTGTTCAGAAGATTCTACTGTGTTGGGAATATTCTACCGTGTTGGGAAGATTCTACCGTGTTAAGAAGATTCTACTGTGTTCGGAAGATTCTACCGTGTTCAGAAGATTCTACCATGTTGGGAAGATTCTACTGTGTTGGGAAGATTCTACCGTATTCAGAAGATCTACCGTATTCGGAGGATTCAACCGTGTTGAGAAGATTCTACCGTGTTGGGAATATTCTACCGTATTCAGAAGATTCTACCGTATTCAGAAGACTCTACCGTGTTGGGAAGATTCTACCGTGTTCAGAAGATTCTACCGTGTTGGGAATATTCTACCGTGTTCGGAAGAGTCTACCATGTTGGGAATATTCAACTGTGTTGGGAATATTCTACCGTGTTCAGAAGATTCTACCGTATTCAGAAGAATCTACCATGTTGGGAAGATCCTACCGTGCACAGAAGATTCTACCGTGTTCGGAAGACTCTACCATATTGGGAAGATTCTACTGTGTTGGGAAGATTTTACCGTTTTGTTTCTTTCGGTAAAGTCACGTGGAAGGGAAAAATAAAATAATAAAATATATTAAACAATAAAATTCTCACGACGTTTCGACTGCAACACAAGCAATTATCATCAGGTGTGAAAACCACACATTTTCTTGCTGTGGTTTTCACACCTGATGATGATTGCTTGTGCTGCAGTCGAAACGTCGTGAGAATTTTATTGTTTTAATATTTTTATTATTTTATTGTTTCCCTTCTACGTGGTGGTGACTTTACCGAAAGAACCAACAATATGAATACCTGCAGGTCACGAAAACCTTCAAATCTAGAATTGGCGGTGCTTCGTGCGATGAATTTGTTCGGTTGTCCTCGCTCCTGCCCCTGTGCAGCGCGTGGATTCCCTCCGAGTTGTACGACGTTTTAATCATTTTGCGGGACCCCCAGCGGTGTCCCCCAACAATGGGGTCAATAATAATAATTAATTATTATTCTAGATTTAAAGCTTTCGTGACTGCTAGGATCCATACTCTTTGGTTCTATTGGGTCTAAGTCACGTAGGTAAAAAATAAAATAACAAATTCTATGCTAATTCCTTTGTCAAGTCGCTTTGTTTCTTCTTACACAGCTTAAAGGTCGCGATCTGAGCGTGGCTTTTTTCACTCCAGCGCTGTCCTCCAGACAGTCTCGTCCCTTCACCTGATGAAGGCCGCTTGTGTTGTGGCCGAAACGTCGTGATTTTTGTAATTACATTTTTTTACCTTCGTGACTTTACCCAATAGAACCAAAGAATAATAATTATTATTATTTTTCTCCAGTCCGCCCCACTACGTGACCCCGACAGCACCGCGCCGCCAGCCCAGACTCGCGCCAGCAGCAGCAGCATAGCAGGCGGGCTGAGCTTGTTGGCGTGGAACTTTCGTTGAGAAGAGTTCTCATTAACTTAGTTAATGAGACATTTTTTTGTTTAATATTTAAAGTCACTTTCAGGATGGCAACCATTGTGTACCCACTGGGATTTTTTTTGTCACACTCCAAAGATACAGCAGCAGCAGGCGTCGTCAGGCTCGAGATCGAACCCACGACCTCCTGTATACCAAGCGAGGTAGTTAACATCTCCTAGCCACCGCGGTGGTGATGATAATGAGAGAGACCAGCACACTCCAAATATACAGCAGCAGCAGGCGTCGTCAGGGTTGGGATCGAACCCACGACCTCCTGTATACCAAGCGAGGTAGTTAACATCTCCTAGCCACCGCGGTGGTGATGATAATGAGAGAGACCAGCACACTCCAAATATACAGCAGCAGGCGTCGTCAGGGTCGGGATCGAACCCACGACCTCCTGGCGAGGTAGTTAACATCGCCTAGCCACCGTCTCGATAACTTGAGCGAGGTAGCAGGGACACTTCTGTTCTAACTAATACCCTGCACTTTACACAACCTCTCACAACATATCCTCCGGCGTAACTGCGCTAGATTAGGTCACTCTTATTCAGTTTGCGTTGCCTGGGGAGACTGTGACAGATCTGATTATACAATGCAAAGACCCAAACTACTGTACACCCAGCAGTACAAGGACACGTGGTCACATCAACCCCAGTGACTGCTACGATCCTGGCGAGTCCCAGATGCACTTGAAGACTGCAGACACGGATTTTTAAAAAATATTCACTGTATTATCCCGTGTTTTTTTTTGTTCCCCCATGGATTTTCTGTTTGCGCAGTCACACACACACAAAGTCACTTTAAGATGTTTTTCTTGTTCGTGTTTTTTTTTTGTTTGTTTGTTGCGGTTGCACCCGATTCAAGAGCCGGATGGCTCACAGGGCTATACCAAAATAAATGAAAATGAAAACTGAAACACGATGGGCGCCACCCCACCGGACGACGCCCTCCGGGTCAGCCGTCGATCCTCTGCCTACCGAAAAAAAAACAATGAGTAATTTTATGCAGTCACGAAAGCTTTAATACTTTATCGATCCTCAGCTTCTTTGCCAAGGCGAGCCCCACCGCCCCCCCCCCAAGGCGGTGAATTTAACGTGTTTATGTAAATGTAGAATTTATGTAAATTTTCAACTTTTTTTACGAAACTTAGTGTCCCCGAGTAGCTCTCGACGAGGCCAATCGATTGACCACTAGTTGTGTTGTCGGTAAGACAACAAGACTCGTGTCGTGTCGCTACGAGGTTTTTCCCACCCCGGGGCAGTGATGGGACCCCCCCCCCCCCCCGGGGTTCCGCCAATTGCTTCATTTCTCCCAAGGCTAAAACAAACCACGCAGTTCGTATTCTTTGGTTCTTTCAGACAGACTACAGACGATCGCTTGTGTTGTGATCGAAACGTCGTTTTTATTTTATTTACTTTTATTTTTCTATCTACGTGACTTTGCCGAAAGAGCCAAAGAATATGAATTCCTGCAGTCACGAAAGCTTTAAGTCAAAATTTAAACCACGCGGTGTCAATGGAATTGGCCAATCTATCACAAATCACAGAATATTTAAATCCCAAATGTTGGAAAATAGCTTACCTGCAAATTTCTGGATTGGGGGAATACACAGGGACACAGAAAGGAATGTGGAGAGTTCGACAAAGACACACGCAGAACCAGAACCACTCTCCTCTGGTGGCTAGGAGATGTTAACTCCCTCGCCTGGTATGCAGGAGGTCGTGGCTTTGATCACGACGCTGACGACGCCTGCTGCTGCTGTATATTTGGAGTTTGCGGTGTCTCTCTCTCTCTCATCATCATCACGGTGGCTAGGAGATGTTAACTACCTCGTCTGGTACATAGGAGGTCGTGGGTTCGATCCCGACGCCTGCTGCTGCTGTATATTTGGAGTTTTCGGGATCTCTCTCTCTCTCCCCGTGTTCGCGTGGATTTTTCTCCGGGTCCTCCTCGAGTTTTCCCCTCCACATTTAGAACCGACGCGCGTCTAGAGGGTTATTTGGCTGCAATACAAAATACACGACAGGCCACTTTGTTTGAGCTTATCCATTCGTGATAGCCAAGTCGCTTCTTGACATACGTTTAAAAAAATAGTTTTTGAGTTTAGAAGCACTCTCCCCTCCAACCCCGCCCTCACCTCCCACCACCGACATGAACCTGGGGTGGGTTTGTCGTGGTGGGGGGGGGGGGCCTCCAGCCCCCCTTCTCTCCACTCACCACCACCACGCTCGCTTCTCACCTTCACGCTCCACGCGCAGCCGAGGGCCCTCTTGTGAGTGCCCGTGGCCATGACCAACGACACGGCAAAGGCGCAGCCCTGCAATAGCTCACCCCACGTCACTGCGGGCGGAACGACCTCCTCTAGAGAGCTCCCCCCCTCCCTCCCCCACCTCTAGACGAGTGGTAATTGGCCTACTCTTCCACGATGACCAAGTAATAATTCCATTCATAACGCGCCAGAGTTTGCAAACATGGCAATAACTCGGAGGATCGGAGACACGTTCCGTGCTGCTCGAAAGCCCTGAGACCAGAGAGAGAGAGCGAGGCCTTTAGGTGTTTATTAAGCGAGACCTTAAGATGTTTATTAAGAGATGTCTTTAGATGTTTATTAAGAGAAACCTTTAGATGTTTATTAAGATAGACCTTTAGATGTTTATTAAGAGAGACCTTTAGATGTTTATTAAGAGATGTCTTTAGATGTTTATTAAGAGAGACCTTTAGATGTTTATTAAGAGAGACCTTTAGATGTTTATTAAGAGAGACCTTTAGATGTTTATTAAGAGAGACCTTTAGATGTTTATTAAGAGAGACCTTTAGATGTTTATTAAGATAGACCTTTAGATGTTTATTAAGAGATACCTTTAGATGTTTATTAAGAGATGTCTTTGGATATTTATTAAGAGAGAACTTTAGGTGTTTATTAAGAAAGACCTTTAGATGTTTATTAAGAGAGATCTTTAGGTGTTTATTAAGAGAGACCTTTAGATGTTTATTAAGAGAGACCTTTAGGTGTTTATAAAGAGAAACCTTTAGATGTTTATTAAGAGAGACCTTTAGATGTTTATAAAGAGAAACCTTTAGATGTTTATTAAGAGAGACCTTTAGCTGTTTATCAAGAGAGACATTTAGATGTTTATTAAGAGATACATTTAGATGTTTATTAAGAGAGACCTTTAGATGTTTATTAAGAGAGGCCTTTAGATGTTTATTAAGAGAGACCTTGAGATGTTTATTAAGAGAGACCTTTAGATGTTTATTAAGAGAGACCTATAGATGTTTATTAAGAGAGACATTTAGATGTTTATTAAGAGAGACATTTAGATGTTTATTAAGAGATGTCTTTAGATGTTTATTAAGAGAGACTTTTAGATGTTTATTAAGAGAGACCTTGAGATGTTTATTAAGAGAGACCTTTAGATGTTTATTAAGAGAGACCTATAGATGTTTATTAAGAGAGACCTTTAGATGTTTATTAAGAGAGACCTTTAGATGTTTATTAAGAGAGACCTTGAGATGTTTATTAAGAGAGACCTTTAGATATTTATTAAGAGAGACCTTTAGATGTTTATTAAGAGAGACCTTTAGATGTTTAGTGTAGAGTATAGTTTAGTGTATAGTGTATAGTGTAGTGTATAGTAGTGTATAGTGGTGTATAGTGTATTGTATAGTAGTTTATAGTGTAGTGTATAGTGGTGTATAGTGTAGTGTATAGTGGTGTATAGCTTTGTGTATGGTGGTGTATAGTGTAGTGTAGAGTGGTGTATAGTGTATAGTGTAGTGTATAGTTGTGTATAGTGTAGTGCATAGTGTAGTGTATAGTGTAGTGTATAGTGTAGTGTATAGTGTAGTGTATAGTGTAGTGTATAGTGCTGTATATTTTATTCGTAAATATTACAGCTTCTGTCCTAGGACGGGCAAACAAGCTAGTGAATAATAATATTGGTCGTGAAAGTCTACATGTTAAACTGTTTCCTGGTATACAGGAGGTCGTGAGTTCGATCCTGAACCTGACGACGCCAGAAGCAGCTGGATTGCTTCACTATTCTGGCAAATCGCCTGATGATGCTGGTCGTGGTAATTACGAGCGAAACGTCACGGCACTCAGATTGTAAACGTTGTGGATTTACTCTCCAACACACACCGGTGGGCTGAAGTAGTACACTACACCATACACAACACTATACACTACACTATACACTACACTACTATACACTACACTACACACTACACTATACACTACACCATACACTACACTATACACTATACACTACACCATACACTATACTAGTAAACTAATTGGCGCGTTTACGTGACAAACCTTACTGACTTTATCCGGTGGTGGAGGGTTAAGACATTGATACTACACGCGATCGAACTCCAAAACCCTTTATTATCAACGATATTGGTCTAGTACGTGAAAGCGCACGTCTTAAACTGTGTGCGTCTATCGCAATTCCCACTGCACGTAGGGCACCTAACCCATTGCACGTGGTTTTCTTTCGACGATAATTTAAATAAACAAAGATCCCCCCCCCACACACGCCCACCACTCCCAACGAGTGCCGGATCTGGGATGCAAGGAGAGAGTGAGAGAGGGGTGTGGGGGGAGAGTTGATTGATTGATTGGCCCTCTGCTCATCGGGTGTTTGGTTCAACGAAGGGCAAGCTTCTCTCTCTCTCTCCGGACTCCGCGACGTGGAACAAGGCCACCTCTTCACGCGGCCTCAGTGCGGCCACCCACCCGCCGTCCGTTGATCCACCGCTGGACGCGATGAGGAGGCCACGCGGGGCCTCCTCTGGCCACCGCTGTCGCGAGCGAGACGAGGCGGAGGGACGCAGCGCCGAGTGAGCGAGAGGTAAAACGCCGGGGCGAGAGAGACACGGAGACGGGGATGGTCGGAGAGACACACGGGGGTTAGACATCGAGGCGCAAAGATACAGCGAGAGATAGAGAGACACACACAGAGAGAGAGAGAGGGACACAGAGGCAGATGGAAAGAGACACAGATACAGAGATCGACGCAGATAGTAGACAGAGTTAGAGATAGAGAGATATTACAGAGAGAGAGACATACACAAATATAAAGAGTGACAGTTACAGAGAGAGGCACACAGACACAGGGAGACACACAGAGGTACTATGGGAGGGACACACGCAAATGAGGTTAACCCATATCCACCGCTGCTGCTAATTGTTGTAAAGTAATAAACTATTGAGGCGTCAGCCCCTTGTAAAAACTAAAACTTTATATAAACGTAACAGCATTGTCCACAGATTGTCCGGTTCTTGTTGAGGTTGAGGCAGATTCAGTGGTTGACAGTGAACGACCAAGTTGACCGAATGAGTTAAAAATAAAATTAATTAAACCGTGAGGCTAAAATCTATTTGGACAGATGATCAAATAACAACTACCAAGAGCGGAATTGAAAAGTGTCCCATTGGATCTGTCATGGGTTATAATAATTAACACATATATACACACACGTGTGTCTGTGTGTGATACTGGGTTATCGTGTGCCTTGCTGGCCTTCATAAGTGCCACTCGCTAACAGCACTCGCCCCCAAACAGTCTGTTCAGGCCAAGGCCATAGCCATGGAGTCAACATTGGGGGAGATCAAATCTTCCAGCGGGTCTGGGGGTCCTCCCCCAGAAAAAAAAAATCTAAATTTGAAAACGAATTTCCTGTCCAAAATATAAAAAGTCACTAACACATAGGATGGACTTTTTATTTATTTTTAACAATAATGTCTAATAGAGTGTTGTATTACATTGCTCTGTTATGTTCTTTTTTTACATTTTCTTGTTTCATTGTATATAATGGCAGAGATTATTGATTAATAAAGTACAACCATAACCACAATCATATAAACAAAAATCTAGTTTATAGCAATATATTGGGGGGGACATTTTGAGCATATTTGAATATTATATATTATAATTACGGCCTTGGTTCAGGCTATAAAGAGGGGATCATTGTCTCTGGTTATCAAGGCCCATGGCAGAACAGCCCTCAAATTCACCATTCTTCACCACGCCGGCCAGTACAGGTTAAGTGGAGACCTAGTGAGCACATGCCAATATTGGCGTGTCGTTGAAACCGTTGGGCCAACGTCTGACCAACGTTGGCATGTGGTTTGGACCACCGTTATCCCAACGTGCCACGTTTACTGGGTGGGGTGCCACACCGCGTCGGGTCTACACTTGCTGCTCCTGATGTTAGCCGTGGCGGTGGGAGGGGGGTGGGGATTGAACTCAGGTCGCCAAGTTCACGCCCCCCGCCCCCCCCAACGCGTGACCGATGTCGATGATAATGATGATGACATCTCTTGACAAGGGCCGGGTCCCCACCGAGGCTGCGCTGGTCAGGATGCACTGGGCTGTGCGTTTGGTTCTGTCCGTGTGGTGCTCCTCACTCTGCCGCCCAGCGCAGGCACAAGGTGAGACCGGATTGCAACCTCTACCGTGTGGCTCATAATAATATATTATTATTGTTGTTGTTGGTGCTCTTTAGAGCGATATTGATCGTGGTTGTGAAGCCGCCCCTATCACGACCGTTCCCAGCCACCACTACCACCGCTGCGTCCGCACACTCTCCTTCCCACCACTCCTACAACCCCCCCCACCACCACAACCACCCAAACCAGCCCAACCTCGCCATGTGTCTGGAGGAAGGGGTGGGTGGGGCATAAACAGAAAGGGGCAGGACCAAAAAGAGGAAAGTCGCAGAGCCCAAATAGGAAGAGGCGGGGCCTGATCAGTAAGGGGTGGGGCCTAAGCAGGAAGGAGTGGGGCCTAAAGAGGAAGGGGTGGGGTCTCAAGAGGAAGGGCCCGGGTCCACAGGGGTTGAACTTCTCTGTTGATTTCAAGTAATGGAAGCGTAAAATAAAATGCGAGCAGCAGGCAGCACACGGGTAGTGCCACAGATGCAGTCACAGGCCAACTATTATAAATAATTGTACCTTTTTAAAAAAAATACTGTTAGCGAAAATTGCTTATCAAAACACTTTTTGATTGGGCATAGTTTTCCCATGGAGGGTGCGGGAAACCGCAGACGATTGGAGTTAAGGCAGCCAGAACCGCCGCTAAAAACTACGTGCCCCAGCTTTGTGGTCCTATAATTGGGACATTTCTTCACGTGGGACGAAAACCGGAGTACCTGGAGAAAACCCACGCATACGAGAGCAGGTAGCACTCAGTCCCCTTACAGATGGAAATGAATCCTCTACCTGCTCTACTGCCCTATCACCACATCCATTATATCTCCAGCTGTGGTCAGCTGCTACTCGCTAACAGCACTTGCCCCAACAGTCTGTTAAAGGCTACACGGGGGACCTCTGCCTTTGTCTTTGTGCGTAGTGCGCGTGCTGTGCGTGCCTGAGCGCACCTTCGTGTCGGTGCAAGAGAACAGCGCCGGGGGCCTCCTCGTCGTGGCGTTCACCGTGCCACCGCCGGGCCCCGCCTCGTCCTCTTCGCCCCCCCTGACCCCGCGTGAGCTCACGTGGGCCCTCGCGGGGCCCAACTCCACGTGGTTCTACGTGGACGACGCCGGCGGTCTGCGGCTCGATGCGCGGCGATCGCTCGATGCGGAGGTGCGATGGCAGATCGAGTCACGGGCGCCCACCCGCTCGCTTACCCGCTCGCTCGCCTGCTCACCCGCTCGCTCACCCACTCGCTCGCCCGCTCACCCACTCGCTTGCATGCTCGCTTGCTTGCCCGCTTGCTCGCAAGCTCACTCACCCACTCACTCATTCGCTCGCCCACTCACCTGCTCGCTCGCTCGCTAGCTCACTCACTCACTCACCCACTCGCTTGCTCGCTCACTCACTCGCCAACCCACTCGCTCACCCATTTGCTGACTCACCCACTCACTCGCTCGCCCACTCACCCACTTGCTTACTTACCGACACACCAGCACTCAGCCACTCAGAGTCTTACACTTGATCCCGCGTATCGCTTAAATCATACACTGCACACAACAGAATTCACCTACTTATGCTGACACCAGTGTAATGACCAAAAGATTACCCCAAGCCAATATGCAGCCTAACGGCTATTTGAAAATAAACAAAGGTCTCCGATTGGTAGAAAGATGCCTCCACGGTGATTGGTCGGGTGGTAAACTTTTAAAGGGATTGGAGGAATAAGGTTTGAACGAGATCGATCGGGGAAAACAGAGAGAGGATCCATATTCTTGGTTCTTTCGGTAAAGTCACGTAGAAGGGAAACAATAAAATAATAAAAATATAAAAACAATAAAATTCTCACGACGTTTCGACTGCAACACAAGCAATCATCATCAGGTGGCTGTGGTTTTCACACCTGATGATGATTGCTTGTGTTACAGTCGAAACGTCGTGAGAATTTTATTGTTTTATATTATTATTTTATTGTTTCCCTTCTACGTGGTGACTTTACCGAAAGAACCAAGAATATGAATGCCTGCAGTCACGAAAGCTTTAAATCAAAATTTAGAGAGAGGATCCGTTAGAGGGGAAGGAGAGGAATTGGCTAAGGGGGAAAAACAAGGACAAGATGGTTCCAGAAAATGGGGGGCTGGAGGAGTGGTGACGTTCGGAGGAAGTTACAAGCTGGAAGACAAGGATGAAGCCTAGGGCCCTCGTATTGTGGCTGTGTCCCAATAAAGTGGCTCTTATAACGTCATCGTCGTCGTCGTCAAGAGTCGTTACACCAGTACCCACCACGCGCTCTGCGTGTCGCCCACACACTCGGGGTGGGGGGGAGGGGCGTCGGGCAACAGCGAGGGCGTTGCCCGCGTTGTGGAGATGAGTGCTACCCCCTGTGGTCAACCTCCCGCGCAGAACATGACGACCCCGGTGCTGAGGGTGGACGTGACCTGCAGCCACGGAGTGGAACACACAGAGGTACCGGGGCAGCACGCGTCACCGGTAGATAGCACCATTTGGGGTTATTACGTCGAATCCAGGGACCTGCATGTCTCGTCTGGCCAGTTCACCGGTGTTGCTGCAAAGCGAGCCTGACCCTGCTGATGAGACGTTGCTTTTTTGCGTTTTGTGTTCTGTTGTTGTTATTTACCCGCACCTGCGATTAGCACGGTTGGCTACGTATGCTGCGAAAGAAGTTCAACCTGTAATAATAGGGGGTTTTCCCCTTTTTTCTGGCAACAAAAAAACTGAAACCTCTTTACGTGGAATCATGTCTGCATTAACCACAATACTTGTGGTCAAAATGCAAAAAAGACACACTCTGATAATATATGATGCATTGTCTTTGAAAACTGATTGGTCCACACCAGAGACGGCTTTCTTTTCAGCCTCGTCTCACTTGGTGCTCGACCAGAGGACGCCAAAAGGCGTTCAGCTCAAAGACAATGCCACTATCAAAGTTGCCAGAAAAAAGGGGAAAAACCCCTATTATTATATTTTGGTACTGGCAAATGAGGTCTAATGATGTAGGTGCTTACCCCGAGCCCTCATTACTTTGATAGTGGCATTGCCTTTGAGCTGTACGCCTTGTGGCGTCATCTGGTCTAGCACCAATGGAGACGAGGCTCAAAAGAAAGCCGTCTCTGGTGTGGACCAATCAGTTTCAAGGACAATGTATCATATTATCAGGGTGTTTTTTTTGTTTGCATTTTGACCACAAGTATTGTGGTTAATGCAGTAACAGAAAAAAAGAGGAAAAACCCCTATTATTATATTTTGGGTACTGGCAAAGGAGGTCTAATGATGTACAGGTTCACCCTGCGTACGTACGCAGAGAGTGTCGAAACGAGTATTTGCCTATGAACACCTGGAATTTCCCCAGCCATTGGTTCGAGCGAACTTGACCGCTGATCAGACAATGAGCGCCGAAACCAGCTACGGACTTTTTGCTGCAACGATGGCACTCCCGGAAGGCTGCGGGGAATTTTGGGGATCCAGCACCCTGGGGTCGCGTGAAGGTCGAGTGTGAACAGGAAGCCTCTCGCTGCGGTGCGTGCGATCCACAGCACTCGATCCTCGTGCAGGTGACCAACTTGAACGACAACCAGCCCCGGTTTGACCGAGACGTCTACCTGGTCGACATTAACGAGGTACAGACAACGGATATCCCCCCCTCCCCCACCCCGTAGAGCCCGCGCATACTGTTTGGGGGCAAGTGCTGTCGGCAGCGAGTGGCAGGACCTATGAAGGCTGCAACGGCACACGAGGGGGTGGGTGGCCAGCACCTCGCCCCGGGGCCGCCCTTTGTCTCCCCGCCGGTGGCGATTGTTACGTATCGCATCGGGTAACTCATTTGAGGCTGAGTCGACCTAGGGGAGGCCCAGGACCGGTTCAGGCAACTGTCGCCGGTGTTTGAGTGGCCGCGATCGGGAGTCGAACCCGGGTCTCGGGCCGGGCTCGCAGCGATTGAGATTTGATTTGCGATTAAATTTTTTAAAAGTCAGGCTTCAGTTCAATATTCACTGAGTAATAGATTTAAAACATGTGATGGAGCATTACCACGTGATACCATCACAACATGAAGTGCTCTATTTATTCTAATGCAAGGATGAGAGCTTAAAGATATGAATTGCTTCCAACGTGTATTTTTTTTTAAACTTCATTGAAATAGAACAATCGAACATATAACAATTGTTAAGTTAAATAAATAAAGTTATGTTCATAAAAAATGAAATATTCCCAATAAGAAAGTAATAGGACTTTTCAAATCGCTAAAAAAAATCGCAGCCTTTGCGATTTGCTCATCGCATTGTTCCAAATTGCGATTTCGATTTGAAATCGATTAATCGTTCAGCCCGAGTGCAGAGTTCCACCTTAACGTTGCAATTCAGCAGCGGCGGCGGCGGCGATGTTATGGTTCACGATCTCGACGCCAATGGCAGAGTCGGAATCTTTATTTGCACGTGTGTCGTGGTCTTACTGCTGTTGCCACAACGAGAGGGCATCAGCAGAGAGAGAGAGAGAGCGAGAGAGACTTCGTGTCGTGTCGCTGTTCCTCCTCCTTTGAAGGAGCACAGACCACAGTGGGTTTACTTGCTGTGCTGTACCGTGCTGTGTTGCTGTTCCATGCTGTGCTGTACCGTGCTGCTGTTCCACGCTGTGTTGCTGTTCCATGCTGTGCTGTACCATGCTGTGATGCTGTTCCATGCTGTGATGCTGTACCACGCTGTGATGCTGTACCACGCTGTGACGCTGTACCACGCTGCGATGCTGTTCCACGCTGTGATGCTATTCCACGCTGTGATGCTGTCCCATGCTGTGATGTTGTTCCACGCTGTGTTGTTCCATGCTGTGATGCTGTTCCATGCTGTGATGCTATTCCATGCTGTGCTGTTCCATGCTGTGATGCTGTTCCACGCTGTGCTGTTCCATGCTGTGATGCTGTTCCATGCTGTGTTGCTGTGTGGCGGTACCACACCTCTGCGCTATCGCTCGCTGTCTGCAGCTGTCTCCCGTCGACTCGACCTTCGTGAGCGTCAAGGCCACGGACCTGGATGGTGACGCCATCCGATACGTCCTGGACCCCAACTCCGTGCGTGACGTCGTCCCAACCACACACCACCTGCACCACCACTACCTGTACAACCACCACCTGTACCACCACCTGCACCCACCACCTGCACCACCACCACCGCAACAGCCGTTTAGTGGCCGTGACGTCACCACGCCGCTTGTGCCAGGCCTGGTGCCGCTGTGCGTGCGTGCGTGTCCATGTGCGTCTTTGTGTGCTTGTGTGTGTGCGTGCTGGCTGGATGCCCCTGTGTGTGTGTGCGTTTGCGCGTGTAGCGGTCAGCGCTGCGCTACGAACCCGGCGGCGACCCGAATTCGATTCGCGCTCACAGCCAACCCCCGGATGACGATTATCTAAACCGGTCCCGGGCCTCCGCTAGCTCTACTCAGCCTCAAATGAGTACCTGGTGCGATGTGTAAACATCGCCACTGGGGAGACAAAGGCTGCCGGGCGTGGTGCTGGCCACCCACCCCCATCGTGTGCCGTGCCGGCCTTCATAGGCGCTGCTCGCTAACAGCAATTGCCCCTACAGTCTGTTAAGCCCATACGGGGCATCCGTGTCTTTGTGTGTACTAGGAGGATGCCCCTGTGTGCGCGTGTGTGCACGTGCGTGCAGAACGGAGTGGAATTCTTCACCATCACTCTGCCCGGCAGTGGCCGGATCAGCCTGCACCGGCCACTCGACTTCGAGGAGCTCACGGACCTGAGGCTCATCGTCTACGCCGAGGTGCACCCCCCCCCCCCCCCCCCCCCCGATGGCTGTGACTCTCGCCCGTGGTCGGGCTCGGAGTGCGCAGGCGGTGCAACTGCACCGGGACCCACGGATTTCGGAGGGGCTATAAGAGAGTGGGGGTTGGCGGGGAGGGGGGGGCATGAGACAAGGGACGGGGTCCAAGTTTTGTTCCGTGCCCCAGGGCGCATGTCAACCGTGCTGCTATTCCCCTAGGGTTCATTGTTAGAGCCAGACTAAGGCTCCCCTAGGGTTCATTGTTTATTCCAGAGGCTCACAGAGCCAGACTAAGGCTCCCCTAGGGTTCATTGTTTATTCCAGAGGCTCACAGAGCCAGACTAAGGCTCCCCTAGGGTTCATTGTAAATTCCAGAGGCTCATAGAACCAGACTAAGGCTCCCCTAGGGTTCATTGTTTATTCCAGAGGCTCACAGAGCCAGACTAAGGCTCCCCTAGGATTCATTGTAAATTCCAGAGGCTCGCAGAGCCAGACTAAGCCTCCCCTAGGGTTGATTGTGAATTCCAGAGGCTCACAGAGCCAGACTAAGGCTCCGCTAGCGTTGATTGTGAATTCCAGAGGCTCGCAGAGCCAGACTAAGGCTCCCCTAGAGTTGATTGTGAATTCCAGAGGCTCACAGAGCCAGACTAAGGCTCCCCTAGCGTTGATTGTGAATTCCAGAGGCTCGCAGAGCCAGACTAAGGCTCCCCTAGAGTTGATTGTGAATTCCAGAGGATCACAGAGCCAGACTAAGGCTCCCCTCTCCTAGCTTTTGTTTGGGCTGATAGAGGGGGCTAGAGAGGAGATGGAGTGATGCGGTACAAGAGTATGTGGGGCTCAGTGGACTTGCCTATGACTGGTAGCAGTGCTAAGATCAGCCCCCATAGAGGAGGCTCGTAAAGGAGGCTACTGGGCAGTTGGAGACAGTCGCCTTTTAACAACAGCAGAGGGCAGAGGAGCGACGCTCACAACAATGAGCGGAGCGCCGGGCGGCTAAAACGCAGCAAGTTGGCACAGTGGGGAACACATCTGCCAGTCATCTCAGTCGGTAAACCCGCAGCACCTGGGGTTCTGTTCCGTGATCAGCCAGCAGCCAGCCTTCCACACTTCACGTCATAGCCTGAAGGTGCACCTAGCCTGGCACAAATGCCGTGGTGAAGAACGGCCGTTGTTGTTGTTGTTGTTATCCGTGTGTGGATGCGGTGGTGCCGCCCGTCACCAGGAGTTCTCCACCACGGAGCGTTACCGCGCCACCGCCACGGTGTGGGTGACAGTGCGCGACGGGGACGACATGTACCCGCACTTCCTGCCGTGCCGGCTATCCGGGCCGGACGGTGTCAGTCAGCACGGCCCGGGAGACGCGGCCAACATCACCGGCGCCGCCGTCACGGCGCTGTCTACGCCGCTCTGCCTGCCGCCCACTTACAACGCGACCGTCAGCCAGGGGGAGATCCAGGTGGGCGCGCCGTGGCCCTGACTCACTCCCGCCGCTTGTCTTTCCACTGGCACACGCGAGCCGAGAGCCGGCGCGGGGACAGCGCGGTACGGCTGTTTCTATTTTTCCACTAGCCAAAACCAAAGCGTGAACGGCTGCTGGTTTCACAAGGAAGTTTGAATCTGGCTCGGGGGGCCAACCCGGGGCTTGGAGGTGGCGGGGATGATGACGCCATTCACCGCTTCGCGTGACGTCAGTCGGCACGCGGTGTGAGGTCGCGGCGTCGCCAATCGACGTCGCCCATTGCGGCACGGCTCGGCTCGGCTCTCGCAGTGGAAAAATTAAACCTGAGCCGCGACGGCCTGGCTCGGATCTCGGCGAGGCCGTCATGACGGCTGTTGTTGTTGTTGTTGTTGTCGCCGTTGCTCCGCCAGACATCGCCGTTCGTGTTCAGCCCCGGTCCGATCCTGGCGGAGGACGGAGACAAGGGTCTGAACACACGCATCACCTACACCATCGCCCAGGGTGAGCGCACGCACGCACCCACTCACTCACCGCACACCCCGCGACAAGAACTCACCCACTCACCACACTCTCAGTGAGAACTCACTCACCGCTCAGTGGGAACTCACTCACTCACCGCTCAGTGAAAACTCACTCACCGCACTCTCAGTGAGAACTCACTCACTCACCACACTCTCAGTGAGAACTCACTCACTCACCGCACTCTCAGTGAGAACTCACTCACTCACCACACACTCAGTCAGAACTCACTCACTCACCACACTCTCAGTGAGAACTCACTCACCGCACTCTCAGTGAGAACTCACTCACTCACCACACTCTCAGTGAGAACTCACTCACTCACCACACTCTCAGTGAGAACTCACTCACTCACCGCACTCTCAGTGAGAACTCACTCACTCACCACACTCTCAGTGAGAACTCACTCACTCACCACACTCTCAGTGAGAACTCACTCACTCACCACACTCTCAGTGAGAACTCACTCACTCACCACACTCTCAGTGAGAACTCACTCACTCACCACACTCTCAGTGAGAACTCACTCACTCACCACACTCTCAGTGAGAACTCACTCACTCACCGCACTCTCAGTGAGAACTCACTCACTCACCACACTCTCAGTGAGAACTCACTCACTCACCACACTCTCAGTGAGAACTCACTCACCGCACTCTCAGTGAGAACTCACTCACTCACCACACTCTGTGAGAACTCACTCACTCACCACACTCTCAATGAGAACTCACTCACTCACCACACTCTCATTGGGAACTCACTCACCACACTCTGAGAACTCACTCACCTCACACTCAGTGGGAACTCACTCACCACACTCTCAGTGAGAATTCACTCACTCACCGCACTCTCAGTGAGAACTCACTCACTCACCACACTCTCAGTGAGAACTGACTCACTCACCACACTATCAGTGAGAACTGACTCACTCACCACACTCTCAGTGAGAACTCACTCACTCACCGCACTCTCAATGAGAACTCACTCACTCACCACACTCTCAGTGAGAACTCACTCACCACACTCTCAGTGGGAACTCACTCACTCACCGCACTCTCAGTGAGAACTCACTCACTCACCACACTCTCAGTGAGAACTCACTCACCACACCCTCAGTGGGAACTCACTCACTCACCACACTCTCAGTGAGAACTCACTCACTCACTCACCGCACTCTCAGTGAGAACTCACTCACCACACTCTCAATGAGAACTGACTCACTCACCACACTCTCATTGGGAACTCACTCACTCACCACACAGTTTAGAACTCACTCACCGCACTCTCAGTGGGTATTCACCCACTCACCGCGCACGGGAAGGGAGAGTGATGCACCAACCCTCGCTGCTGCCTGCACAGCGCTCGATCGCAGGCCACGTCCACGTGGCAGTGTGTCCACCAGCAGCAGCACCGCTACCTGGCTACCGACGCTCACTCACTCTGTTTCCCTCTTTTACACAAACACGCTGCCACTGCTGCTGCTCCTGCTGCCACTGCTGCTGCTCCTGCTGCCACTGCTGCTGCTGCTCCTGCTGCCACTGCTGCCACGGCTGATGCTGCTGCTGCTGCCACGGCTGTTCCTGCTGCTGCCACGGCTGATGCTGCTGCTCTTCGTGTCGCGGTCAGAGGAGCCTGGGGGTCACGTGAGGATCGACGCAGCCACTGGGAACGTGACTCTGGTCCGAGCGGTGCGCGATCGATTCCAGGTTCCCCAGATCAACCTCCAGATCATGGTGAGAGGCCCTGCGGGCTGACCGCTCTGTCTGTCACTGTCTCGAGACCTTCTTCAAGGACCACGCTGTCTGTCATTGTCTAGAGACCCATCAAGGACCACTCCGTCTGTCTGTCACTGTCTAGAGACCCATCAGAGACCAGTCTGTCTGTCTGTCATTGTCTAGAGACCCATCAGAGACCACTCTGTCTGTCTGTCACTGTCTAGAGACCCATCAGAGACCAGTATGTCTGTCTATCACTGTCTAGAGACCCATCAGAGACCAGTCTGTCTGTCTGTCACTGTCTAGAGACCCATCAGAGACCACTCTGTCTGTCTGTCACTGTCTAGAGACCCATCAGAGACCAGTCTGTCTGTCTGTTATTGTCTAGAGACCCATCAAAGACCAGTCTGTCTGTCACTGTCTAGAGACCCATCAGAGACCAGTCTGTCTGTCACTGTCTATAGACCCATCAGAGACCAGTCTGTCTGTCTGTCATTATCTAGAGACCCATCAGAAACCAGTCTGTCTGTCACTGTCTATAGACCCATCAAGGACCACTCTGTCTGTCTGTAATTGTCTCGCGACCTTCTTCAAGGACCACTCTGTCTGTCACTGTCTAGAGACCCATCAGAGACCAGTCTCTCTGTCTGTTCTTGTCTAGAGACCCATCAGAGACCAGTCTGTCTGTCACTGTCTAGAGACCCATCAGAGACCAGTCTGTCTGTCACTGTCTAGAGACCCATCAGAGACCAGTCTGTCTGTCTCACATTGTCTAGAGACCCATCAGAGACCAGTCTGTCTGTCTGTCACTGTCTAGAGACCCATCAGAGACCAGTCTGCCTGTCACTGTCTAGAGACCCATCAGAGACCACTCTGTCTGTCTGTCACTGTCTAGAGACCCATCAGAGACCAGTCTGTCTGTCTGTTCTTGTCTAGAGACCCATCAGAGACCAGTCTGTCTGTCACTGTCTAGAGACCCATCAGAGACCAGTCTGCCTGTCACTGTCTAGAGACCCATCAGAGACCAGTCTGTCTGTCTCACATTGTCTAGAGACCCATCAGAGACCAGTCTGTCTGTCTGTCACTGTCTAGAGACCCATCAGAGACCAGTCTGTCTGTCTATCATTGTCTAGAGACCCATCAGAGACCAGTCTGTCTGTCTGTTCTTGTCTAGAGACCCATCAGAGACCAGTCTGTCTGTCACTGTCTAGAGACCCATCAGAGACCAGTCTGTCTGTCACTGTCTAGAGACCCATCAGAGACCAGTCTGTCTGTCTATCACTGTCTAGAGACTCCATCAGAGACCAGTCTGTCTGTCTCACATTGTCTAGAGACCCATCAGAGACCAGTCTGTCTGTCTGTCACTGTCTAGAGACCCATCAGAGACCAGTCTGTCTGTCTGTCATTGTCTAGAGACCCATCAGAGACCAGTCTGTCTGTCTGTCTGTCATTGTCTAAGAGACTCCATCAGAGACCAGTCTGTCTGTCTTTGTCTAGAGACCCATCAGAGACCAGTCTGTCTGTCTGTCACTGTCTAGAGACCCATCAGAGACCAGTCTGTCTGTCTGTCTTTGTCTAGAGACTCCATCAGAGACCAGTCTGTCTGTCTGTCATTGTCTAGAGACCCATCAGAGACCAGTCTGTCTGTCTGTCATTGTCTAGAGACTCATCAGAGACCAGTCTGTCTGTCTCTCACTGTCTAGAGACCCAACAGAGACCAGTCTGTCTGTCTGTCATTGTCTAGAGACCCATCAGAGACCACTCTGTCTGTCTGTCACTGTCTAGAGACCCATCAGAGACCAGTCTGTCTGTGATTGTCTAGAGACCTATCAAAGACCAGTCTGTCTGTCTGTTATTGTCTAGAGACCCATCAGAGACCAGTCTGTCTGTCTGGCTGTCATTGTCTAGAGACCCATCAGAGACCAGTCTGTCTGTCTGTCTTTGTCTAGAGACCCATCAGAGACCAGTCTGTCTGTCTGTCATTGTCTAGAGACCCATCAGAGACCAGTCTGTCTGTCTGTCTTTGTCTAGAGACCCATCAGAGACCAGTCTGTCTGTCTGTCATTTTCTAGAGACCCATCAGAGACCAGTTTGTCTGTCACTGTCTATAGACCCATCAAGGACCACTCTGTCTGTCTGTAATTGTCTCGCGACCTTCTTCAAGGACCACTCTGTCTGTCACTGTCTAGAGACCCATCAGAGACCAGTCTGTCTGTCTGTTCTTGTCTAGAGACCCATCAGAGACCAGTCTGTCTGTCTGTCTGTCACTGTCTAGAGACCCATCAGAGACCAGTCTGTCTGTCTGTCATTGTCTAGAGACCCATCAGAGACCAGTCTGTCTGTCTGTTCTTGTCTAGAGACCCATCAGAGACCAGTCTGTCTGTCACTGTCTAGAGACCCATCAGAGACCAGTCTGCCTGTCACTGTATAGAGACCCATCATAGACCAGTCTGTCTGTCTCACATTGTCTAGAGACCCATCAGAGACCAGTCTGTCTGTCTGTCACTGTCTAGAGACCCATCAGAGACCAGTCTGTCTGTCTATCATTGTCTAGAGACCCATCAGAGACCAGTCTGTCTGTCTGTTCTTGTCTAGAGACCCATCAGAGACCAGTCTGTCTGTCACTGTCTAGAGACCCATCAGAGACCAGTCTGTCTGTCACTGTCTAGAGACCCATCAGAGACCAGTCTGTCTGTCTATCACTGTCTAGAGACTCCATCAGAGACCAGTCTGTCTGTCTCACATTGTCTAGAGACCCATCAGAGACCAGTCTGTCTGTCACTGTCTAGAGACCCATCAGAGACCAGTCTGTCTGTCTGTCATTGTCTAGAGACCCATCAGAGACCAGTCTGTCTGTCTGTCTGTCATTGTCTAAGAGACTCCATCAGAGACCAGTCCTGTCTGTCTTTGTCTAGAGACCCATCAGAGACCAGTCTGTCTGTCTGTCACTGTCTAGAGACCCATCAGAGACCAGTCTGTCTGTCTGTCTTTGTCTAGAGACCCATCAGAGACCAGTCTGTCTGTCTGTCATTGTCTAGAGACCCATCAGAGACCAGTCTGTCCTGTCTGTCTTTGTCTAGAGACCCATCAGAGACCAGTCTGTCTGTCTGTCATTTTCTAGAGACCCATCAGAGACCAGTTTGTCTGTCACTGTCTATAGACCCATCAAGGACCACTCTGTCTGTCTGTAATTGTCTCGCGACCTTCTTCAAGGACCACTCTGTCTGTCACTGTCTAGAGACCCATCAGAGACCAGTCTGTCTGTCTGTTCTTGTCTAGAGACCCATCAGAGACCAGTCTGTCTGTCTGTCTGTCACTGTCTAGAGACCCATCAGAGACCAGTCTGTCTGTCTGTCATTGTCTAGAGACCCATCAGAGACCAGTCTGTCTGTCTGTTCTTGTCTAGAGACCCATCAGAGACCAGTCTGTCTGTCACTGTCTAGAGACCCATCAGAGACCAGTCTGCCTGTCACTGTCTAGAGACCCATCAGAGACCAGTCTGTCTGTCTCACATTGTCTAGAGACCCATCAGAGACCAGTCTGTCTGTCTGTCACTGTCTAGAGACCCATCAGAGACCAGTCTGTCTGTCTATCATTGTCTAGAGACCCATCAGAGACCAGTCTGTCTGTCTGTTCTTGTCTAGAGACCCATCAGAGACCAGTCTGTCTGTCACTGTCTAGAGACCCATCAGAGACCAGTCTGTCTGTCACTGTCTAGAGACCCATCAGAGACCAGTCTGTCTGTCTATCACTGTCTAGAGACTCCATCAGAGACCAGTCTGTCTGTCTCACATTGTCTAGAGACCCATCAGAGACCAGTCTGTCTGTCACTGTCTAGAGACCCATCAGAGACCAGTCTGTCTGTCTGTCATTGTCTAGAGACCCATCAGAGACCAGTCTGTCTGTCTGTCTGTCATTGTCTAAGAGACTCCATCAGAGACCAGTCTGTCTGTCTTTGTCTAGAGACCCATCAGAGACCAGTCTGTCTGTCTGTCACTGTCTAGAGACCCATCAGAGACCAGTCTGTCTGTCTGTCCTTTGTCTAGAGACTCCATCAGAGACCAGTCTGTCTGTCTGTCATTGTCTAGAGACCCATCAGAGACCAGTCTGTCTGTCTGTCATTGTCTAGAGACTCATCAGAGACCAGTCTGTCTGTCTCTCACTGTCTAGAGACCCAACAGAGACCAGTCTGTCTGTCTGTCATTGTCTAGAGACCCATCAGAGACCACTCTGTCTGTCTGTCACTGTCTAGAGACCCATCAGAGACCAGTCTGTCTGTGATTGTCTAGAGACCTATCAAAGACCAGTCTGTCTGTCTGTTATTGTCTAGAGACCCATCAGAGACCAGTCTGTCTGTCTGGCTGTCATTGTCTAGAGACCCATCAGAGACCAGTCTGTCTGTCTGTCTTTGTCTAGAGACCCATCAGAGACCAGTCTGTCTGTCTGTCATTGTCTAGAGACCCATCAGAGACCAGTCTGTCTGTCTGTCCTTTGTCTAGAGACCCATCAGAGACCAGTCTGTCTGTCTGTCATTTTCTAGAGACCCATCAGAGACCAGTTTGTCTGTCACTGTCTATAGACCCATCAAGGACCACTCTGTCTGTCTGTAATTGTCTCGCGACCTTCTTCAAGGACCACTCTGTCTGTTACTGTCTAGAGACCCATCAGAGACCAGTCTGTCTGTCTGTTCTTGTCTAGAGACCCATCAGAGACCAGTCTGTCTGTCTGTCTGTCACTGTCTAGAGACCCATCAGAGACCAGTCTGTCTGTCTGTCATTGTCTAGAGACCCATCAGAGACCAGTCTGTCTGTCTGTCACTGTCTATAGACCCCATCAGAGACCAGTCTGTCTGTCACTGTCTAGAGACCCATCAGAGACCAGTGTGTCTGTCTATCACTGTCTAGAGACCCATCAGAGACCAGTCTGTCTATCACTGTTTAGAGACCCATCAGAGACCAGTCTGTCTGTCACTGTCTAGAGATCTATCAGAGACCAGTCTGTCTGTCTGTCACTGTCTA